CCATTTTGAACAGGTTCAACTGTAGATGCCTTTAGTGGAAAACTTCAAGACTTCATGCTACTACATATAACTTATATTTGCTGACCACCTTGTCTCAGCTTTTTAACTGGCTCCTTTTTTCTCTAGTATTGATGATAAAGCCATATTTTCAACAGGAAAGTAATAAAATTATTTGTAAATTTGTTAAGCACTGCCCTCCCCATCCTACTTGGGGCAGATATTTAGGACAGATGTTATTTCTGCAGAAAAAGCTGAGAACTGAGCGAGCAGCAGGCATAATCAAATTTGCAGAAGTCTATAAAAAGTCTTGATGTCCACCTTTAACCAGAGTCCATTGCACTTTAATTTCAATGTTGTCATTGCATGTGGATGTACCTCACTCCTACAGTTTGTGTGTTTATTTAAGGCTCATTGAAGCCTTCCTCGAGCAACAGATGTAATATTTGGAAAGCTAGACAGTGTCTTGTGTGAGTTTATTAATAATAAAATTAATAATTATTGAAGGGGTTCTTGGAAAAATGGCATATTAGTGTTCAAAAACTGCCAAATGTTTGCATTCAGACTGACCTGGAGAGCGACATGGCATTAGGCTTTATTATAATCTCATTAATTAAGTCACTCTTTTGTCGTTAGATTCATTTGATCATGACTTGGCTGCAACGATTTTGAAGAAGCTAAAGGAAGGAAAAAGTGTGCAGGTAAAACCTTGATTTTTTATCTTTTCTGTTTTGTCATGGCAAGTTATTCATTTAATATTTTTTTGACAAGTAATGATTTGTCATTTTTCTTAAAGATACCCATTTATGACTTCAAATCTCACAGTAGACTTGAACAGAAGGTATGCTTTTGCTATATAAACATTACCGCTGTTTATCAGTATTAGTCATGTCTTTTCCCAACTCCCATTTTTGCAAAAAGTTAGTTCTGAATTGTTTTGTCCAGCATGCTATAATATGTTTGAGTGTTAATTTTTTCTCAATTTTTTTTTCATGCTTACTTTTTTAACTAATTGTCCTGCTGTGGTTAATGCAATAATTATTGTTTTTTATTCATTCAAAATATTTTCAACAAGCTTACCCTCTCGTAGACTTTGTCAAAACTTTGGCCTAATTCTCAGCATGGTTTCAGGATATAACTAGATGTTTTTCAATGCAGATACTACTCGAAAAGCAGATAACATCAATCGAGCAATTATGTTTTGCATTTTCTCATTTCTTCCATCCAGTTAGTTAAAAATTCAGCTAAAATGTCCTGGAATAGCCGTGAAAACGATTTTCTTTTTTAGTTCACTCCGGAATAAGCAGCTAGGCAGCCACGCCTGGAAATGAGGTCTATCAATCTATATCATAATTTATACCATCAAATTGATGATATATTGCTCCCATCTTCCAAATATGGTATGCGCCAGTTGGTTATGAAGAATTAGTCAGGGGATTGGAGCCAATCAGAAATGGAGAAATATTTTGAATGAATAATAATATAAAATAATAATATAAAGAGTGACTTAAGGGAGTACCAAATTCATAATAGGTAACATTTTTCTGTGACTATTTCCACAGAAAAATTTATATGGTGCTAATGTCATCATCTTTGAGGGAATCATGGCATTTGCTTATAAGGACCTGAGAGATGTAAGTGAGAAATTGTCCTGGGGGAGAAATAGGGGCTGCATATTTACAGGTATATTTTGACTTGTCTAAGCTGTATTTTTCTTAGTTTGTGATTTCAGATCATAGTTTTATCCCTGTTTTCAAAGTCATTTATATATCTCTGTGGAAAGTACCCTCTGGACAGTACAGTCACCTTCCTGTGTGCAGTGTTTAACAGCATCAAACCTTTGAACTCCTGTTCCAAGAAAATGCCGTGCTGGTCTTGGAAATCTGTGCATCGTATTCATTCACTAGTTATTGACTATTTTTTTCAAGACTAGTATTCTGTATTTGGATTCTTGGCCCCAGTTGTTCAAAAGATCAATGGTGCTGTCCACTGGAGAAATCTCTGTCAAGTGGATAGCACAATCAAGCTTTTGAACTATGTGGGCCTGGCCCTCATTGTTCAAAAGCTTGATAGCGCTATCCACTAGATAAATCACTATCCAGCGGATAAGTACTTGGGAAACCAATTGCACTGTCTAGTAGATAGTGATTTATCCATCGGATAGAGCTATCCACCTTTTGAACAACTGGGGCATGGTTATCATGGTTATTGCAGACACCTCATTGTAACAGCCTGTCTGGGTTGGAAGGCATTGTGGCATATTTAAGTGCCAGTGTTTAATTACCCCCGTGTGCATTTATTATGTAACTACTGTGGGACAACCCTTTTCTCATCCCCACCCAGGGGCTTTTCTGTTCTTTTTATAAACTTTTGCCCACAAGGTTGTGAGGGAAATTTGTTGTGGGCAAAATATTCTGAATATTTTGTCCCAATTACCTTAACCTGGTTCTTCAGAGATGTTTCAGTGTCTTATTTGCATATTTTTAAAATAATTTTTATATATGTATGTTTTCTTTTTAGCTGATGGATATGAAGGTTTTTGTTGATGCTGATCCTGATGTTAGATTGTCAAGGAGGTCAGCTAACTCCCTATAGATTGTCCCCCTGGGTGGACAACTTCAAAATTGTTAATTTTTCATAAAACACTTGAACTGGACACATGATACATGATAGTCTAGTATCATGAAATTTAGTATTGCAATAGTAATGTAAAAGTTAATTTGTAGTGTACAGCCAGTTTGAAATTTAGATATTATGTAGTCAACATGTGTGAGGTCTGGCGCCAAGAATTTCTTGGGTGTCCGTGTCAACATGCAGATTTAAAAATTCTGAGAGATTCAGGGTACCAACTATCCAGAAATTCCAGTGTGGTTGGAAAATCAAATGGCTCACACCATTTCATTTGGAAAGCTTCAGAAAATGAGGGCTGTGATTTGAGGTTTTGCAATAATTATTTTTTACTCTCTTTAGCCTGTTCAGCTGATTTTGATATACTTTATACAATGTAGGGGTTCTTTCCCTCTTCATGTCAAATTTTATAGTTTTATGTTGATGCACAAGGTTTCCACCCAAGATTTCTTGAAAATATATTTTAAGTGGCTGTTGCAATTATTAATTAATGTGAGGCTTTTAATAATATTGTTATTGGATGAATTAGGGGCCCCATGTTACGTGAAAAATGATCACTTTGAAGATGGAACATTTGTTACTGTCAATATCTCTTGTTTTTGTTGCCACGAAGGAACTTGATTAAGTTAAGTGTGTTGATTTTGTGTTGAATTCTTAACCACCCATTAGATTAAAGAGAGACATCACTGAGAGAGAAAGAGATCTTGTTGGTGTCTTGCAACAGTACAACACCTATGTGAAACCTGTAAGTATTGCCCAGCCTAAGGCTATTCTGATGTAGACAATCATGTCATGGCCTTCTAATAAACCCTTCTTTCTATATTTCAGGCTTTTGATCAGTACATAGCACCCACTATGATCTATGCAGACATCGTTGTTCCCAGAGGTGGAGAAAATAATGTTGCAATAGACTTGATTGTACGTCATGTGAGAACACAGCTGGAACAGGTCAGTGCTTGTTCTTTGTTTATTTGACCCTTCAAGTCTCAATATCTGCATACAAATTCTCCAAAACTGATCTCGAGACATTTCCTTAAAGAATTACTTGAGAGAATTTGATAAACAATCAGAGGATTTTTTTTTTAACCTCTAGCCGTATCTTTGTGGGGAAGGCCCAAGAGAGTGGTGGGAAACAAGCCTACCTCTCACTCCTAGAATCAATGCACATGTGGTTAGGCTAACTTAGGAGTGCTAGTTTTCAGACTGAGGAGGACTGGGTACGAGCCCGTATATTATGGGATAATCAACATAAGATCCATATAGTCAGAAAGAACACTTTGAGCTTTACAAACTCCCCAAGTTTGGTGTTCATCGGGCAAATATTGTAGAAGATACAGCCACTCAAAAAAGTGAAAATTTACAAAGGAGTGCATGACCTTTTTATGGTTATATGTCTGGTAAGGATTACCGGACGGGTTGTCCCTAACGTTGATATATTTCTTAGTAAATATGGAGATTTTGAATGGCTGTATTTCATTAAATTGTCGGCCGAGCAAACATCAAACTAAAGAATTTTGTAAAGCTCGATGAGCTTTTCCTGTCTATTGAGGCGTCGTGTTGATAATCCCTTTCATATAGGGGCTCTTACCAAGTCCCTCTCGGTTTGTGGCCATTCAAGTGAATCTTTTCAGCAGTACCTTGGCGTGATATCATTAATGTTTTGAGACTTGACAAAGTGGTATTTGGAATTTTTGTTGCTATGACAAGGGACTCTAGGGAATGCAAGGGACTAGTCTTCCTAGCTCCAAGGAGTGTCCCAGATTAAAATTAACGAAAAAAAGTTAAAAACTGCCAACTTTTATCTGAATGCTATAAAAAAAAAACACACAATGGTCTCATTGGGAAGAAAGTTCCGTCAAAGGGTTTTTTTTTATCACACCACAAACTCATAGGCTAGAACCATATGACATAAGATCATGATCGACAATGGAAGTGAATATAGTGATTCTGTTATAATATCTTTTGGTGTGTTTTTTTGTCTTGTGTGTTTTTGTGCCCCGTTACTAATTTTTTAGTGTTACAGCTTTCAAGATCTAACCATTAATTGTCTTTTCTACCTCTGCTCTCATAGAGAGGATTCAATTTCAGGTAAGCAACCAGTTCTTTGTCATCGTTTTTTGAAGCAGTACTTGCAAACTAACCTCAACTAAACCCTGGACCTTGTCAATGAAAGAGCCTCTGACGACCTACGTTCTTCTGTGATTATTTTGTTACCAAGTGATAGGTTAACGAGAAAAGATTCTCAGGCTCATACTGATAAAACGTGCATGCCCCGGGTAAAGTTCTTTAAGTGTAAATTATAATTGTTCGTTGACATCTTGCACAACATTTGTCAACTAAGTTGAAGTAGACGAAACAGATTTTTTAAATGTTGTTTTGTCTTTTTTGGATTGTTCTAGCATTCAAAATCTACCGTCATCTCTCCTTCTGACTTTCCATTGTATATGAGTGTGTCGTAATGATAATAAACTCGTGTGTCTTACTAAATTTGCAGAGAGAAACTTCGTTATGCGCATCAAGGTCAGCCTCTTCCTTGTTCACTCAGTATACTTGAAAGTACACCACAAGTCAGAGGACTTCATGCTATTATAAGGTTAGACTACTATTCCCTCGCTTTTCAGTAGGATGTTATTTTATCAGTTAATTTTCGAGCTTTGATGTCTTCATTTGCACTCAATGCGTGAAACCTTTTGCTCAACCTCTCTTACTGTCGTATTTGTGTGTCTGCAGAAATGAAGCAACCAGTCGTGATGATTTTATCTTTTATTCCAAGAGGCTGATGAGAATACTTATCGAGCATGCTCTCTCGCACTTACCTTTTAAAGTAAGTGCTAAAAGACTTTTTTCTTCCGAGCCGGCTGTGTCACTGACTGAACAAACATCTTTCTCGTACATGCAGGGAGATGTTTCTCAAGTTTCCATCTTTCTGTTGTCTCGTAGAAACATGTAGTTACCTCAATGGAAGGAACAACTTATGAAGGAAGAAAATTTGCGGGGAAAAGGGTAAGAAAATTGTCTTTTTAATTATATGGCTTGAGTTAATTAGTATTGTAATGACGTACAGGGAAATCGTTAAATAACCTGTAGATGGAGACACAATAAAATAATTTGTTGACACGGCGCAGTCCGCCTTTTCTCTTCTTAGTCCGTCCGTCGAAACGCGCGCGTGGTAATAGGGAGCTTCAGCAAAGGCGAAAAACGTCAACCGAAAGTGATGCCTTTTCTCTTTTAATATGCCTCGGTTCTACCGAATTTTTAGCGCTTAGCGTCTTTACTGTTACAGAGACGGTTTGCCCAAAAATGTGGGAAAAACCTCCGGCCAAGAATTAGTCCAGGGCCATGTGTCCGAAAAATCGTTCTCGTGGGCGTTTTATGAACATTGAAGTTTCTTTGCAGAAACTTACAGATTAAATGGTGCTGTATGGAAAAAAAGTTGTCTGCAATTTTTTCAGAGCCATTTAGGCCTGTTTTATGCAAATTAGATATGACGTCATTATATAGCTGATGATTGACAACAAAATGCCTTCAGTTTGATTCGCGACTTTTTGTATCAAATATAATAAATGCATTTACAACTGCAGTTTACATCACATTTTGACTGTTACAAGGAATGAACGAATGGATCAAATATTTAAAGCAAAATACACGTGTTGTCATTTCAGAAACATCTTTTCTTTTCTCCAGTTATTTACTACATCTTTTAATGAATCCTCTTTGAATTTACGAGTCCAATTCTCCAGCTTTTTATAGTTCTCTTTCTGTTCTCTGCCGATTTTTAAACACCAGAAAATATATGGTATAATCCTGTCTGAGTCCAGCTAGAAAAGGCATGCGTTTTGATGGTCTCCCCGTGGTTTAAAACTCAACACCTTATTTGCTTATAGGTTATTCTTCCTCTCTTATTTGATTTTAGTGTGCGAAGGCATATTTACCTGACGACTACTACTGTGTATGCGATTTATCTGGAAAAAAACCGCAAGATTATGGAGTTTTATTTATTTATTATTATCAATTTGCCGCATTAAAACAATACATTCACTTATAAAATCAAATGGGTGTATACTATGTTTAGGAAGGTCCTACAGTCAAGAGACGACCTGGTTTTCTGAATCGGCGAGATGCACATGATCATGCACAATGACCTCTTAACGCACTCTTGGGGCATCAATCGAGGGCAGTTGCTTTTACGAAGAATGGATAGCGGCGGGGATATGGCTCAAATACAATGCGCTAGATTCTTGAAGGGGAACGTATGAAGCGTACTCAGACCTCACAGCATAACAGACTCTGTTCTAAGTGATGTGCATATGGAGGCGTTTTTGAAGAGCGAAGCTGATTACACAAATGTGATACTAGCATCCTTTGCGATGAACAGGAAGGTCGATACTGTGAGCGAGGGACGAAACACAACTCAAAGACTTTTTAATCGCAATGGAAACCGGCGGGCCTCAAGAGAGGCTTTTGCGATTTGATAAGGTCATGGAGTCTCCGTGTTACTACTAATTCAAGTTTGCTCAGGACTACATGAAGTTTGCAATGTGTATCTTGCTGTTCATACGCGCATCAAGAGAGGGAGACTGGAATCTTCACCTTGAGTCCTTCAAGGCTTTGGCACGGTTTTTCTTTGCTCAAGGCAGGCTGGGTTTTGCACGAATGGTGCCACTATATATATCTAGCGCAGATGCACAGGTTTAAGATCGATGATCCCTATATTTGCCTTGAATTCATGCAAGGAAACTTTTGTATAACTAAGAAGGAGCGCCCATTCTGTGAAATTGGTCCGGACCTTCCTAGAGAACACGTCAACAAGTTGATGAAGGTTCGGGGAGGACACAGCAACCAGCAGCCATGGCAAAATGGTTCCTTGTGGCACCAGAACTAAGTCGACTTGCGGCGCAAGCTGAGGACATGGTGCGATTGCAAAGAGCTTCATCATCACACCATCGTGATTTAAGCGATGTGCTAACAAAGCGCTTTTACGAGAATGTACAGAAGCTTAAAGATGTGCTTAAAGTGAGTGACCCTTTCGTGACAAAAAGTCATCTGGTGAACATCATCACAAAAGCAGTTATGCTAGATTACATCAAGGAGGGAGTGCTAATGCAAAATGGCATCGGTCAGGCGTATTTTGGCACATTAGTTTGTTCAAGCACAAATCGTCGAGGCCCCAAGAAAAAGGCACATCTAAAGTCATGAAAGTTTGCTTGGCAAACAAAGAAAAACAAAACAACTAGTGGAATCGCACCCATAAAGGATGACAGAGCTCTCTTCACACGTTTCTTAGTTTTGATTCTCTCACGGCCTGATCTTCACATGGAGGATACCATAAGCACTTTTAAGTTCGCTGAGTTTCCGAGTACACCCTTCTCCTCTGATGGCCGTTTGCTACACTGCATTGCCAAGAGCAAGCTGATTAACATCCTAGAAGTCCTTCTACGCCATCAGTAGCCACAAACGCATACAGTACAACCTCGCTCTCCAGACCCTTTCAGTACGCCTTTGGTAATTTTTTATGTCATTGCAGCAGTTCAGTCACTGGGAGCGCCATCGTTGGTAAGAAACAAGCGTGACCTAGCAAGCCATTTCATAGAAGTCGTTGATGCTAAGACTAATGTTTCCACCGAGGTTCATGTTGTATTTGACCGCTAGTAGATCCCCTACTCCTTAAAGGAAGTAACGCGCCAGTTTAACAACTGGTTATAAACAGAGCAGGGATATACAATGATTACTGTCGATGTTGTTATTGACAAGACAACTATGAAAGATCCTTTGAACTGCAACCAGAATAAGGAGGCACTGGCTATAATCCTTGCAACACAACTCATCGAGTGCAAGAAAGACTCGCAGATGATGTATGTAGTAAATTCTAAAGGTGACTGTATGACATCTAATACCGTACCGATTCAACACTTAAGGAGTGATCAGGAAGAAGCAGACACCCGTATGCTCCTGTATGGTCTAGACGCCACAAAGAGAGGAGAAAAGTCCACATTCATTCAGAGCCAAGATACAGATGTACTCGTTCTGATGCTCTGGACTTACAAGATACTTTGTCTGGATACTACATTGACTGCAGAGACAGAACGAAAAGGAAGAAGTACTCCACTAGGACCACTCTACGAGGTGGTCAGAGAAGACCTCGTGAAGGCTTTACCTGGCTTTCACGCTTTTTCAGGATGTGATCAGACAGGCACCATCAGTGGAAAAAGCAAAGTGTGTTTTTAGAATAATCTAAAGAAAGCCAAACGACGGATGCTCGATGCCTTCTCTAGGCTAGGAAACAGCGACACCATCCCAGATGATATGTACATAAAGCTAAAGCGCTTCGTCTGCCAGTTGTACATCCCATCGACACAGCTGAGAGAGCCCTAGGAGAGGTCAGATTCTTTCTTTATAGCAAGAAACAATAAGTATATAAACCGCTACACCCTGCTAAAGCAGCCGTACACAAGATGACAAAATTAGTTAATCTCGTTGCATTGGTATGGAAGTCTTGCAACAACCCAATACTAGCATTCCTAGCCCAACGTTACACGGATGGCAACAAGATGGGGATGCAGCCTGTTCCAACCACACTCCCTACCAGCACCTTTGTCCGTTCTGCAGCTGATCCAGTGTGGATGAAATTCGCATGCAACACTGTACGTGCAGGAAGCACAAACTATAATGCACAGATATGTCTGGTTCATGTAAAGTGAAACGTACGAACTGGAACTTTAACACTGACACAGTTAAGCATGTTAGAAGGGATAACAGTGACGATGAGGACCTTCAAATCTAGTCCCATCAGCTAAGAATTCTAAATTTCGGAAAAGGCATTATAGAGGCTTTATATGATAGAACAGACTTAAAAGCGCGCTTGTGCACAGTTTCTTTTGCATTATGTGAGTGATTTCGGCTATGTATAACAAAGCCAGACTTGAGTAACCTGTGTTTTAGGGGTCATGAATGTAATTTGCATGAATTAATCTTACATGACTTCGAAAAAATTGCAGACAACTTTTTTACGATTTAACACCTCTTAAACTTTAGATTTCTTCCAAGAAACTAAAATGTTCATGAAATGCCCACGGGATTACACATGGCCCCGGACTAAATGCAAAAAGCCTACTTCCATTTGACGCGCGTCGCTCAAAAACGTCTTTGCTTAAGCTCGCTATTAAGGAGATTAAGAGTCACGTTTACGGCAAACGGCAAACGTCAGATTCAAGTTGAGAATTTCTCAGAATAGAAAATAAGCAGATAAAAACGGTACAGAACAATTCTTATGGATAAAACTGGCGTGAAATTACTTATTTTTGTGTAGAAGTAATAAACAGTAAACGACAATTAAGGGAAAAACTTGGTCACGTGGTACAAATTCATGTTTGCCGTTTGGCATAAATGTAGATCTTAATCTCTATGATATGGCGCGCTGCGCGACTGGGAGCGACTCGCCAACTGGCTTACGCCGTCATTTCTTTTGGCTCGCGGCTTCTGTGTGCCCTTCACGGTATTTAGTGTAAGGGGGGTTATTCACTAACACCAACTTAAAAGAGAAAAATAAGAGACCGCAGTGTGATGATACCCACGCAGGCGTTCTTAGGGCTGCTTCATGAAAGAATGCTTGACGAACCCCTAAGAACGGCTGCGTCGGAGACTAACTGATTGGTAAAATGTCTATTTTTCATTTCAGTTGTGCGGAGTGTCAATTCTCCGAGCTGGCGAGACAATGGAACCAGCTTTAGAGTCTGTCTGTAAGGATGTCAGAATAGGCAAAATCCTTATTCAAACCAATGAAGAGACATTTGAACCTGAGGTGGGTCTTTCTCTTTAGGAAAGCTACTAGTTTCGTTTTTACAGTAGCTTGCTGCCCGAGGCGGGTTAAGTCGTAGTTAGGTGGTGTATGAGGACGTATAACATACCGACATTTATCTCATTACTTAAAGAATACAGCCAATCAGAAAGCTAGAAACCCGTAGCAAATCCTGCGATATTAGCGATAGGTGGTATTTCAAGAAAACTTCCAAGCCATACTTCGGGCCGCCACATTTTCCCGCCGAGCAGATTGCGAATTTCCTGGAGCGACTCTATGAACAAAAACGTAAACCTGAATTTCAGCGTTCATTTGGTCCTCTCAAAAGTAGCCTCATAAAACAGCCGACATTTGTCGACGCTACCACTGGTTTCCCCGCCAAATGACGTCTGAGAGACGAGCGCAGAAATTCCATACTAATACCGCGTCACTTCCCAGATCTGGGTAGGTATACCACTCGCTAAGAAACTCTCCAAAAATTACAATGTCAAGCTTGACACCAGTTGTTCATAGCTTTTCCACTTGCATTAATAACATTGTTTGCATTATCTTCATAATTTAATGTTAATTCTATAATAGATATGAGTTCATAACAGTCGTTCTTTGCTTTCTTCCTAGCTTCATTACTATCGTCTTCCAAAAGGCATCAGTGAGGATCACGTGATTCTTATGGACGCCACTCTCGCCACTGGGGCGGCAGGTAAACCTTCATCAGTTACACCAGGAAGTTTTCCATGAAGGAGATTTTCCTCAAAGGAGCTGTATCACGGTTGTCTAGTTCAGTACCGCGCCAGCGAATAAATTACTTGTATCTGGCACAATCCAGCTTCATGTGAAACTAATACTATGTCTTCCAAGCATTATATCAAACGTGACAAACAAAAACGAACTTTGGAGAACTGTTAGCCTAACAAGTTTAAAAAAACACAATTTCAATCCCTTTTAGTCTTCTTTAAGTTCGTCCATCCGTTCCTACTTCAGTATATGCTGTATTATTAATACCTTCTTGTAATGTTTTGAGCGGTTATTTTTTGGTTTTTCCAATTTTGTGGCAGTTCTCGCCGTTTGAATTTCGATAATTTTCGTGACACAGCGCCTTTAACAAACTTTCTTTTTCAAGTTGTCCTCAAGTGTAAATGGAAAACTCCTCGAAGGAAGTAGGTGTCATACTGTATTTTGAAAAAAGGGTCGCGTATGACGCACCAAGACGCGAGGTCGTTGTGGTAGTTTCGCGGAGAACGTAGGTCTAACAGGTCAAATGCTGTACATTGTGTATTAACAAGTCAGAAAGCTACTTTCTTTCATTGATACTCAGAAATCTCGCGCAAAGTTAGAGACACCTTGTGAAGAATACTTGACTTATAGCTGCGGTAAAGTTGATTCCTTTAAAGTAACAGCCACTTTTCTGTCAGGTCATGCTCGTGCTTTCAGTTTTCAATGCCGTATTATTAGATGTAATTTAAAGTACATCTTTTTTATTCTTTTACCAGCTCTCATGGCCATCAGAGTTTTGCTGGTGAGTAATCTGGCTCGTCAGTTTTTGACGGCAACGTTCAAATCGTATCTTGGACAAATCGTCCCCGGAAAACTGTTCCTAGTGTTAGGGACTTCTTTGGAGATATTTTGATGATATTCCAACTTTTCCGTCCGTTGACGAAATCCTGTATTGTGATCATCGAAAACGAGACGTCTTCAGCGTGCCTTTACATGTTGAATTTTATTTACTTAGTACGTCCTTGTAACTTTTGCGAGTCTGTGGAAGAAATCCTGAGGTGTAACCATGTAAATGAAACCTCTTCAGCAGTCTTATCACATGGTACTGTATGTAGTTCTATCTTTTAAGTTTTTGGATAAAATTCACTTCCATAGCGCTTGACTACAGAGCGGGAGGCCGTGGGTGCGATCCGCAAGGTCGGACCAATACTCAGGGTCTTAAAATAACTGAGGAATGAGGGTACTGCCTTTGCCCTGCAAATGGCTAGACCTTCGCGTGGCTCGAATGACCACGTAAAATAGAAGGAGACGTTAAAATAGTGTCCTCAGTTAGCACTTTAGTGCTAAATACATTGACGTTCAAATAAGGTGATCGTACGGTGTGATCATACAAATTTCTTAGCTGTACTTTGTATAGTACATGCTACTATCTGCATTTTCATGGGATTCCGATATGGGGAACCACTTGCATTGGACAAGATTACTTCCCAGATTACTTTGTAAAAGTCTAAATTTCCGAGATTTACTGAATTGGAGGATGAAGTTAAAGCGACCTCCGGTCTTCAATTTGAAATACAGGGAAGAAATTTAATCGGTTGTGTTTGTGTTTTCCTAACCTGATATCAGGCTCTATCTTCGTTTCGCTTGGTAGACAAAATTCCGGCGGGCAATTTAATTTGACCGCGTAAGAGAAAATTTAAGCTGCCAAAAGTGAGCCTGATCTCCGGTTATTGTTTTCGACAAAAGGGCCGATCCGCACAGGATGACAAATTTGGAGTTCTCTTTCAAATATCTAAACGAAAAATTGTATGGTGACAATTTCTGTTTTGAAAAAATTTATCCACACTGGCAACTATTTCTCTTATCCGTCACTACTTTATGGAAAGAACAACAAATGATTGACACGAACAACACATTTTCGTTTATTTAAGTCGATGTTGTCCAGGGAGAAGTTTTGTCCGGGGCCCAACTGAAGATAGTCTGCTACACAGCCGTTTTTAGTGTCGTCACGCAGCGCTCCTCCAAATTTAGGCTGTGTACAGACGCCCCCTCCCCGAAAAAAAAATCGGAGATTTTTTTGAGGGGTGAGAATGTCAGTATACAGGTAAAACTGCTTTGTAACGCGTATTTTTTTTTTCTGTTACCGTTTACAGGTGTAACGGTGAATTGAAATTTCCTTCTTTTCTTACAGGACCATGATGTCAGAGAGGAAAACATTTTGTTTCTATCGTTGATAGCAGCCGAGTCAGGTAATCACCTCTGTTGAAGAAAATAATCAGTAATAAAGAATAAACCTTATATTTTATTTTGCTAGTTACGTCCTCTACTAAACGTTAAGTTACGCAGTTTCTCGTTTTATGCATGGGTCCACAGTAACCGTAACATATTGATCTCAGTGTTTTTATAGGTGTTCACAGGATAGCCTACTCTTACCCACACATATCAATCTGTTTTGTATAGATGTGCACAGGATAGCCTACGCTTACCCAACATATTGATCTGTTTTCTATAGGTGTTCACACGATAGCCTACCCTTACCCAAACGTATCAATCTGTTTTGTATAGACGTTCACATGATAGCCTACTCTTACCCAAACAAATTAATCTGTTTCGTATAGTTGTTCACAGGATGGCCCACGCTTACTCAAACATATTGATCTGTTTTCTACAGATGTTCACACGATAGCCTACGCTTATTCAAACATATTGATCTGTTTTCTATAGGTGTTCACACGATAGCCTACGCTTACCCTAACGTGAAAATAATCACAGCTGCTGTAGATCATGAAGTGAATGATAAATATCATATAATACCCGGTATAGGTAAGTTGAGTGGTTACTTTTGGCTGCCACGCAATCCGCTTTTGAGAAGTATCTTCATTAGTTGGGTATGCTCTCACTGATTATTCATAAACTGGTGAAAGTGTTCGCCCTTTTCCATCACTTTGCCCCCCTTTTTTCATTTATTTGAAACTAAAGAAAGCATTGCCTGGTGTTTTTTAGTTGATAGGAATATTTTTTTGGCGAAACACAGGAATTACAGGCTTCGAGAAATTCACCATCTACACTCAACCTCGTCCCCAGGGCCTTTCTCTCAAAAAATGGGTGGGAAAAGCCCTTGGGACGAGGTTGCATCTACACACTGCGTCACAGACGTTCGCAGACGTAATCTACGCTCGGTTAGTGACGTCAGCGAGACTTTCTTGTTCTGGGCCCCTAACGGACTCAACCAATCATGGGAACTGCGTTTCGAATTTCCCTTCAACCTGATTGGCAATTCGGCAATGGCTTTTTAACAGGCCAATCATGGCGCGTACTCAAATCCCGGTACACAGGTGGGGACCCAGAACAGGAAGGATTTCGGATCAATACTTGGGGTCTTAAAATAACTGAGAAATGAAGGCACTCCCTTTGCACTGCAAGCGGCTCTGATGACCACGTGAAATAGCGGTCCCGTCTCCAGTTGGAGACGTTAATATGGTGTTCGCAACTAATACTTTCGTGCTAAATCCATTGACACTCAAATAAAGCTCTCTTTTTTTTTTTTGCTAAATCGCTACTGACTCGTAAGTCGGGAACTGTGCGAGCCTCACGCGTGTGTTTGGCGTGAGGATAAAAGTTTCTTCTCAGCCTCACACTCCATTTTCACACTCGCTTCAGCGCTTTCCTTTCAAGACCGCTTGTGTAGCCTTTGTATCCTGTTCGAGCTCTCAGTGAAGTAGACTCGATTTCCGCTACTCTCTCGGTCCTTCCCGAGAAGAACAAGGAGCGCGGGCTCATTAACCGAACAGCGGCTGGTCATTGTGTTTGTTCAGTGAGGCCAGAAGAAAGGGGCGCGCGAAATAAAAGAAAGGAGGACATGGGGGAGGAGAGGGGCAAACGTTCAAACGCCCTTCATCTCTCTTCTTTCCATTTTTTTTTCTTTTTGCTCGTCTCCACTACGCGATAGCCTGGAACAGGCTAAACGGAGACAGGAGAAGTGCGACTCTTCCATTGTAACCTACTTATGACTACGCTGAGTTTTTAACTAAAGAACCTTTTTGCGTTTGTTTTTCAGGAAATTTTGGGGACCGTTATTTTGGGACTGCGGATTATTGATACGTGTACAAATATAATGTTAAATTATTAAGAAATCCCTTATGTACAATAAGCAAAAACGTAAATTTTCAAAAACCATCTCATTTCTTTGCAGTCTTGCTGAAGTTAGCGTATACGTATGATGTGATTTTCCACATCCGCGATGTTTTTGTATTCATGTATAAACGACATGATTTCGAGAAATTCTGCTGTGCAGTTCGCTTCTGGAATGTTGAACGACGCTCCTAAAGCTACGTGCAGACGGACGCAACAACTCCCAGCATTGTTGGCCCAACATCGTTGGGAGTTACTGGGTCCGTTTGCACGTAGCTAAAAGTTTGACCGGTTTCAAACTTTGCGCAACAACACGCAACGGGGTTTGCAATGGGGTAGCAATCACACGCGCGAAAGCCTTCTGCGCGCGCGAGTAGCATCCACGCTTAACTACAGGATCGATACAGAAAGCGAACTGCGACAGGGAATTTTGCTAAATAAGCTCCATTTGTTACTGTTATATTTTTGTTCCACTGTGTCCACATATAAAAACATTTGTTGAGAATATCAACACAAATTTTAAAAGCGCGCGGGCAAAAATGGTGGGGAATGGTATTCAACACTTGCGGCTTTGATTTACTCAAGACATTAAAAATTTTAAACAATTTGAAATTACTTTCGCTTACGTGGACAGTCTGAAAAGCAATTTAAAGTAGCAAGAACTATATATTTATGAGAGCTTTTTTTGTAAAGTAAATTTGATGAAATTTTGTAATTTTACTCAATAATACTCGAACTGGAAAATAAATTATCGCATTACAACTTATCGTTTGACATAACTCTTCTTCTGCTTTGTTGGGAAGCATGAAAACAGACAAGATTAGTTCACAGAAATGTTTTTAACTGCTTTCTTTGCGAAGGGAAACCTTTTTCTTTTCCTTGCTTCATTCCTATAGCTTGTGTACAGCCGTTCCCCGGTGGTAATTTTCTTTCCTAGCTGGAACTCAAGATATTTTCTTTCTGCTGTTCTCACAACATACTGAACTTCAATACGATATGACCGTTCTTAAAATTTCCCTTCAGTTAAACCTCCTGTAATGTCCCAAAACGCCTTTGAGGAGCTTATATGACGCAACCGCGACTATGACGGCTGTGAAAACGTCACTAAAGTGAATTTTCGTTCTTTCAAACTTTACCGCGTCTATTCATCCTCTTTCAATTTGTGAAATATAAAAACCTCAGGAGAATTTACCTTGGGATAAAAAAAGTTTAAGGACTCCATTCAAGTTCAAAATGAGACGGAAAATTTGTTGTCGTGTGTTCACGCCTTCCATAAAAGATGTTACTAACACGGGGAGCGGAAAAATGAAAAATGGGAACGAAGCAGAGAAATGGAAATGAAGTTACTGATAGGGCTAGGGTTCAAGTTAGGTATTGTTCCCATTTTTCATTATCCCGTTCCCCGTGCTCGTTTCTGGTTCCTCGCTTCTCGTTCCTCGTTCCTCGTTCTTTGCTCTCCGTTTTAGTAAACTACCTCTATAAAACGTCGCATATAGGAATTTTCCGTCTTAGTCATGCCGTGTACCAAAAAGTGTGGTGCACGTTTTGAACATAAAATCAACTTTTTGACGTTCTAGTTGTCCTCGTCGTTGTGGTTGCCTGCGTGTTTAACATGTTGTCAAATTTTAACTTGGAAAAACAGTTCAGTTGCTTTCGTTTGGATAAGATGACGCCGTTTCAGGGACAGTAAACTCTTTACTTTCTCCTTTACGAAGTAATTTATTAAAAGAGGCCGATTTCTTCCCTGATATTGCGCGCCCATCGGAACTTGCCGGTGATGCAGTGCTTTTCCTATTTCTCGCACTTCTTTGCAATCCTTTGATCTTACTACTCAGTTCGTTGACTTGGGCAAAGCTCATCCTTGCCTTTCCTTGTTCCTGCGGAGTTTCGCCACGGCCTAAGCTCTCTTTGTCGTCGATCTCTTCTTCTAAAGGAGGAAGTTTTTTAATCGGTTTCGGGGCAAATTTGTAGCCTCTGCGATAAGAACTCGTCCTCTGTTGATTATAGATTCCATACAAATGTAGTAACTCTTCTTGAACTGGCGAACAGGGTGTAAAAAAGTCAGAAACAGGGAGAAGTCCCGGCGCTGTAAAAGGGCGAACATTTTTCGTGTTTGTATTATCTTTTATTGGCGGCAAAGTACAGACTGTCGTAGGTTTCGCGCTGACGGTTTTACGTGTTCTTCGCTTCTTTTTCTGTTCGTCTTCCTTTTCATCCTCGGCTGAGTAAAGTGCCGAAATAATTCGTTTCCCTTTGCGCTGCAGTTCCTTTTTCCATTGTTTAGCGCTTTTAAATTGTTCAAGATCACAAATTTCTTCAGACGCTTTGCCTTTTTGGATCAAACAATCTGCGCACTGAATATTACCAATTTTTAAAGCGTGAATTAGTGGCGTCTCACCCTTATGGTTTTGCGTATCAACGCTGAGATCATAGTGTTTTAATTTTTGAACAATCATCTCGACAATCGAGAGATCTCCTACCGTAATTGCGTGAAACAATGCCGTGTTTCCATCGCGATCAATTGTGTTCAAATTATAGTCCACAGCCTGTAGGAAGAGACTGACAAGTTTTCTCCGTTTTAAAATACACGCGTATGACAACGCCGTAAGTCCTTGGGCGTCTTGAAAACCAAGTTCAGCGCCGCTTTGCAAAAGCGTCTTCGCTAAACCGAGAGCTTTATCTTCGTCGTCTAGGAAACAGACTTCCATAAGCGCAGTTCTCTTGTCTGTTAGGCTACGACGGTTGATATCAAAACCTGCCTCGATTAACAAACGAGCCTGCCTCCATCGCCTGTTCCGTATAGCTTGACTCAAAGCCGACATGGCGTACAAAGAAAACGCCGATTTTCTTTGCGTTTTGAGTTCGCAGTTTGTTGATGAAAATCAAATATTGCGCTGTTGTGCGCGAATCAAACCGAAACAGCAATAGCCCCGAAAGACAAAACAAGAAATCCACACACAAATGTAGTGTATTTTGGCTTGGCCAATGACGTGAGAGGTTGACAGATCAAAACAGGTGATGCCCAACTGCGATTTATTAGTTTTGACGGTGGGAAGGTATTGCACCTGCACAATATAAGGTCAGATAATGAAACGCCGGATTTGTTATCTTTCCATTGCGGAAACAAAACTTCTATTTCTATTGTAGATTTCCGCGATTGTGAGAAAAGAAGTTTAATAATCTTACTTTACTCCTTTTGTCACTTGCATTTTGTTAAAAAAAGATTCGGGGTATTTGAGTTTCCATTTTGATCAAATCGGCTTCGTCAACAGACTCATGTACAAATGATGCAATTTGCAAACAGCGCCGTCTCCTTAGAACAAAACACTGTAACTTTAATGGGTGATTAGTCAATTCTAAACCCAAACAATATTTCTCACGTAATTTGAATAATAAGGTTCTTGGCTTAATTACTGCAGTTAAAATTATGATATTATCATTATTGCCGCGTGCACGAAACTTTTGTCATTCGTAAGAAGTGTTATTTTTTTTTAGAAAAATTTTTTTTGCTCGTCCTGTGATGGAGCAAGGTTTAACAATTTGTTTAGTTACTTTTTCGCATACTTTCTGTGAGTACCTAATATTGCTTCTTAAGTCATTTACCTCTTCATGAATTATTTAGAGTGAGAAGTATTATTATGTTTAAGTCAAAAGCTCAGAAGTTACAAGGTGTTTCAAGTAATCATCCCAATTATTTTCCCCATATTTTCGGAATCATGTTTCAATTCTCAAGCTGCTTGACAAGGCCAACCTCGTTGCCAGGGCCTCTCTTTCACATCCCCCGCATGACCCAAACTGACACTTAATTTTTTATTATTGTTAGAAATTATTAAAGTTTAACTTTTTTCATTACATTAGGTCATAGTTAATAAAATGCAATGGTAATAAGGCCCGTCAGAATTCTCTGTTCTATGTTTTTGTTAGCTTTTTTGGACTTGACTGTATTCAACGTTCAATAGCATTCCTGTGATTTTGAACCAGTCGCCTCTGGAATAAAAGTGCTGTGTCGTTTTCTACCTTTCTAGCTCTTCTCCCGTATGTGACGCTGACCTCTAAGAATCCCTACCCCATTATAGTCTATTCTGATCTGTGGCCATATTATAGACCCCATTTTAGTCACTTTGGGGAAGAAAAGTAATTTTCGCAATCCCAACTAAGTCACTTTCTGTTTATGCATCTACCTTATGACTCGGTCATCCTTTTAACTCGGTCATCCTGAAATGAACTGACACATTTGTTAAACCTTTTAAATCTTTCTATTTTTAAATCCCTATATACCTTAATTTTCTGACCCCCAAAGTCCTGAAAATGTGCGACCCCACTCTAGTAACTCACTTAAAAATGCAATCCCATAATAGTCAACCCAGTCGTGAAAATGCGACCCCATCCAGCGGCACATACCATTATTAGCTTAGGAAGTGAGATACTTTGTTTTGGCTTACTTGAACAGTGAACTGGTAAGGCAAATACCGCGAATAAGGAACGCAGGCTCAACGTTTCCTCGAGATGTGCAAGGAAAACATGGCCGGATAACACGTGAGGCAATTGCAGAAATGGTAAGCTTTGTTTTTAAGAGTTTTCCTTGTAAGGTTTTGCCAGTAGATAATCATTTGTCGTATTCTGACCTACACTGAAATTACAGGGAAAGAGAAAGAAGCCGTTTATAGACAAGAAAAGCGCTCATAGTTTTCAGCTTGTTCATCGAAGTCAAAAGGATCCGCTTCAAGCTGATGAGGAGAGCTCCAAGCACGTCTTACTGCCCTTAGATTCTGAAAATCAGGTAAAGATCCATCATTTATCATAGTTAATTCCTACAACCCAGACTCCAGCTGATACCTCTCTGTTACTCTTGTAACCATTTTCACAGGAAAAAATAACAGATTCCCATTTTTGGATATTTTAGGGTATTTAAAGAATACCAACAAAAGTCCCAAATTTGGAAGAGTGAGACAGGTCCCAATCTGCGAACTTGGTGGGAATGCCCTCGTTGGGACTTGTCTCACTTTGCCAAATTTGGGATTTTTATGGGTATTCTTTAAATACCCTAAAACATCCAAAAATGGGAATCCGTTATTTTTTCCAGTGTTTCTCATTGGAATTGGATCATCCAGCTTTGCATCTTCTCCAAGGTGTCTTAAAACTTCCTAAAAACTGGCCATGCAGGTTTTGGTTTAATAGTCCAGCTTCGAATTTAAAATTACCGCTGAATACAAACATTAACAACACATTCATATAGGGTTAGCCTTGACATAACGTAACATATTCACAAATTCCAGCAAATAAGTGTTTTTTAATTGAAATTTGGAAATACACAATAGACAGAGTAATAAACAAGTCTTCGTCTCGTTGAAATTTGTGAATATATTTACTTCAGATTGAGGCTAAGCCTGTAAAAGATACATCTTCACTTCTTTTTTTTTCAGCGGTCATAGTGAACTCAAAGCTGGAGTATTATATTCAAGACTAGTAGGTTTCTTAGGAGTTTCAGTCTTGGAATACATAAATAAAATAATGAATAAATAGAGGCATGATTCCCACTGCCCCCATTTCACTGGCACCTATGGAGGGCATGATTCTAATGTAACAGGTCCCTTTTTTTGCCTCAATTCAGGTTCAGACAACTCTCTGATCAGGGCTCAAAATAACAGTCTGTCAATGGACAATGTCTGGCTAGAATAGCAACTGGACCGCCCCAAAACTTCAATTGCCGGTCATGTTGACCAGTCACGCTCACTCTCATTCTAGAACAAAGAGCTAATTCCTGAGCACCTACAGATCTTACACTTTTGTCGCTTGTAAAAATACGATCACTATCACAAATAGAAAGTAACAAAAGGATTTGTTAACTTTTTTCCTTTATTTTTTTATTGGTCAAAAATGAGACTTGACCAAGCAAAAATTTCTTTGGCTGGTTATCATGTCCAGCCATCGTAAGAAAATTATTTTGGAGCCTTTGTATAGATAAGAAATAAAAAAAAGAGCCATCGTAGCTTATACGCTCACAAGTGTATTATTTTTTTCTTTGTCTTCAGGGTACAAGTGGTAGTGGTTCTAAGTGAGTACATTGTTACACTTCCTTTTACAATTTTGCACAATTTTTGTTTTCCAAAGTAGAAAGAAAGGCTAAAGTAAACATGCAAGTGAAACAAACATTTCTGTGATTACAGACCTGCCTACTTTTTCTGTCAAATGCGTGAGATTTTCACCTCTTCATGACCTAGCGACTTCTGAAAATTTCCAACAATTTCTCGAAGACTTCCAAACAACATTTTGAGCACTTCTGAAGCTATTTAAAAGGCAAAAATTTTAGTGTGTTTTGATTTCATTTGGACACTAAGGGTGCGTTCCTTGGGGATGATCCGGATCAGGATGAGTGATCCGAGATCACTCGGATCATGGTAGATCAAATTAACTGATGAATTCTTGTCCCAAGTGGATTCATCTGTTCATTTGATCTACCATGATCCGAGCGATCTCAGATCACTGATCCTGAACCGGATCATCTCAAGGGAACACACCCTAAGTCATCATTCAAAGCCTTTTTCGAATATTTTCGGGAAATTTTAATTGAATTTTTACTATTAATTATGTGTTAAAGAATGTTTGTCAGGATTTGTGAATTAGGCGTGCGAAATAATTGTCCTTCATGCGTGAGTTCAATGTATTTAGGGGGTTTCAGGTCGGGGGGCTGGTGGGATTTGACGGGGGCCATGAAAAAAAATGGCTTTAAAGGGGGAAGGGAGTCAGGAAATATTGGGTTTAAAGGAGGGGGGTCTCCAATAAAATTCCCCTAAGTTTTGCAGTGATGGCATCTGTAATAATGCAAACAGCCTACCAGAAAGCCAAAAACCAGCGTTTCTGACATTCAGAAAGTTCAGATTTTTGCGGGTAAGCTTGGACATTCTACTCTATTTATTCACCAAATCAGGATGTCGAACATCACGCAAATTGTTTTACGGTTGGCTCCTCAAATTAAACATTACAAAATAAAAATAAGTAAAAATCAGTGGGAAATTAAAGGATACACTAAGTGCCTAGTAAACAGATAAAAGTGGAAATAAAGGTAAGAATATTTACAAGCTAAAAATGCACTAACAAGAATAAAAGTTGATTAAAATTTGACTTTAGACAAGCCATGCTCAAATGCTTTTCAAAAGAGGGCATTTGTCCCAAGAGTTGCAAACAACAGTGGCAAAGTTCAGAGTTGTCCAATGACCCATCTTTGGGAAGCAAATGATTTATGGATATCATGTTTAGATATAGTATTGTACGAAAACTGCTATTGAACAAAATGGGACACAAGTGCATTGAAAAGTTGTGTTTACCTGGTGCTGTGCATTGTTAGACAAGAAATGATGTTTTGAGTAGTGTAGTGACGAGCGTAGCATTAATGACTTTTTTTGTTTCTTCAAATCTCTTGGCAGGCTGAGACTATTTTAATCCAATAGAGCTAAAGTAATCTGCAATTAGGGGTCACTTATAATACAATCATGTGCCATCATATTAGCAAACCAAATAAAAACAACCAGGCCATTCTCACTTGATATACATGTACCATCCAATGCAGTAAATATTTTATACAAAACCAAAAATAACTAAGTTTGCTATGTTTTGAAACTCCCAAAGTTTCTCTATTGATTCTTGTTTTCAAAAACAGACTCCTTTGCAACGTCATGATCAGCTTTATACACAGACAATGTCTGTTCTCAGCCTATGGCCAAAACATCTATTGAATTTACATTCAGTTAGTCATTTTTCATTTTTCCTTCATCCTTTCTCTCTCTCTTGCCTTTTTTTTGGTGGGGGGTGGGGCACCAAAAAAAAACTATATATTACAGATGCTACCCATCAAATCCCACCAGCTCCCCTTCCCAATAACAAATGAACAGTCCCTTAGTCCACAGGTGGGAGACTCCTGCGCAATGCATGAGAGTTGGCAGGTATAAGCTTAAAGTAAACTATATTTGCTTTTTTAGAATGAAACGGATTGTGGTTTTTATCTCTTGTTTTTCAGTGATAATCAAACAAGGAATAAGGATGAAGAACACCAGCATGGTATTTTCTTTGATGATGACTATGATTATTTACAGCATCTCAAACCTCGCACCAATTTGTCACTAGAGCCATTACCAGATAATGTCACTGTGATAGAGACCAAGAAACCTGCAGATCAGTTTAAGGTACTCATGACACATTACTGTGTCAAAGTAGTTTTAAAATGTGGTAGTTTCCTGGTGTTGCGGACGTGACAGTGTGATCACCAAATGATGTAATACAACAGACTGTAACCACACACTAAACAATACCCACTCCAAAACACAAAAATGAACCAACAATAATATATTGTTTCTACAACACCAAGAAAAAACATCCTAAAATGTTAAAAATAAGAAATAATCTGTTATATAGTCTTAAAAGGTTACAGGTTAAAGGTAGTAAATCTCTATGTCATACAGCTCTTCAAGGTGTTGTTGCTAACAGTACATTGTATATTAATAACTAAAGTGTGTTGTTTTATTTCTGTTTTATTTGTCAGTTTGGTAATGTAAAGTTACCAAGTGAAGCATTTGCCTCGAGTTATGAAGAGCCCGAAGGACTCCTTAACCTTGCTGCTCCAACATTTGGTAATTTAAATCTAGTGTCTAATTACAGCAGCCTACTTATAATGACTGTCTTTCTAAGGTCCATGTTCTTCTGCCACATTTGTGGATTATTAACTGAATAGACCCTCCTTCCAGGTTTTGAACTTTGACATGAACTTGTTGGAAAATCCATCCATGTCGCTGGAAAGAGTAGCTAAAATTCGGTAGACTTGCCAAGGTTTGGAATGATACAATGTAAGGGTACCAAAATTTTACAGACATTTGTATGGTGGGTGGGGGTATGCAAGTTTGTTCACCCCACAATACAAAATTAATGTCTTTAAAATTCACAGAATTTTGCAGAGCTACATGTATACATGTATCAGTTACAGGTCAAAATTTAATTCAGGTTATAAATGTTTTAACCTAGGTTGATTCTCAATTTCTTTTGTTTCCTAGCCCTAATTATTCATGAATTAGGGCTAGGAGACAAGGAAAATTGAGAATCAACCTAGGTTTAAAACATTTTGACCTGTAACAAATCTTTTATCAATTCTGACCTAACCACTTTCAAACCTGGCAAGTGTACTAATTTTAAGTCATTTTCCAGCAATATCAGTAGATTTTTGCCACCTGGTTTGGTCGAAAGTTGAAAAAATAGAAAACCCTCTTCTTATTAACAGCCATAAATAGCCCTCTGATGGTTTTTCTTATACTAGGCCAAGTTTATGATTAGATTAATGTTTGAAGTAGTTATTTGATATTTTGAGATATCTCGAATAACCAGGCTAAGTAAATTATTTCTCACAGTAAATTAATTGTGGTTGTAAAGAAACCTGAATTTAAAATCTTGACTTTAAGAATGTCTCTCTGGATGCACATGTTCCTAGTTTGCAACAGAGTCAATCTATAGAGGTAATTGAAGAGCAGTTAAAGTGTAGCCTGCAAGCTAGCTCTCTGGGCACTCTGGTGGTGGGGCGAGAAAAGGATGGAGAGCTTGCAACTACTTCTCTGGAATTTGAATTCCACCTCCAATTCCCCTGTGGCTCTGCATTGACTGAGCTGTCAGATTTCCATCAATTAGCGCAAAATGGAAACGAACATGAATGTAAACAAACATTGAAAAACCTGTACCAAGGGTAATGACATCATTACTAATGTCATCTCTGCCAATCAGCATTTTGCATCGACTTTTTCCATGCAGATATTCAGATTCCAGAGATGTAGTTACAAGCTCTTCTTCCTTTTCCCACACCGCCACCGGAGCACCCTGGAGAGCTTGCTTGGAGGCTAGTCTAAGTGTAATGAAGGGAAGATAAATGACCAGATGGAAATTTGGAATAAACCCTCCTGGAATTTTATTTTCAAGTTTTGGAAAAGTTACCAGATTTAAAGGTGATACATTTAGACTGCTGGAATAATTGTCTCAAAATTGAAAAAATTGTTACCAAGTTTAAACATCTTTAAATTTAAATGCAAATAAAAATATTGCTATATCTTTGCAAAATTTTCAACAAATCACATTCTCTCTAAAACTCATCCACTTTACAGAGCTATTTTTTAGTTAATTTTGACAAATCTCATTCTAACTGGTCCCAATCAAAAGTTGAAAAACACTATAGAATTAGGGTTTATTACTTACTACATGGTATTGAACTCCATTTGAAACAGCTGGTGATATTGCTTATCCTTACAACTTTTTTTTACTTCTTTTATCTTGTCAGGCCCTCGTCCAGACCTGGACCCCGATGTTGTTGCCGCTCTGGATGATGCACTTGATTTAAATGATCCTGATAACATTCTTGATGACGACTTTGTAATAAAGGTAATAACAATTCAATGTCATTGTAATTTTGTATCTCAGTGAATTAAAAAATTCTCTTTACAAGATCTACAGGGAGTAATGTCACAGTAGGAAGTGTATTTGACGTAAGCTGGTATTAACCCATTTGCTCCTGGGAATTTTGCTGGAAAACGTGTTTTCAAGTTAGTTGAGCCATTTTCTGGTCAGTGTCTGGCTATGAAAGAGCTAAAACTTACCAAAAGGCCATTAACAGGTTGTGCACTTCACAGCCTTTTGATCCAGATGCAACATACTAGCTTGCGAAGCCCTTCAATGGGAGAAAACCCCAAGGGAGACCACAGAAGGCCTTCTCCAACCAAATACAGGAATGGATAAACCCCAACAAGCATTTCCCAGAGGATAACATCAATGATTACACCAAGACCAAGCGAGTAGGAAATGCCTTACAGTCAACTGCTCTCCAGTTGATTAATGATGATGATGATGATGATGTCATATCATGCTTCTTTGAATGCTTGCCACCATCATCACAGCCGTAATCTTTATTTAGTGGCTTTGACCACTAATCAAGTTGTCTTTGTTGTTTTCAGGCAAACAGAGACGGCTATGAAAGGTAATTAAATTTAGGTTGGTGTTTTGTCTAAAGGATTAGTCAACAAATGAAACAGCAATATTGTTCTTTGTAATAGGCAAATTTCACAAAAGAAATAATTTTTATCAACAAACCTCTACCATTCCTTACGTGCACACTTCAAAGGTCCTTTCTTAGCAGATTTTTTATTAGAAATCTTAACAATTATAAAAACTTCTCTCACTGACTGAATGGTAATCTTTGTCATCTGCAGTGATGATGACTTGATCAGAAGTGGTGAAGAGGATTCTGATGATGATGAACTTATTCCTTCTGATGAGGCAGATGATTCTGATTCTAATGATGGGATGTCATTCTTTGAAGAAGAGGAAACTAAGTCAAGGTTTACAAACTATTCCATGACATCCTCTGTTCTGAGAAGAAATGAAGGTACGTCAAATTTTAACTCCTTAAGTCCCAAGAGAGACCAAGATCAATTTTCTCCCAACAATGCATCTATACATTATCAAGAGAAAAGGTCATGAGAAAGACAAAAATGATCATCAAAGGGACAGTTCTTGAATCTTTTATCAAATTCTCCTTACTGATTCGTTAAGGAAATATAAGGAGACCAGCCTGGAGAGTTTGTATGTGGATATCAGGGCTTAGAGTTTAGAGAGAGTTAAGTGCATGTAAGATTTTGCAATTTGGGAGAAGTTTTTTAAAACAGTCAAATTTTGCTTGTCAACTGTACATGTTTGTTTTATGTTACATTGGTGTTAACACAGTTCTGCAACTAACATTTATTTTGTATTTTTATTTCAGGTTTAAAGCTCATAGACGAAAGATTTGAAAAGGTAGGAGCTTAATAAATAAGTAATAATAACATGTGATGGAGATGGTGGATAACTTTTGTAATTAACTAAGACTGATTTTTTTCCTAGTGTAATAATGTTGGTTTTGAACTGAATTTTAGTTAATGGAGGAGTATGACGAAGATGAAATTGGTGCCCTCGATCATGAAGAACTGGAAGGGACAATCAACCCTGACAGTGAGCGACTTAATGCTCTTGCTGATGAATTTATTGAAAGCCAACAGAACCAAGAGTAAGTGAAATAATCAAATATTTTCCAATACAGGATAGAGTTGTGTGAAGGACAATTTGTACAAATCAATGGTTACTTATTCTGACAACTTGCATAATGTTTACATTTCTGCTATGGTTGTTATCTTTATCACTTCCTTCAATCATCGTCATGGATACAAAGATTTTTTTCAGTGGGTTCAGAAGGTCATGTCTGTGGGCTACAATTGATAGATTTTAAAAATGTCCTTCAAATGACTTAGCTCAGATAGTCTGTTATGGTAACTATGAACAGTCATTATTGGTGGTCCTGTTTTGAGGTGAAATATGGTCTCAGGGTGCTTTCCAAAAGTCAGAACTGGCCAGGATGGGTCATTTCGTAAATGAAATAGACTTAATTGGAGTTTTTGCTTAAAAACCCTTCAAAACCCATGTTTATTATTTAGGAATTGACTGATCTAGTTGGACTGTTTTGATTAGCTCCTAAGTGGAGCGGGCAAACAAAGAAAATCAGCGAGCAAAGCAAGCAGAGCATGTCCGGGGGGAGATAAAAAGGCTGGGGAGCCTTTAGACTTTGTTTTGATGCTGCCCATCCACCCACTTGCAATTTCCTGTAACAAATATGTCAATAACCTGCCAATAAGGTATTTTGCATAAATACCACTCGTGATATTTCAAAATTATCCCAAATTTCACTCGCCTAATGGCTCTTGAAATTACGTATAACAATTTTGAAATATCACTCCTGGTATTTATGCAAAATATCACTACAAATCATGCTATTACCTATGCTAATATTCATCGTTCACTTGTCTGTACTTGGGTCTGGTTTTCTGATGTAGTTCTCATGAATCAAACTGTTGATTGCTGAGTTTGGGCGTGCATTGCATATGTACCAGGTAAATTTGTTTTTGTTGTTGTTTTGTAGCCTTTCTAAGGTGAAGGAGGGAGAAGCTGTCATGAGCCTTAATAATCTTGATGATGGCAATGACAGTGACAGTTGTCCAGATGAACTGGTGAGAGTAGCTGAGCAACCAAAGGAGAAATGGGACTGTGAATCAATTTTAAGTGAGTACAGTGCTGGCTTATCATCAGCAACAGAGAAATTTGTTTTGTTGGGTGAAAAGGGTGTTAAAAGTAATATAACAACTTGCTAAAATTTTGAAACACTTACAAATTGCTCAGATTTTTTTACACGAATAGCTATGCCATTTCCGAGTTCCAAAAACTCTCATTTTCAAAATGAGGCTATATGGAAAACCTCTCTTGTGGAAGTAGTTTTATTTGTATGAGAATAAAAAATAATTTTCATGTCAATTGCTTTGCACTTAGCCTCGCTTTGAAACGGCGGCTTGAAGCACCTCGGAAATGGCCTATTGGTAGTCAAATGTAATGTACAGCTGATTTTGAACAAGTATCTGATACACATAGTCCTCTCGAGCTGGTGTATAATAATAAAATTTTGACCCTGCTCCCTCCAGTAGCTCAGTGGTAAAGCGTTCGATCATGAACTCAAGAGGGTTGTCAGAGTTTGAATCTCATCTGGAGCTCAGAATTTTTTTCTGTGCTTTCTGATGTTTGATTTTTTCTTCTTTCATAATAATTATTGTTTGGTGCACTATCTTGAAGGTTTACAGTGCAATACAAGTAAATATTGGCAATTTGTCATAGCACGGCTCCATAAGTAGTCAGCAAACTAGTGTATACATTCACTGGTTCTGCGTTACACTTGTGGTATAGTAAATAAGTTACTACTCTTGCAGCTCAAGTCCTTGTTTTAAGGTTCTTTGGTTGTACCTGAGTTCAACTTATTCTTTTCTCTCTCTATTGCTTGTTTGTGTCACCCTGTTGGCACATGCTTTGAGAGGAAAATTAACATTGCTTTTCAAGTTTTGAGGGACAATCTAAAAGTGATAGTTACAGTATATATGCATTACATAGTAAGTCTGATTTGAGGGTTTGGCAGATAAAACCCACAGATAGTAATCTGCAAGATGAGTAACAATTTTTAGCGGCTGACCTTCACTTGGTTACTTTGCAGCGTAGCTCTGGTTTCTCGTCCACTATAGAAATTTTATCTTCAGGGGTTTTCGATTCCTTTTCGCAGCCTACATTGTATAAAACTGGTTTAGACCCCCTTTATAACCTAATGTTATATGTAAATTTTTTAAAAAATAGATAAGAATTTCATTCACTCGTTGTGCCTGGCGTTGAAGCTCCTTTTGAAACTGAGTGTTTTTGAAACGGGAAATGTAAAAATTACGTCAAAGTTTAAAAGAATGATCGTTATCTACAAGTCACGCGAGGATATTTTTCATCCATAGCCTCTTTTTTTGTTAACGCTACAGATTTTAAACTTATTTTGTTAAGATTTTAGTGATACTAAAATGGGAAACGGAGAGCGGAGATCGAGCACAGGAAACGGAAAAATGAAAAATGGGAAGAAAACAGAGAATTGGAAATGAAGTTACTGATAGGGCTAGGGTTCAAGAGTTAGGTTTTGTTCCCATTTTCCATTTTCTCGTTTCCCGCTCTCCGTTCCCCGTTTTAGTAAAATCCATTTTGTTACTACTTTAGGTTTATTTATTGCCGTTTATTCGTCAGGTACCTACTCCAATCTTTACAATCACCCAACACTGATCAAGGACCCTCCAAAGGTATGAATCTGTTCAAACAGGTTTCTCTTCCACGCTTGGCGGAGTTGTTTGTTTGACTGACCGCGGAATGTTTCAGTACATGTTCTAAGGTTTCTTTCCAAACTTGACAAAATAAATTTGAGAACGGAATTTTCGCCCAGAGAATGTGTTCTCGAAATAAAATGTGTATCGGTCATGCTGTCGTTTTCAATAGTCTCTGTTTCCACATTATTTTAATCCTGATAAGTTGAAACTCCACCTTGGATGGATGGAACAGCAGGCGCATGTCCCTTGAGACCCGCGCTAACATGAAACATCGTCAAGTCCTTGGGAAGAGGTTGCCGGGCTAACACGGCGACCACATAGCTGATTCGATGTCAGATTTTTGGACCAGTTACGTTTTCGGTGACCTTAAATGCAGTTTTTGTTTGAACAGTGGGCAAAACTGAAGAAAAAAGTGCGTTTTCAGGTTTATTGGTATAAAGTATGGAAGGGGCCTTAATTACCCTAGGCGAGGCCTAAAACAGTGTCGCTAAAACGGAGCGTGGTGCATTACAGAAGACCGCTCGCTCTAGTCCTCCTTGCGTTTGAGATTGCGCTTGTTTTGCTTGTATTGTTAGCGCATTTCTTTTCGTATGCTTAACAGCTTTTTTTTGGTTCTTTTCTAGGTAAAGCCGATAAAGTTATCCAAAGCTGGAATTCCCCTGGGTGTATTTTCCCAAGAAGGGCCCAGTAATGCTGTGAAAACAAGTGATATTAAAGAAACAGAAGAAACAGAAAGAGACGTGCCTCGCATTACAGTCAGACATAAAGATGAAACAAAGGAAGAGAAAAAACAACGGAAACAGGAAGTGAAGAGTGAAAGAAAGGTTAGTTCAGTTCATATCAATTGCAAAAGGAAATAAATGTTGTCCATAAAATTTGCTTGGGTTAAGAAGTGAACTATTTTTGGGGGCAACCGAGACACAAAAATTTCGCTTGATGTCAGTGAGGTGAAAGACGTTTTTTTGCACTCCCAAACATTGCATGCTCTGTCTCAATGTTGTGAACAAATGGCCTTGGGATTCGAGCCAATCTGAAACAGAAAGATGGTTTGAATGAATCAATATTTATTTTTTCCTGTTTTTTATTATCATTATTTGTTTGTCTGTTTGTGTTTTAGGTGAGGCGAATGGAAAAGAAAGCGAACAAGACAGCTTTTAAGTCTGAAAAGCAAAGACAAGAGCAGTCCTTGATAAATACAAAACAGCAGCAAGGAAGGAAGCTCTGACGACTGATTTTTTAACAGTTCATTGTTTTAGTCTATGTATATATTTTAACCTTCAGAATACATTACTACGTTTGCTGTGATATCTGTTCGTAGCACGGGCAGGTTAGACAGACGAGACATTTTAAAATACCGTATTTTCTCGATTAAACGCCCCCGGCGTTTATTTCAAAATCGGGAGGTTTGATCCGACGTTTAATGGCGAAAATATGGTAGTCGTCTTTTTTCAGCAGCCACTGGCGTCCGTAAAGCGGAATAGGCTGGTGCTTTTCACTGTCGCGCTATCAAAAATAAAAACAGAAAGTGTTCAATTGATAAAGTCTACAATCTGGGAAATGAAAACATTTTCCATATGCAAGATATTCGAGAAATGTTTTACTCAAATTTATAAAGCTTTGTATGGAGTCGCCATGTTGGTCTCCCTCTAAGGGGCTTCAACATGGCAGCCGGAAACCAACAGAAACATCTGTTACCAAGTATTGCTGTGAAAAGGCGAATTCATCCCTCGAGGAACTCATGAAAATTAAAGTAATACTTTTCCTTATAATAAGGGCTGTTCAGACAGCAAAATCCCCGAAATAACTGAGTCAACTTTTTAACCTACATGATAGCTCTCTCGGCCGCTTCGTTATTAAATGCCGTGTCCCGCAAAAGGTTAGAAATTCAAGCTTTCTCATTCACAAAACGAAGAACCCTTTCTTTGGAAGTGAAAATCTGTAAGTTTTTGGCTTCTCTAACACATTATGAAAGTAAAATCTCAGGGGGATCGACAATTCGTTATTTTTGAATTTTTTTGACGTCACGTAAAAACAGCCCTTCAAAACGAGGCCAAGTGCTAAACCTTTCCTCTCACAAGGCTACAACTATACGGACTTTGACAAGACGAGCGCAACTAGTTTGCAACTCGCCTGACAGTATTGTGAAAATGAATTTTATTTGCGTGAAAATAAAAAAATCACTTTCATATCAATAGCTGCGCACTTCGCCTCGCTTTGAAACAGAGGCTTGAGACGAACATATCACGGTGGTACGCCGCAAGTGACGTAATGCGAAAAAAAGGAGTCACAAAACGATGGCTAACCAGCAATGGTTTCCGCACCACCAAAAAACATCAGGAACTGTAGATAACAATTACGTGTATTAAAGACAAACGTTTTCGGTCCGGAAAATGTAAACCTAGTATTTTTACCACAATAAAGATTATGCCCGATGTTTGTGATGAAAATTGCTACATTTCATTTTTCAGCCTTGGAGTTCTCAGAAATTCCAGCCTGAAATGTCTTCAGGACGAAGATTTCCTTAAAAATATTGTTAAATTTCAATCTTGAAATTTGCACGCTCAAGGTAGTTAGGGAATCCGAAATTATCTAGTTTTATATTAATATCGTGGGAATTTGTTCGCGAGTATCTGCGGCTTCGCCGCTCATGCGCGAGGGATACTCGCTTCTCGAAATGAAGGGCTTTCTCGATGGTTAGGGCAGTAAACTGGCTGCGATTGGTCTGTTTGCTCCATTGGCCGAGCGCTTAAGTCTCACCAGACAAGAATTGAAAAAAGTTCAACGCAAAGATCTGTTTATATGACGAAAAGAGATAGGAATTCCGGCTTCAGAGAAAATATAAATTATTTCTCTCACACTGATATCCCCTTAGTACTTTTTGGGAGTCCTAGCCCTATAATTAATAACTTCAGGGCGTATTCCTTGTTTTGTTTCCATTTTTCAATTTCCTAACCTGTGAGCAGGCTCTCTGGTGAGAATTCGGGGAAATTTTTGGCGCAGCCTATAAATTTCCTGTTCGCCCCGCTCGTTCCTCGTTCCTTTTTTCAGTAATAATACTCTATGCTACGTATACCACCCGGGCAGGAGCCCATAACCCGGAGCGTCTAACTTCCATACTGCGCCTGTGCAACGGCGTTTTCACAAGTAGGTTTATTTTTAGATAAGCCTTTCCCGCAAATTGCTTTCGAAAAGCCAATCACAAGCAAGTGCGTCATCAATAATAAACTTTTAACACGTAACCAGGACAACTCCTTCACATTGAAAAAAAAAGCGTGGCGGACGTATGTGAGGAATCTTCAGGGGATTCTTCTGACAGTACGTCAAGCGACAATTTCATTATTTACACGGAAACTAGCAGTTCAGAGGAAGATCTGCAAAACGTAGAAGAGCCCGGGACGTCTACTTCATCGGCGACAACGCATAATTCACGGAGAGGGAAATGGAAATCATCTTCGAAACAGCCGACTGTGAAAAGGTCCACGCGACAACCGTCATTTTTCGCGGGAACTGAGCTTATCTAAAAATAAACTCACTTGTAAAAACGCCGTTGCACGAATTTATGGCAGTTGCACGCTCCGGGTTATGGGCTCCTGCCCGGGGATGGGTAGTATTGGGTACTGCCTATAGTGACCTGTACAGAGAGGGTTCGCCCGGAAAGGGTACCTTTTTCAGGCGTCAGGTATATGCAAGGGTAGGATTTCACTAGTTGAGGTATATAAAAGGATTGGGAAATCTGTCATTTTGGTCTGTAAAAGGACCTGAAAGTACCAACAGACGCATTTTAGGGCTGTGAAAAAACCAAGAAAACTTCATGGTTTAGTGGTGTATTCAAATTTAAAAAGACATACAGTGGAACCCCGCCATACGACCACCCCGTTAATACGACCACTCCGTTATTGCGACCACTTTTTTGTGGCCCGCACAAAAGCCCACTCATTTTCTTATCTGAAAACCCCATTAATCCGACCACCCGGTTATTACGACCAATGACCACCTTTGGGAGTCCTGAGTCATTATTTTGTTATAAAATTACTCCGTTAATACGACCAGTCAAAATGCTTGGTGGGGCTGCTGAATGAAAACAGACACAATCTGATAAACAATAACCCATTACTAATATTTTATTGAATGTTTTTAGGCGAAGGTGTTAGTGGTTAGCATGACATCCGGGAAATTGCTGTGTGCAGTAAAAAGGATGCATGATTAAATAATACAAAAGATCCGAAAGACTTCACTTTGCAGCATTTCGAGGCTCTCAAAGTTGTTTTGCCTTCTTGTTTCTGCTCCCTTCCACTGTGGCCTTTCTCTTCAAGTCCATTTCCTTTTCTTTTCTCTCAGAACTTTGAACTTTGTAATAATTGTGAAAGTGTTGTAAGCTACAATATAGAAAACAGCTCTTCGAGACAAACCACAAGCCCTTTCCTTTCATAACAAGGAACTGAAAAAAGTCAGTGTTTTTTCTCATTGCTAGGTTTAGTTTACTCTGTTTACTGTTACATTGTTCGGTTGCATTGAATTGCGGTTGTAAGGTTGTTAATTAACTGCAAAAAGGTTGATTTATAACGGATTAAAGGTATACATATAGTAGAATGTGATTTAAAAGCATTTTGCACCATAATTTGACCCTACCCCGTTAATACGACCAAATTTCCATGGCCCGAAGGTGGTCGTATGAACGGGGTTCCACTGTAACAGTTGAAAGGGGTGCAGCGTTCTAAACTTGGTACAGTGGAACCTCTATTCAACGGACACCTCCATTCAGAGGACAAAAAATTTGGTCCCGGAAAAATGTTTACATTGTCTTTGTATTGCTACCTCTATTGAAGGGTCTTGAAGGGACATGGCTGTTCAGGGTAAAAACACTTTTTGTGGGCCCCGAGACCCAGGTTTAACCTCTATTCAGGGGACACCTCAGAACTCAAAAAGTGACCGGCCACAAAAGATCACAAAAATCATTGATAAGTGCACTTGTCACATTGGCGACAGCTTTCAAAACATGGACTATCTCACCTAAATCAAAAATCGATGTACTGCACTTGTGGGAATTCAACACACAACATCGCAGAGTAGCCCCCCGTCCCCCACCGGTGACGACGGAATCAGTTTGCATCAGCCTTCATGTTCTCAGGGGTCATGAAGGGCGATCACTCCGTTTTATATCTGGTTATTGGCCATTTTTATGGTCTATGGATCGTTACTTACTGAAAAAGGTCATGCAAAACGTGGGCTGCCGACTTTTTTCACTGTAAATTATGATAACAATGATATTTTACAAACGTAAATCGTGAATTTGCCCCGGGGAATTTGCAGGCTATTTGGCTTCGCACGCGCTGTTATTCGCGCTGTGTGTGGTTTGAACATCAACTGTGTGACGTCAGTTTATTACGCAAGGACCACACCACCACAATGTGTTCGCGGGCTCGTCCAAGCCGGTTTTACGCAAGGCAGTGGCCATCTTCAACAGTTGTAAGAAAGTAGACAGGTTTTTGGCGTCCACTGCCTTTGATTATGTCTTCGAGAGCACAAAGGGACAAAGGACAGAAGCAGAATACAGCCCAGACAATTTTATCGGAGTTACTGAAGGAAGAAGAGAATAAATATTGTTCTGATTGTAAAGCAAAAGGTATGGAACCTTTCATCGATCGATCGTATTTTAAAAATCAGATGTCTTCCGTTGGAGCGAGAGTTCGCTTGTCAAGCTGTAAAATTCTCACTTCCTGGTCGACAAATAATCGTATTTTTCTACTGCAGGACCTCGTTGGGCGTCTTGGAACCTGGGAGTGTTTCTTTGCATTCGATGCGCGGGTATACATCGAAACTTAGGTGTTCATATTTCTCGAGTCAAGTCAGTAAACCTTGATTCATGGACGACGGAACAGCTAGAAGTGAGTGAAACGTCATTCTACTGTTCTTACGAAAAGCTGTTATTTAGGTTTAATTTTAAAACTGAGACACTTTTTCTATTTTTTCATGTCATGTTTAGAGTATCCAAGAGTGGGGAAACAAGCGAGCAGCAGAGTTTTGGGAATGTAATCTGCCAAGTGATTTTCGACGTCCACAGACCGACTCGTACCATTCGTCAAACAACACCGGTTAATTTAAATTTCTCGGGGAAATTTTACCATCTGTTGCATAATGGCTCATGATTTATTGGGTAGTGTTAAATCTATAGATTTTCATATCGCGTATTGTTTGATACTTTTGACACTGTACTGAGGAAGGAGCTTCCTTCTCTTTTCACATGTACCAACAGGGAGCTTGTTGTCGCCCATGATAAACTGTGCCTTGTATGTTAACCGATTTAATGCATTTGTCAAAGGTTAAAATCAATGATTTTTGTTTGTTCATGTTTTACAAACGCTTAATTTTTACACTGTAGTCGGTTCTTTCAGGTCTTTACGACAAACAGGCGTTTAATTCGTTACGTGACAGTGCGTGGTGGCAAACACACATTCCATTTTGTTGGCGTGCGATTGTGATAAATTGTTTTCCCCGGTGGTTAAATATCGCGAGAGAAAAGGGCCGCCAACTTAAGTGAAATGCATAGGTAAATAACAAGAAATTTGGAAAAAACTCTGTTAATTCCGATCAAATCTGTTTTCATGGATTTTGAACATATTAATTTGTGTTAAGTAAATTGACGAGTCTGGCAGAGACCGGTGTAAAGTTTGACGACATTTTATGAAACTGAGTATGGTTACTACAGGAAACGTCGAAAATTTTTTTGATTAAACAGCTAAATAAGTGCTACCTTTTGAACGTTTTTCATATCATAAAAGATATGATGGATTATCGTAATAACAAATCAAACATATTTCTGTTTAATGGCCAATCAAGGATTGTAGGAAATGTATCAGAATATTAATTATGAATTATACTGTACATGTAGTCATTTTTTTCATAGATCTCTTGGTTAATCGATTTAATCCATATTTATGCTCAGTTACTATCCATGTGCTCTGTATAGGCCATTTCTAAAAATGGTAGCAGCATAATAGATTTGAATTTAAAATAAAAACTTAGCGTATATGTTGTAGTTAATTTTTTTATCTCAGACTCAGTTAATTTTGGTTTTCTTTTGTTTTTGGGTATGGTGATGTATGCTAATAAAGTTGAAACAAAAGAAAAAGAAAAATTACCTGAGATAAACAATTAACTACAACATGTACAGTGAATGAACGTGCATGTACATCCATACTGAAAGTCTGCACTTTTTGCACTTGATTTTTCTCAAAGTTTTAATTTACTGATTCAATTATTCCACTTGTGTACAGAAAGCAAACTTGATACCAGTAACATTAATAACAAATGATGTAATTCAAGCGTGATTGAAAGGAGTGTTTTGTCAATAGATTGAAGTGACTGGATTTTTTTCCTGTTGTTTTGTCTTCTTGTCTTGTTGTCTTTTAACTTTACAGAGCCACGGAACATTTTATCAGAAACAAATATGAACGTAAAAAGTATTTAAAGAATGATGGCCTTCCACCTAGTAATCCAGGAAAGAACTCTGTACCCAAGGAGGTGAAACCTGCAGATAAGGTATTAAACTCAGATTTTCACTTTCAATATGACAGTAGATACATTGTTTGGTTGTTTGTTTGTTAATAGTGAACTTATGCAGTGGGATGGCAGAGAGGAAAGAAGACGGCAAACCTTGAGTGGCAAGCTGACGTTATTGCATTTAAAAAAATTTTCAACCAAAATTCATCTTCCTTCAAACAGATCTTTTTTGTGAAAGACCAGAACACAGCAATGTTCAGAGAAGATCGCTACAAAACAGGCAAACAACAAAGCCATCACATTTTTCACTCACAGACATTTTGCCACCCTGCTTTTTCTGCTGTCCTGTTTTGTACACTCACTATTAACAGAGGAAATGGACTAAAAAGCTGCTCCAGCGCATTTACAGGTTTTTGACTCAGAAAATTTTGTTTATGAATTATTAATTCAAACCTAACATAAGTTAGGCAGCAAACCAGTTGGCTATTAAACCATGACCAGGGTGTTGAACTCAAGACTCTATTCTAGAGCAAATCCAGCTGTTGGTTATCTGCAAATAATACTCTTATGGACCTCCAGGTTCCAAGTCAGATGGGCTATGACAGTTCTATTAATTTGCCTTGCTTATAGTATTGTCTGAATATTTCATTATCTCTTTTTGTCAAAGCAAACATCAAGTGTAAACAAAAAACGCCATTGGCCTCCTCTATAATCAGGAACTAACATGTTTCACTCCAAAATTGACATTTGTGTGATGAAAAGCTGTGATTCTATACTATTTGCAAACATTTACTTCCCCCTCCTGTTTTCCCTGCTTAAAAATTGATGGTATTCCCTCTGTCTGCACCAACCCCCTCCACCCTCTAGATAACAGAAGGCAAAGACAATGGTGATGGCAATGAGAACCTCAAAAAACAAAAAGGTCTATGAAGCTAAATACAGCAACTTTGTATGTGCATCATGCATTTTTGTACATTTCTTTGCTGTCACTGCACTACTACACTGTGTAAATGGCTAATTTCACATTTTATTGTGGATGTAAACAAGCAACAACAAATTTTTCGTCATGAGTGCGGTCCCCAAGACGTTACTCTGGGAAATTAGCAGCCCTACATTTGACATTTTACAGCAAACTGAAATAAACTCAAAAAAGTTTGAAAAAAATATGAATTCATTTTGAAGAGATGTCTTCTCTGCTGTTGTGTCGATGTTAAAGCTCCCCAATGACCAGCTCAGCTTGAATGTGGTGGTCTAAGACTTCTTGATATGGTACAATTTGACAAATATGAAGTATTTTTCACTTTTAAATAGACAAAGAAAAAGAAGGAGAGGAGAGAAGAGGAGATCAGCATTACACCCCTCAGAAATGGTACAGATAAGAAGGTGTGTTGATGGAGCACTGTATTCTGCTAAGCACCTATACCTGTGCTAAAGTCTCTCTTAAAAAACTTTAAGCAGACACCCGGAGTTGGCCCCTGTTGTTTCTTAGCAGAGTGAGAACAAAATTTTTCAAAATCACTGGCCCTAAAAAAGGGCAAGTTGTTGCTAAAGAGCCTAGTGCACAAATCATAATATGAAAGCATACTACCACACAGGTGGCTCCACTAACCCCAGGCCATTAAAGAGCACTTTTGTTGCGCCCTTTTCAGCCTTTTTAGGTTGGACACTTTGTTCCAGTCCCAGCAGTGTCTGTCTTAGAGAGAGTTTACTCTAGCCTTATTGAAATTGGCTTGGAAAAGCCTTGTTTTAATACGGAGTGGATGACTACATGGAATAAGCTACCTTGTATGCATAGAAATTTAGGAAGGTTGTACAAAAATTAAATTTAGAACTTTTTTATTAGCTCTTTACGTAATATATACACCCGCAACATCATTTTGTATCAACTGACGACTTTTTTACTCTTCATAGCAGCAGTTTGAGAATTAATTCTGAACATTTAATACATTGTAGTGTTTACTTATTAGATATTATATTCTTAATGTAGTTGTTGTCTTTACAACTTTTAATCTTTTATTGCACAGGCACGTTCAAATGAGTTTTATTAAACAAGTTCATCCTTCAATGAAAATTTTAGACTGATTGTAAACACACAGTCACCAGTTCACAGTGTAACAGTTTTCAATTCACTTCAAAAACAGTTTGGACCAGTGAGGTGGTATGGTCATGAAATTTGTCTTCTTTATCTACAGGCTCCCCCTTCAGTTAATTCAACTCCCCAGACAATTGCCCAACCCCGTCCCAGTTCACATCCTCCAGCAGTTAAGGCACCTGAACAAGCCAAGCCAGCTGCACTAGTTGATTTGCTGTCCCTTGACACTCCAACAACAGCATCTGCATCATCTGGTGACTTACTGAATTCTTTTGCACAACCTCCTCCGGCTTCTCAGCCTGCTAAAACTGGTTTAGAGAATGAGGTGAGATTTACATACCTGTTTTGAAGAGCTTGAAATGTAATGTAAATATGTAGTTATCATTATAACTTGAAAGAGTGCTACCCTCCAGTAAGAGCAGTCCTTGCAGCAGAGCCTCTCTTTCATTTGCTCAGTTTCGGTGTACTCAAGAAAGACTCTGCATGAATTGAGTAAGATCTTTGTTGAGCATGCATGGTATGTTGCTAGGATATGGTTTCGAACCCAGGCCTTATACCTATGCGCTCACTTCAGCGGGCTCGGTTATGATCGTTAGTTTATCAATGGACAGCTTGCTCGCACATGAAAAAACCTGTTTGATGACAAAAAACAATAGTGATTAGTCCAGAAGTTTGGGCTTCAGCAATCTCAAAGGCTTGCGGACACAATTCAGGTAGAACTTACTTTTCTCCTCCTCACTCAAGAAGACAAAAGAAGGCTGCTCACAGGGTGGAATAAGAGTTGCTTTCAGAAAAAAAATATTAATAAGTGCTGCACCCTCCCAGCAAAAATACAGGACATGTGATTTTTTAAAATGGCAATTTGCCAAAAAAAAACTGCCGGCTCTTTCTCAACTCTCAAGCTAGCAGGATGCAGTTCTAAAACCACTGTGCAAAAAAAAAAACTGGGTATCAACAGGATACCAGCATCACTATCATCACCACCATCTTCACATCAAACCCATGATCACTGTCATTTCAAACACCAGTTTTCTACTAAACCTGCACATTTTCTATCGGCAACATTATTGCTGTCATCAATGCCACAACCATTTATAACAGGATTAATTTTATGAGCTATTTTAGCATTTCAGCAGTTAACGGGCTTCAGTTTTTCAAACTCTGCTTGGGGAAGTTCTTCCCCCTAGACCCATCCAGAGGGTGTGGCATTTCCTGGGATCGCTGTCTTGTTTATGTCTACTTTGTAGGGTCCTGCTGCGTTATGCACAGTCCTACTGCTGCAGTGAAAACTGATGATGATAATGTTCTGGTTAATACCATTGCTTGACAGCGATAAATGAGAGGATTGTTCTTGGTAGCAATAAGTTGTTACTATTACCTCTAGGTTTAAACAGCTTTGAAGTCTGTGTTATCTCATTTCATTTAATATAAAATTATCATTTTTTTCTTACTTTTTTTCTCTTCTAACCTCCTGTTAACTTTGTATTTATCTGATTATGTGTAAATAATATAATTAATTAATATTAAAATATCTGTGCCTGACCCACCTCAATTAATGTTCCTGCTACTTAGTGGGTCAGCACTATCTCTTATATTTTTGTAAAGTAAATAAAGATTGTTTGTTTTGTATTGTATTGTTGTTGGTGACTGGTAACAGTTAGGTGATAATAACAGCTTAAAGGGGTGTCTCTTCTAAATGAATTTGGCACTCTTTTTCTTTCTTTTTTATTTGCTGCTTTTTAAATATGCTTATCGTTTTTTATTCACAATGCTTCATTTATGTTTATCCGTTTTTATTTTTCTATATATTTTATTTTAGCTTATTGATTTTGGTGCATTCCAACAGAACACTGTCATTGACACTGGCTTTAGTCAGCCACAACAGGTACATGTAATACATCGGTGCTTGGTTTGCCAGCTTATTACATTGTCCTTCATTTTTAACATTCTCCACAATACCCTTTCATTTTTATTTTTGTTATTGATTTCTGGTGGTGTATTTTGGCAAAGAAAAATGCCAAGATGTATAATCCATGCAGGCTTTGCTTGCTATGTCAATTATCTCAAATAGGGGATTGTCAAAATGGGATGCAGTAGACAGGACATTGAAGGAAGCAAAAGGCTTCAAGCTAATGGCAATATGGCTTGTGTCGCAACTTTGCTGTGCTTGTTGCAATATTATTCACTTGGTCTTCTGCAGAGCAACCATTTACCCACTAACAATAATAAATTTTTCTTTCGAACAGCTCAACTCCACTGCACCTCAAGAGTCAAATGAGGAGTCACTTCTGAAAGATGATTCAACAACCAACAAGTCGACTAAAGGTAGAGAAATTAATTGCTTATTGTAGTTACTTTTTCAAAATGTATTTTATTAATGATTCTTTCCTGGCAAGCTGTCCCAACCCCAGATACCACTAGAATAAAGTTGAATGAAAGAGATAATTATAATTATTAAAATGTGGAAAGGTCTGTGAAATCTTTAAGGTACAAATTAATTTTCTCTATTTAGTTGATGAAATGAACAATTTTTTGACTTGCCAAATATTTTGTTTGGAATCACTTTGTGCATAAAATAATTTTACATCATGTAACTAGGCTCTTAACCCAAGTGTTTTCAATATTTTATAAGGGTGTGTCAAAATGTCCGATCACTGTGATATTACTCAATTATTTACTTGTGCAAATACATTGTGACTTTGCTTTTGTTTGTCCTTCCTACAGACAGCATCATGGCATTGTATGCTCCAAAAAGTCAAAATAATCAACCACAGATGTATAATGTTCCTGGAGGGGTGTACATAACTCCACAGCAACATCAACAGCAGCCTCGCCCGGCTGCACCCGCCATGTTCAACAGAATGGGCTCAATGCCTGTCCATGGAGTTTCTATGGGTATGGGTCCCCAACTGGGGAATCCCCATCAGCAGATGCAACAGCGACAACAACAACAGCAACAACAGGTAAAGCTGTTTGTAAAATCTCCTTTCTATGAGTGACGGTTCTTGTTTACAAGTGATAGAAATTTGCAAGGAAGTTGTATCTTTTCATTCTGTTTTTACAAAGTACTACAATATGCCCATCAAAATCAAAGCTATTTTATGCAGTTGAATGCCCTGTCTACAATGGCCACCTTGGGGATACAGTAGAATCCCAATTTCTTGAACACTCAAATTTAGGAAATTCCTGATCAATAATTCGAACCAAACCTAACTAGCACCCTTCTTACTCTAGAAAAACATAGAGAATGTATTAGATAGCTTCAAAAATTGTACATGAATAGAACGGTCATCTAGAAATTTTTAGCTGTCCTTCTCCAAACAGATATTTACAGAAAACAGTCGTTGGGTGTCCCTCTTAAGCCCTAAGTGTGATCAGCATAAAATTTCTCCCTGTATTATCAATGCTTTATAAAACAGTTTGGAGACAAAAATTGAGGACATGATCACAACAGATATATTGAGTTTATAATTTAACAACTTCTCCCTGCTACTTCAGTAGAAAATGCATAGGGACACCAAGTGAGAATTAAAACTTTGATATCAGGGGTTAAAATGGGGTTTTATAGCAAAGTTGTATTTTTATGCTAATGGACAGGTTGCCCAGATTCAACAGCAGATGCAACAGATGCGGCTTAAACAACAGTTGGGACCACAACAGATGACCATGCAGAGTGGAGCAGGTCTGTTTGGCTCTGGCCAGCCAGCAATGGCAAATGGTTGGATGCCATCACAACAGCCAATGTCATTTCCACAGCAACAGCATCCTCAGTTTGTCACTACTGGACCAGCGCCACCCAGCATGAACTATGGAGGTTTTCCAATGGCAACCATACCAGGCTCAGGCCAAACCCTTAGCAATCAGTTGTGGAAGTGACAGAGATGTTTTTAATGTAAATAAGAATATTATGGATTCATTCTATAAATCTTGTACATCTCAAAATTATACAGATTACCTTAAACTCACTATTTGTGCTTTCTGGGGCAAAGACCATCTGATCTTGAAAGTTTTCACTGGTGAAAACTTTGCCTTCCTCCTGGGACCTTAGTTTTGTCAAGACTGCATGTACATATGTACACAGTAGTAGTTGTTTTATTGTTTTAATGATTGACTCAAAGAATAGGTTGAGCTTGCTGGAAAGAGAGTAGACTGTAAAGTTGCTGGGGTGGATTTCAAATGTAATTTCTCAGTGTAAAAATTTTCGGGAAGTTGAAATGGAAATTAAGGAAGTTCAGATACTAAATCTGGCTAGTACTTGACATCTAGCTACCTAGGACTGGAGGGACTAAACAGATCTCCAGAGTTACATTATTTTGTATTGTTATAATCATTATCTTATTTTTAATAATTCATGTGTCGATTAGTCTTAATGAATCAGAAAATGCTCTGACAAATGACTTAACTTGTGTAACGTACCATGTAAATGTAAAAATGTGTCAGCAAAATTAACTTAAATCAAGGTAATTGTGTCAAATGCACCAGCAAATCCATCATACCTGAGGGACCAACTCTAGGTGTCTGTTTTGTACAGGTTTTTTATTGGGCTAGAGTTGATTGTAAACAGCAACTTGACATTTCTCCATAATTTAAGTTTGCGAGCAAATTCTCAGTGTGGAAAGTGGTAGAGTAAAAAACTATATAACCCCTTTACACCCTTGGCCTCCCTCTTGTGATTCTCCAATGAAGAGCTTGTCTGGAGGAGAACCGTAATTGAAGTGATGCTTGTAAAATGGACAAAGTGGCATAATACTGCCTAATATTAATTTTTTGCAAGAATCAAAGGGGGAATTTGACATTCAAATGCATATTTTCTTCCTCTGTGGGAGTGATATTGTCAACACTGCAAAAGAAACAAAATGTTTGTCGTAGTGGAGAGACTTGTTATGAAAGCATGAAAACTTTGGAAAGGCATAACATTGTGAGGTTCCAGAAAATATAAGTCACTAGACAGTATGGAATTTGCTGGTGTTATTCACAATAATAAAAAGCTGCAGTTGTAATTTGTATTGGGATAAAAATAATGTAGAGGATGTTCATCTGTAATTATGACCTAGATGGTGTAGATAAATTGAGTAAATGTTCAATAATAGTTGGTTTGTAAGGACTACAAAATAAAAAATCAGCAAGATGAAAATCATTGGAGAAATAATGAATTCTATGTGGTCCAACAGTAGCACAAGTGATTAATGATAGGGGGACACTTGTGTAGTCCCTGTATGGTGTCTTCCTAGGCCTTCTGGGTTCATTTCATTTCGGTGAGGTATCCAGGACTTGCTCGGACCATGTGACCCAAAATGCATAGGCCATGGAATAATCGGTTAGCATTAGATCCCATTGACCTAAACCCGCCTTGACACGGTATGAAGTTTACACAACCTAGTATTCCTTATCGCTTGACTTATAGTGATTAGGGTTAAGCAACAATACTGATTAGGGTTAAGCACTGACTCCAAATGGTTAGCTTTTATTTAGGGTTAGGGTTGTTGCTATATACCTTCAAATCAAACTAATGCTGGCCAGCAAATCCTCAGTGGCATAGTGGTATAAAGATTATGGACTGCAAACACTACACTCTGGGTTCGATTCTTACTCTTGCTCTTCTGAATGCCATTTTTCCTTAAAAATTGAAGAGACTTACCCTTTCATAAACATTTCCCGAGCAGAAATGTCAAGAAACTTAGAAATTTTATCTAAGAGTAGTGAAGAAGCAATAAAGAATACTACGTTGTGTAAACTTCATAAGGTGCCCAAGGGCTTTAGGCCGATGGGGTCTAATACTGACCGGAATAACGAGGCCCAGGGACTAGGCAAGGGGGGCACCATAAAGTTGTCAGAATGAGTTGTTTAGTAGCTAATGAAACAATAGATGAGTTCATGACCCACCCAATGTCCCTATCCCTAAAAACAAGCAGTTGTGTTTTCAAAGGCCTATAAAAATCGGTTTCTGTGAGCTTGGTGGCTTCAAGAATGATAGTGTAAATTATGAGCACTCTCTGTCTCCAACCTTCTCATGGGATCTCAGCATTGGGCTGGAGGGTTTTATTTTTAATTCAGACAAGCCACATGGACTTGAGGCAGTCACTTAACATAACATAAATGTTGACCAAGGACACAGATGGGTTAAAACTGCAACAGCGATGAAGAGAAGCAGTAAAACATCCACAGCGACATAGCTCCCCCCTCAAAAAGCAGAACAACATTAATTTTATTAATTTTGAGATTCAGACTTGGGACATACATACCCCCCAAAAAAAAAGACGGCCAAGTCCTGTGACTCAATCCTAACATCTTCAGTTGCACCCCATCCTGCCCCTGCAAATTGAACACGCTGGCTTTGGTCAGGCTATGTCTCCTTATGTTACAGCTTTGAGTAGTAAATAGTACATCACCTATTACACACCAGTCTCAGAAGGGCCTTTTAATTAGCAAAAGGCAGTAACTATGTACATAATGGGATGAAAAATGAAAACATTAAATGAAGCTTACTATGTAAGAAAGCAGTCAAACACTGCTACTAGTAATTTCTGGTCCCTAAAGTGAACAATAAAAGTTGTAAAATCTGATCTACCAGTGTAAAATTTGATTTACTGGTGGGAGTTGTAGTGAAAAGAAATAAAATTATAAGTAGTATTCAACTAGCAAAATGCTAAACTGTCCCTAAAATACATGTATTTGTTACACTCAAGACTTTCTTATAGTTGCCAGATCAGATTCTAATTTCTGTACTTATCAATGCACAGATAATAAATAAATCTGACTTTCCCATTTATCACGTGTACGCTGTGTTATTCACCAAGTTTGTAATTTCAAAACTTTTAGCAAATCACAATGAAATGTACCACCCCAGTACAAGCAGACACATTTAAGGAATTGGCAGGATTATCCAATTCATAAATGCATTAATTAAAAATAAAATTGTCAGTTAAAGACTAGTAAAAATAAATAGTCAGATTTAAAAGAGATCTTTCACAACTCAATGACAGCAGGTCAAACTAGCCACCCCAACTGTTGGGCTATTGAAAAAGGATCTTCATTAACTATCGCACTACCATAAATTCTCATGCCACAAACATCAGATGACGAACTTTTCACACCGCCGCGGTCAACAAGATGAGCCATAAATGGCATGGGTACATCACCAGTCTCCAGGTAGCTATTTTTGATCTCCTCCACTGGTGCACTTTTCCGAAGTTGTCCATTGCAAAAGGGAGGAAAGTGAATGCACAAGTTGAAGCACTCGGAACCAAACTTGTGAATAAGAGCTTCAACTGCCTCGTTGATTGCTAGTTTAAAATCATCGTCAAAGTTCCAAGAGATAACCTTGAATTCATAACCACAATATGGTGCCAAATGGGTAAACACACAAGCGCCACCAAAGGTTTTTGCTAGTCTCAAGTTTCTGTGGGCACTCACTAAGTCATCAAAGTAGTTAAATTCAGGATATTCCAGAGAATACATCTTGGCAGCTTGTTGCAGGCGCTCCCATTGACCGTAGTGAAAGTTTTCTGCCAGTAACATGTGGGAATGACCATGGTGTTGTGACGCACCTGCCCGTGCACGGCAATTCCAATTCAAGATTGGATAGATGGCCTGAGGGTGATTCCTATGTGTAATTTCAAACCACTCAGTACACAAGTCTAGCATATCATGAAGCTTCCTCTGAAAAGAAAAAAACATTTTCACAAATCTATATAGCCAAATGAATTTCTTCAAAAGAAACATTAAAACATATACTCAACTTCAAACCAAAAGAGGCAACACCATACTCCATGGCAACAGCCCATACCTCTACAGCATATATAAAGGAGTGGCTCCTTCCCACCCCAGCCCTGTCTGTGGACCAGGCCCAAGCATTTTTTAACACCATCAAATGATTTTAAACCATAACCCTTACAATGGCACATATTTCTATTCATGATTTTAATTTACTGAATTTGCCATGGTGACTTAACATGCTGAAAGGGTTTGAAACAGGACTTATGTCCCAACTGATATCAACCCCTTCATACCCACCCAGCCCATCAGAGAGAGTTTATGGTAAACTCAAAGACCTGGCAGAGACCTTGCTTCACATTAAAGGTGTGAAGCCTTAAAACAAAAAGACAGATGCAAAAACTTGACCTCGTGACCCATCAGAACTGTTTCGGGGATATCAAGATGGGGTCAAAAGTTTCATAGAGCCATGATTGCTTGGGTGGCCTCTCATCATGTGGCATATGGTAATGAGGCCTTCGCAACACGATGTCACGCCCAGATGGTGTCAACTCAAGTTGTACCTTGTTCCAGTGACTTGGTGAATGTTCTTTGAACACAACCATACTGTGTAGGGCGTCATATTTGGCAACATTAGATGCTGTCAAACCACTTTCATTGTCCAAACGACCCCAAAGATCTGGAAAGATAAAATGTAAGGAAAATATGTTTAGACTGATGTTTTGCTTATTTGCACATGTCATATGCAGCTAACATAATAGGGCAACCGCACCTAGATTTTGATTTAGACAATAGGCAACAAAATTAGTTGAGACACTGCCCTAAAGAGCCCCTCTGATACTTTGCCCACTTAAAAAGGGGAAAAGAAAGCTTTCAGGGACATCCAACGACAAAATGTTTCCAAATACAGTCAAACTTCCATACGCAACCACCTCCCATAAATGGCCACCAATCCAAAACACCAAAATTTCCCCAGCCAAAGCCTTACAGTGGTAACCTCTAGTAAACAACCATCTCCTGTAAGCAACCATGACCACTTTTTGGGCCTGACGGTTAATGATTTTCCATTGTTTTTAACCTCTTGTAGGGGACCACTTGACACATTCTCTGATCTCTATGTTCACTTTGTGCACTATGCTACTTAGAATATACAAAGAACTTTAGTGACAACATGGAACTATGCATGTCATAACTTAGACGTTGCATGCAATAAGTTATCTTCCAAAAAGTAGATGTGCCTGGAACTCTTCTCGGAGAAGGCCCCCTGTGGTTCAATTCTTGTAAACGACCACCTCCAGTAAGGGACCACTCAGCCTTTGCATTTTGGGTGGTCGCTTACGGGAAGTTTGACTGTACACTAGAAATGTCTCAAAATGGCTTTCTCTGTGCTTTAGAAGCCTGTTTGGTTAATTTGGAGTTCTCCAAAAACTATTTATCTGTTCGAATATCTTAGGGGAACATTGGTTGTCATGAAAGTCTTAAGTGGCTTTTTGAAAGTGTTAGCTACCCTTATGGGTCTGGTCAAAAGTTTGAGGACATGTAGTAGCCTTGATTTCATTTGAAAATTATAGGGGACGTTTTGTCTTTATACTGAAAATTTTAGGATTCAGAGCCCTTCAGAGTCACTAGGTGCCCCACAGCTTACCCTCCCCCACCCCTCCATGCAATGTTGTGCCATTGTTTAAGTTACCAACACAGGGTTGTCAGAAAGTTTTGAAGTAGATGGCTGAGTTGTCAAAGTAGGCAGCCAGCCCAGGGATATTTTATTTAAAAAACGCCATCTGCAAAGAAATGGCAAGCATAGTAGCTGGCTGATACTAAACAAGTAGGTGGCCATTTTAGCCAGCAGCTGGCTACTTTTGACAACCCTGCCAACACCCCAAATTTAAATGGAAGGAAGAGGGGAGGGGTGATTGTGTTGTTCTCCAAAGATACCCGATTGATTGTAGGTGTGAAAGCAGTCAAGAAAATAATTCACCAGCAGCAGTGTAGTCCAATGGGCTACAGAAGTCGCATCCAGGTACTGTAGTGCCCGGTGGAAATTCAACAGAATGAGGAGTCTTGGCTTCACCATTGTTGAGTGGTTTAAGGGCTCTGGCAGCATTAAAACAAGTTTGGTTGCAAGTCCAGCGATCAAATACTCTCACTACAAATAGAATATGCAAAATATTTAAACTAAGAAATTCAATCAGAAATCTGTGGCTCATGCAGAATGATTTATCTTTGCAGCTTGAGGGGAAACTCTGTAAGGTCCGACACGGTATAAGCACAACGTCTGAATCACTGCCCTGCCAGAGTCATGTAGCATGGCAAACCTTGTTGCCCTCAGTTGCCTGCCAAACCAAATTAAAGACTTTGATTCAGATGTTGAGGTTCTGCCGTGCATTTGGTCACAGGCACACGGGCTCACGGGCACCCCAGGACCTCCCCTAGCTACGTCCCTGAATCCCCATTCCTGACCACCAGTAATTTCTTACTAACCCTGATGTACTGTCTCTGTCTCATTCTTCTGCAAAATATCTCCATCCACACAAACATTTTATTATGCATACCCTATACAGGGCCGTGTTGTTCAAAGCTGGGTTAAGAGGGTTAGTGCCAAATTTGAATTCAGATATAAAAACTGAAAAAGCAAATTCAGTTTAATTCTTTTCGTCTACAATTTGATGATTAGATACCCTAAAAAGAATAGAAAATACTATTCGAGGAAATGCTGATGATCAAAAGAAAAAGAAACCCACATTAAAATTTAACGCCGGGTTAGCGCCAATCACTCTAAATTCGAGATTGCTCCGAATCTCTCAATTTAAGAAAAAGTTTTCTTATTTTACGCGCGAAAAATTTAAAACTAATCATAGGATAAGAACTCTTTTTTTTTGTAATTTAAACAGGCAGTTTGAATTTACGAGAACAAAATCTTATTCTATGATTTGTTTTAAATTTTTTTCTTAAAATACTAGGAAATCTCGAATTTAGAGTAAATCGGCCTTCGAACGTCTAGTGTTTATGAGAAACAGTCTGATAGCGCTGCAGGTATAACTGAAATGTATCGTGTCACAAAAAACTACTCTGCAACTTTAAATGCAAAATTAAATAAAAAGTAAAAAAAAGTAAACAGCACTGCGGTTTTCCTTTTTTTCAAAACAATGTGGCAATTAACAGCGGCAGATACTTCCAACCCCGTCCCAAGCGCGGTAAACCATTTCGCACCCAAAGCGAGCACAGTAGATGGAGATATATAGGAGAAAAAGTCCATAGACACTCAATATTACCAACCAATGGTTTGAAATTCTGCTCTCTTTATAGACTCTTCTTCGTTCACATCACCGGGCAAATGAAACCATCGCGTGAGTTTCGCCTCGAACGATTTTGGAATCGTCATTTGACTTGACTTCATTGAAACTTTGAAAATTCGATTAAAAGCGTCCCAAACGTGGCTGTTTGACTCAGCATCCACTTTATCGCCGCATTTCAACAACTCTCCTAATTCCTGAATAGATTTGACAGCTTTTCCAGCCATTTTACCCTGTTTTACCTGCGGTAGAGTCTCCCGGCGAAAATTCGTGCGTTTTGAGAAGTCCGCGAAAGTTTTCAAAACGGAAAAAGGCGCCTGCAATTCAAGATATTTTTTCAGCAGACTTGCAAACTGCGCATGCTTATTGTAAGCACAGAATCAAAGATGGCGTCAACAGAAGAAGTCTTGGTTTGGACCCCAGAACTTGAAGTCAGTTTATTTCATTCCATGAAGGGGCACAAGCCTGTTGGTAAGATATTCTACTAAATCTCTTGTTTGTATCCTTATTTCGATTTTTTTCCGAGTTTTTTCTGTTTTGTTTTTCAGGTATAAATCGACATTTTCATATGGCGTGTATTCACGATAAATTCGCGACGTCAACAGGGAAAAGAAATATTTCTTCGAAGCAAATATGGGAGCATTTACAGGAACTGTATAACCTCCAAGCACTGGTAAGTGGTTGGGTCTGAAAACTGTTAAGAGGCCTTTTGTGTTTTGGTGGGTCACGGAAGAATTTCGGAAAGCTAACACGACATTCTATATTATTTATTAAAAAAATTTCCCATTTTCACTCAATCTATGCTTTTGGCATAAGAGAAGTAAAAATCAATGTCCTCTTCTATATAAGAGTGTTTCTGAACCGCTGTGATCATTACTTTTAAATTTATTTGGTCTGAAACATGTTTTGGGCGCTCCCTCGAACGGTCCCCTTCGATTGACGTCCCCGACAATGTTTTGTTTCATAACCGAGTGGGGCCTAGGAACTACAAACTATTGCTGAAATACTGGAATTGGATCGCTGGGACTCTTGAAACGGAACACAAAGATAACTTTCTTTTTTCCTCTTTTATTCATTTGTTCTTTGTTTGTTTGCTATGGTTAAGTATGTTATCCAAAAATTTTATTTTATTTCAATAGATTCCCTTCTATTTATAAATTCTTTTTTTGCAACACTTATTACTTATCAATAATTATTCTCTCTTTGTTAATTTCCTTCTTTCATCCATCTGAAATTTCTCTATTATTATTATTATTAGTAGTAGTAGTAGTAGTAGTAGTAGTAGTACTAGTAGTACTAAAGGGGAAAGGCATTTTTAAGACCATAAAACATTTATCTAATATATTAACTTGTTTGCTCTATAGGTTAACCTCCTGTTCAGCTTCTATCATATCCCAGTGTATTTTATTCACCTACTTTTTTGTGTCTTTTGATTTTTGCCCTTCAATCAAATATAATTATTACTGAATATAATAATATTTTATGTTTATGCTAGTTTAATCAAATTTATGGAATTAGTGCATTGTAAAATACATGTACTTCTTATTATGGATTTAGGGCAAAAATAGTGACGTATAATTCAGAATTTACAGTGACAGTTATTTGGTTTTTATTATTCACTAGGATGATCTTGAGAGCCTGCCTTTTCCAAACGATGAAACAGAATTTAATTTACCAGATGACATTTTTGAATCAAGTTCCAAGCCTCATTCCTCCGCTTCAGAGTCATCTGCTGCAGCTGATGAAGGTATGGATCATCAGGGCTTGAGAAAGTCCCGTCCAGTACTCCCATAAAAGTAAATTTTCTTGCTGGGCAAATGACTTTTAAACCATACTTGCCCAATTTGCAACTTGGGTCCAGGCAAGTCATTCTCTAACAAAATTATTAACCAAGACTAGTACGTTCCAATGGAAAGTGAATTGCTGCAAGTAAAGCATGACATTTTAAATAGTTTGAATCAGTTGCAATTTCTTTCGATTTTTGACATTTGCCATTAACAGTGTCAAATAACTGTGCATGTTACTCAACATGACACGTAGGTGTGTCAAGCTAAATTATTGTATAAAAGTCGGTGAGAACAAGTCAGCATATTATTTGTCTGAAACCTGTCCAGCATAAGGCTTAGAGCATCGGAGTGATGGAGTGAGTGAATGAGTGAATTTCCAAGCAAGTGCAATATTAAACATAAAACTGGTTCATTATGCTTTTCGTGAGTGTATCAAATCATTTTCAATCTCTGCTTCTGTCATATATAAAACGTTTTACTTCCAAGGGGAGAACCAACTTTGTCACACATTCCAGAAAAGATCTTAATAACTAAAGCAATTTATTAATTAAGCTTAAATAAATACAACAAAGCCTCACTGGATACAAATTTGGCCAAAACACCGAATTTATTTACTGTAGAGTTCCAGGAATTGCTTCGAATATTCTGAGAAACGTATTGCTTCAATTCATGACAATTTTTTCCCTTCACTTGCATTCATATTCTTCACTTGCCAAAATGTGGATTTCTACACAAAACAGGATTTCTCTGCCTCTAGTTTTCCACAGGCCTCTTTATCGACAGTCGAGTGTTCTAAAGGATACAGTATTTACTGCTCCCTTTGGAGAGTAATTCTGAATTAATTGGCTGCAACCAAAATGGCCTGGATTCAAGGGTCATGAAATTGAGGCAAAAAATGGTGATATATCAACATGTTTATATCCGAAAATTTCAGATGAGGGTGGCTTTGGGCACACGTAACCCAGGCTGGTCACGTTCCTGACCTGAATTAGTCTGCTGGGAAGCCTGGTGGCTTCACAGCAATGAGCAAGAAGTGGTCCTGGCAAGCAAAATGTGAGAGCTGCTGGCTGCCTGTGCAAAGGACAAGCTAGAATTCAAGTTTTTCTTCAAGCCCTGAATTCATTAATGTTTGAAGTTTTTGAAGATGTAGATCTGAACATTATTTTGAACAATTTCATAAAGATTCTTGAAAAACTATAAATTCACAGTGAAACCCGTTTCTTGATCCCTTATTTTCTTGAAGGCCCTGATAATTCGAACCAAAATTTGCCTTCCTTCCACAGCTTAAAACGGAAATTTTACCTCTCATTTTTCATACTTCTACCCTGGGAGCAGAAACTTCCTTTTCATGATATGTACTGGATTACAAAAAAAGTATCTTCTTCCAATAACTATTCCATTTTCCATCATTCAAGTGCAAGTTTCATAATCTGATTCATGAGCATAAATAAATGGCAACTATGTTTGCTTCTAGCACTAATTCCTCTATCCAGTTTGCATCATTTACAACTGTCAAAGCAGGCAGGGTTTCAGCTGTTTGAAACGCAAATTACTGTATGGGAATTATCACAAAAAGGTTCTTATTCCACTATGGGTGGCAAATAACTTGATATAGAGCCGTAACATTTTTTTGGCATAATTCCCTGATCAATATTTTTTGGGCACATGAGTTTTGGAGGAAGTTTTTTTTCAATGCCAGCAAAATTGAATGGAGCAATACTGCCATTTTATAGCATACTTTTTGCCTACTTTTTTTTTTATCTTTGCATGCCATCAACATTTTTTTTCCCACACCTGATGATGCTACCATTTACATGTAAATAACCCCTCTTTAGCAATACTTTTGCTTTTTTTAGGTTTTCACATAATAAAAGTTGATTTATTTTCTAGATTTCACTAATGGAACTAACTTGTTATCTTGATTACAGCTCTTCTTAAAATTAAGCTTCAAGGACTAGCCAGCAACTCTCCTGCAAGCACCTCCACCCCAGACTCATCTCCAAAGAGGAAGAGAACACGGCTAGTAAACAGCTCTTCACAGCCTTCGTCACCACACCCTCCGTCATCAGCCAAGAGAAGACGGTAGCATAACAGTGAATTTTAGAGTTCAAATGGATCGGTTTTTATTCTGCCATTTTAAAAATATTCATTGGCATATACAAGATGTCCATGACATCATCAGGTGATGGTCACCCATGTTAAATTATTATTAATACAAAAGAGGTATAGTGCAGGCATTGTTATTAATTGCATAAGTCATTTATTTCCATAAGTTAATCTTATATGACTGAATTATGTGTATCCCCTGTTTTGTAGGGTTGTCTCAATCAAATAAAATAGTGAAATGGTGTTTGGGAATAAGGCCCTTAGTGATGTCTGATCTAATATGAAATTCTCCTTTTCATTAACAAGCATATGCAAGGCAAAGTGAAAGGAGAAACGTGCAGTTTATCAGAGGTCATATGGCTTTATTGCAGGCACCCATTCTAAATGTCAATATAAAGTTCAGCTTGACTTTACTTCATTTTTGATTGTTTATTGTTGGTAATAAGTATTTCTACTGCAATTACTTCATAGGATAATAATTATTGTTATTTTACAGTCAAACCATGTCAAGCGTTCCCGTCGCTAACGAACTCGATTCCATAATCGAATGTTGATTCGATTACTGTTTTTATGAAAAACTACAATTTCCACAAGTTGACCTCAGAATTTTGTTTTTCTTCTTTTTTTCTAAGAGTCGAGTGCGGGTGAGTTCTGAATTTCAAACCCAAACAAACTGCTACATGTACGCCATTTTGCTGCCAGTAATCAGTGCAACAGACCTGACCCCTTAGAAAACACGACGGTCAAACTGAGGTCAGTGTATGAGCGGTGATTGGTGGATTTCGATCCTCGGCCTTTGTCAGTTTCTTTGCGTTTGCGGTGTGTCTATTCTAGCTGTTATTTTGATTAAAGGCAATGAAAAACGCAACCGTAAACGGCAGGAAAAGGGAAGCAAATACCATTGAACACAACAGACGAGAATAAAGAACAGGTAGATTTTGTTCATAAACCAAATCAACATTTCATTATTGAATCGAGGTCCAATTTGACTGTTGGATTATTCATTTTATGAATGGATTAGTGAATCAACAAACAAAATCATTTTTGCATTAATGAATTCATTAGTTTGTTAGCGACGGGAAAGCTTGACCTGGTTTGACTGTACAGATTTTTTTAATTTGGCCACTTAAGGAGTACCGGTTAAGCATCATACTAAACTCACATTGTGCCAGAAACAGAAAATTGCTGAATTTTTAATCATTTTCTCAGCAGTCAAAACAGACCCATGTGTAAAGATGAACAGAACTTGAAATTATTGAGGCTTCAGCCTTTCATTCAGTTTCCCTCCATCTTGTATCAATGTCAAAGTGAAAAAGCAGTCATAAACAATAACCAACAGGGAGGAGCACATCAAGAAACTACGATAGTGTAATTTCTTGGCCTCTCTACTAACAAAAGTGATTGTATATAATATCCCTTGTTCTTATTATTAGATTATTAGATGCTGAACCAAAGATTCATATATTCAGCTTGTTTGTTAGGTAGCAACCTCAAACTTAATGAATTTGGCCCTAAAAGAAAACGGGAGCGTGATGAGTCATTTCATGAATAGCAGGCCTCGTGTCTTAGGCTGTTCTGGGCTCAAAGCCATATTTTAAGAAAACAAATCTTCGCACTAGTAGTGTGGATCCTAACTCACAAACCATTTCATTTTGTTTCTTTCATTAATGGTTTTATTGTGATTGCTCTCAGAACTATTGAAATGTGGATCTCGAAAGTAAACATAGCTTTCTGGGACATCTAATTGCTGGTACGGTTTAGGAACGGGCCCCTAACCTGAAGTGACATAAATTATGGGTCTTATTTCATTTGTTTTCCCAAGTGGTGCAGATACCAAGAATCTATATACGCATATCATTCTGTAAATAATCCATATGGTTCCGGTAAGAGGTTTATTAAAATTGTTGTAGCATTAAAAATAATCCCTTGTTTGTTCTGAACTCCATTGCTAATGTCATCTCTCTCTTAACGGGCACCTTTATAAGACGGACACCTCTCTAAGACGGACACCCAGGGTTGGGTCCCTGCCGAACTATACTCTATAAGACGGACAGCTCTCACTCAAAGACGGACAAAGGTCACTTTTTAAACCTTCAACGGACACTTGAGAAGTGCTATATGTAGTGCAAAATACCCGGGGCACCCAACGAGAATATAGTTCAAAACCACTTAAACATAGCATTGTTGAACGTATTTTAGAATTTAAACGGTAGATATAGGCATATTTTTGTCCCCTAAAAATTTTTCATCTGTTCGGATTTCCTAGCTGAAAGTCTAGTGATCCGAAAATTATAGGGATCAAAACTTGCCTTTTCGAAAATTTCAGCCAGAAAAAAGGCTCCCGAAAATTCTAGGTGACCTTTGTAGGGTAAAAATCCGTTAAAATAGGCAATTATACCATTTTTTGGATGTTCGAAAATCCTAGGAGCGGCAGGCAAGCAAGAAATTTTACATCAAATGTTCCGAAAATTCTAGATCTCAAATCGTCTTCCCAACAGATATTTTCCGAAAATTGACGTTTGGGTGCCCCTGAAAATACCTCAAAACGGAAATGTAGTTGCTCTACATGGCAGTAAATTGCAATTAGGGGAAGCAAATTACATATCCATTTACTTTACGCGTCTCCTACTGCTCGTATCTTGCACCATTATCGTAATTTCTTAACACCATGTGTGGAGAGAAACAAAAACACTGCCCTGTCAACCTGTATAACAATTATCTTCTCGCTCTTTTAGCTGAACTCGTTTGGCATAGAGAACTTTAAATAGTCCCGCCAACCATTATGTATACCGATTAACTGTCCCAGTTTTTACTGTTTTATGCTACAGGGTTCGAACAGGTCATGGACAACCTGGAAGTCATGGAATTTAATTGTCGATCTTTGAAAGTAATGGAAAACCTAAGGTTTTGGAAAACGTGAAAAGGTCATGGAAGTAATCATGGAAAGTAATGGAATTTGAAGACCTCAAAAGAGTACGAACCCTGTACTAGTAAAACAGAATGTGTTTCTTCACTGCGAATAGGTTTAGCTTTATTTTCTTATAATTAATGGTGTCACGTTACCTCGACCCTCTATAAGCCGGACGCCTCTCTAAGACGGACAGTCATGGCCGGTCCCGAAGTAGACTGCCAGCAGTCTCTCATTTTCTTCAGATTTAGTAAGGGGAGTGCATGCGCTCGCGAGCGTTGAGCGGCGAAGCCGCGAGACGCGAGAAACGAGGGCGGCAGCCTGAGAAGAAAAAAGAGAGACTGCCCGCAAAGCCAGACGCAATGCCTCTCCCGTCTCGCGCCTTCAATCACGCGCGTGGTCGTTTGCGTGTCTCGGGCGTTTTGCTCGACGGACCAAGAAAAGAGAGAGACTGCTCGTAGTCTAGTCCCGAAGGTGTCCGGCTTAGTGAGTGTTGACTGTATACGCTTTACAACTGTACCTTGAGAAAATCAGCAAAACTGTTTTTTGTAGATTTTGTTGCAAGAATCCAAAAAAATAGCTATTTAACTCCCCTCAAGAACCTCACTGACGACATCTTGTTGCGTATTCGTGAGTCGTTTTCAGTAAGATTAAGAAGAGGATTCTCTCCGGCACTCCATAACCTGAAAAATTTTAATGTGGGATCCAGATCTCGACTGGATGTTATTTTCTTTCGGCCTTTATGAGCCTTCTGGCCAGTGTCGCCGCTTCGATGCGTTTTCACCATTCTGCGACCCTTAGGTTCCCCACTTCATTTTCCAGTGCGTTCATCGCGTCATGCGAAGCTTCTTGCTGTCTTTTGAATGTAGCCTGTGTGCTCATCGCTGTGGTCACAGATGTAGTGCTATTGTAATTGATGTTGTCTTCGATATCGACCCTCCAACCAATTTTCCACGGACGTCAATTTTGTGGCCATCCAGTGAATGTTACACTTAACTGTTTCAAGTATTTTCTTGTTAGATTGAAGCGAAGACATGGAGTGATGTGTCTGAATGAAATCCTTGACCTGCAGATAATTTTAAACAGTTAGTGTCAACAATGCAGTGAATCGTCTCAGATTTCGTGGGTTTTGGAGATAAATGCGTCAGTAAGAAGAATATCACAGCTGATATCAAACCTACGTTGCAGATATTCTGGCGAGTGTCACTGTAATGTCTGGTTTCATAACTTTACCTCTTTCAAGAGTTTTACGGTATTGAGATTCTCTGTCACTCTCTCCAGCAAAAACATAACAGCTCTTGAGTCTTTACCAAGCCTGAAGAATTAAGAATAAATTCTGAATCGAGAGAAAGACGAAAACTAACTACTTGCATGTGACCTAACCCTTTCACTTCTAATTATCGCCAAGGTGAAAATTTCGAAAGATTCGAGCTTCCTTTTTATAAAAATTCTAAGAAATAACTGGTACCATGGAAAAGGTTCTGCCAAAAAGGTTTCATTTGATTGGTAACACCATAGTGGCCTTCTCTCCCACTGATTCTTCTGTAGCTCAGTGGTACAGCATCTGGCCCAGTTGTTCAAACGTTTGATAACTCTATCCATCGGATAACCAGGTCCAGGAGTTTATATTTTAGAACTTCAAACACAGTTTCTCCTGACCCCAGACTAAGCAAGTTTTAGAGATGCAAAAAATACCTCATAGGAGACAGAAGACAGGATGCCGATAATACACCGTGTTTACCCCAAAATTTTGCACAAACATTGTTTCCTGCTTATCCTGGGTATTACGGTTGTCTCGGAAGAACTTGAGAACAATGCTTATGCAAAAATACCGGGGGGGATAGTACATGGGGTGTATGTGAAAATGTGAAAATGTGCAAAGTGAAAATGATAAATTCTGATCCTTTCCTAGCGTTCCCCTCGCGCTCGTACTTCTACGGAGGAGAGAGAAGGAGGAAAAAGACGAGGTTATCTATTTTTCTTGCCCACCTTACCGTTTAGTAATTTTCTCATGGTTCCTTTTAAAAAATTTCCACGCCAAAAGGCGACCTTTGGTGTTGCTTGCTACAGTTCCGATGATTTGAATCATGTCTTGTGTGCGTACTATTTTGTCATCTAAAGCGTGCTTCAGCAACCTAAAAATAAAATTGAATTAATCACTTTCCTATGCAGCCGGTTTTTTTTTATGGGGTTGCTGAACGGTCGCCACCTTTATAGGTGGAGGTGTTGCTGTGAGTTTTTTCTTCGCTGACTAAAAAAACCGACTACGCAAGTTCTCCTCTATCGATTAAAGGAAGGTAACATTCGATTCAATATCGTTCCCAGAGGCTGCGAGCTTTTGATCGGCACCAAGGATCACTGGCGTGTTCGCCTGGAGAAGAGTAACGAAGTCACTGGGTTCGAAATTCCATTCGACTCCGTTTGACTGAAAACCTTGTCATAATGCGACAACTAAGTACACACAATAGATTAAAAAGCGCAGTTGAAAAAAAAAGGCACAGTTATGTGGACAAAACTCAACGTTCTAATAGAGAATGCAGAAAAGGCAAAAACGAAAGAAGTGCGAAAGACAACATACTGCCACCCGCTCATCAAACAACTATCTGTTATCTGTTGGTCAAAAGGAGGGCCCGTATCTTATTTTAAAAGAATCTAAAATTTCATGTTTCTTCCTATTAGAGCACTCTAAATCTCATATATGAGCATTCTCAAGAATTGCCCTGCTAAAATACAACCTTTCTACCGAAAGTTTAAGGTCATAATTCCAGCAGTCTTTAATGCAGTTTCGAGATTCCAAGCCGCGCTTCAAACAATTTCCGAAATATCTAGGAATTCTGTTCAGGAAAAGGTCGAAAATCTTAGTTTACTCAGAGACATGGTCGAAATAGAAAGTCGAATATTCGAAAATGATTATAGCCAACCTTCCTTCTGAACAGATATTTCAACAAAAATACCCGTTGGATGCCTCTGATAATTGACAAGAAACGAAAATTGTTTTTCTTCAAGATTTAAACCCCATACCTGTGTAAAAGTTGTTTGCTTTTAGCTGACCCAAGGGCGGTGATAATTTTTTCCCTCTGCGCGGCATTCTTACATTGCTTGTATTTTCTCCAGAAGAATTCCCACTCTCTTTCTCCTCCATACTTTACAGCAGCGATGTACATTGTCTTCCGAAGATGCGATGGGACTGACTGAGTTCTGAAAGCATAAAAAATTTTGGGGTAAAAACTGTACATGCTATGGAAATAAGAAAAGAAGCAATCTCATTTATGGAAGAATGGCAAATTAAAGGTCACAGTCATGATGAGATTCGTTTTTGTTGATCAAAATGGAAGAAAAGAAAAACAATATACTCATTAATTTTTATTTCCAAGGAAAACCAAAGAGGCTATTTTCGAGTTGCCTCAAATCTCAGTTTCAATGCGAGGCTAAGTGCGAAACCATTATGAAAATAAATTTTTATTCTCATTCAAATATAACTCATTTGCACAAGAAAGGTTTTGCATTTGGCCTCGTTTTGAAAGTGAGAGTTCTTGGACCTCGGGAATGCTCTATCACAATCAATCTGGCATATTTTCGATAACACAGTTTAACTTGAAAAAGTTGACCCGATTTTTTGCTAATATTGGACACCATATTTTCATTTTAGTTATCGAAAGCAAGACATGTACTTTAAATTTTACAGAGTTTGAGTAATTTTAAAAAAACCTGTACGGTAATCACCTTGGTTGAGGGTCGCTTTGATTTCGGCAAAAAATCTCTCTCCTCCACAGAGGTTTGTGTTGTAGGGACGCTGGGGAGAAGGAAAAAGCAGGCGCGTGGGGCACGATGGGAAAGAGAAGAAGCGAGGCATGCTTTCTATTTTTCGATTATTGCATCTTCTTCATTGCGATGCCCAGTGGGAGCCTTTGCGGAGGAGAGAGACAAAAAAGGAAGGCTATCGTACAAAACGATTTGAAAATGTTCAAAAAGGGATTTGCTTGATCGCACATACCCATTTGTCTTCATCCAATTACTGAATAACAGCTTTAATTTGTTCACGGTGTCTTCATCATCGTGAAAACTGAGTGTAGAAACTACTAGTTCACGGAAAATCCTGAAAAAAGAGAAATAAAACGTATTTTTGTACCCAAATGATAGAAGGAACGGTGGCCTTTTTAGGGGATATGAATTACAAGACCTAACAATTATCCTCAAAAGTAAACTCTATCTAAGACAGATACCTTCCTCCGTTGTCCGTCTTAGAGAAGTGTCCGTCTTGTAGGGAGTATAGCTACACTAAAATGACCGCTGTAAAACGGCAGTGACCAACACAAGGTGTGCGTCTTAGAGAGGTGTCCGTTAAGAGAGAATTGAGTGTACAGCCTTACGTTCCACGATAAGAATATGACGTCTTCGAACACTATGATAGCCTGAGAAAACAGCCAACATTTCGTGAGGCCACCACTGGTTTTCCCGCCAAAGGACCTCTAAGCAACGAGCGCAGAAATTCCATACTGATGATGTATTACTAACCGGATCCGGGCGATGCTTCTGATTAGTCGAAACAAATTTCCCACGCGGCACGACCCATCAGTGGAGTTTTACTTAGATCTGGGTAGTGATACATCATCGGTGTAGAATTTCTCCGCTCGTTCCTCGGACGTCATTTCGCTGGGAAACCACTGATTTCGGCTGTGTTCAATCACTAACACTGTGTTGAACAAGCAGATTAAAGAATTATGGGTCACTGATCATGATGCTGTCAAGAAAAAATAACAAATCTTGCCTCATACTGACCTATCAACTAGTGCATCTGAATCTTCCCATCCTAAAGAATCCTTGAGTGGTTTCAATTTTTCCACTATGAATTGCTTGTTAGGATGAAAAAAAGTAATATAATCGAAAGGAAACAATTAGTATTGCAAAAAGCACGAAGGGTGTGGGTTATTCTGGCTACTGGGGACATCCAATGTAACTTCATTGGTAGTTAAGATAAAATATTATGAGAACAGCGTTTATCAATCAAAGTTATTAAAATTCCCTTTATATTAGTACTTATTCAATTACAATCTCATTGTCACCCAAGTGGGTGGGTGAAGGTTGGGCGCTTATTAACTTTTTCTGCCTTTAGGATGATGCTACTTCGAGGCTGAGCGCTTATTCGAATAAATACGGTAATTGATTTCGCAGCCGACACATGTTACAAAATATCTTCTGCCAACAGCGCAGAAACTAACATCAGTGATAGAAGAACGCGTGGCAGAATTTAATCAAAAGACAGTTGGTCATTTTCATTAGTCTTAATTTTAACTGCAGTCAATTAAGGTTCAGTTATACTTATTCGGAAATTACGTACTTGATAAAGCTTGTAGGATCTTCTCCATCTGAGCATTGTGTCAATGTAAGACAACGAACGCAGCATGACGGCCCATGGGACGTAATTTCGCTCGTTTCTTATGTATTGTGTCAGATGCAAGGCAATGGGGTAATCAAGGACACCCGCCCTGGAAAAAAGCATTGCGTTATGTTGAACCCAAGCGATTTCAAGTTAACAGCCTAAAAGTGAAAATGACCTTGCCTTAGCAGGGCTAGTTTGTCTCACTCTGCTATGATTATTGATCTTCATCAGTTGATAGCTGGTGTTGATTTGCTGTTGCAGGACTATAAGTAACACCATAGTTACTAGTGTTTGGTTCATTGATAAGAAAAATGACGCAAAAAGGCCGAGTTGTTGGAAAGATCATAGTGCAAATCCAGGGCTTATGCATTTGATAATTACGTGATACTACACTGAATTTTCAACATAAAACACATAAAAATTTGCCATAAATGGGGTTACCTTGCTAAGCTCAAGGCATCATCTATTAGACCACTTCTGTCTAATTCACTCAACGTCTATAAAATGCGTAATAAAAACATTTTCAGTAAATTGTATTATTCCTGTTAGTGTCAACAAAAAGGACAATACGCGTTTTTCTTGGAGAGATCGCGTTTGTTTAGACGCCTCCTAAAACGTACCGTGTGATTATGAATTAATTGCTGACTCAATCGTTTCCAGTTTTCCTCGTCATAATTGACTCGAAAGAAAGCAGTTTGTCCAACATTGGCCTTAATCCACCCAGATGGGTAGCTTGAAAGCTCGAACGTAACTGTGGATAAAAAGTACGTGTTATATGACAAGCGTTTGTTTTCAAGTCATACCAGGGCATACAATATCCTGCCTTATTGTTACAGACAATATATTAACCGGTTGTTTTAGATAAAAATGCTATAAAAATATTTTAACTTATGGCCATGGTTAGCTGCCCATATCATTTTTACTGTTAAGACCAGAAGTTATTAATCATTTGTTAGCTTGACGTATATTTTAATTTCCTACCTGATGAAGTCTTATTCATCCAGACAGTTTTGGGACAGCAGACTGAGCCCTCAGTAATGTATGTAAGCGGAATATACCATCCCAGTCTGGTAAAAAAGGACCAGGGAATTAAAATTCATCATGTTACGGTTTATTCATCTTCATATGCTTAAATTAACGTAGTTAAGTAGGAAATTAAGGGTACTTGCTCTTTCTTTTAAACTCAAGTTTGGGTGTTTGTCAAGAAAAGCCTTGAAGGAAGGCCTCAAGTAATTAAAATTACCATTACTGTAGAAACGTTAATGATAACTATCGCGTACTCCTTTGATTGGTCGTTTTCCAGCTTTGCCGTAGTAAAATCTCTCAAGAACCTCTTCTGATTTGCAATGAACGACAGTTTACCATCTTTTTTCTGGACTTTGTTTCTCAAAATTGATATTAGAGGAAATCCCTTTTGGTTTATCCAAGACTCCATCACTGTTTCAACGTCTACCAAATTTCCCGAAGCCTGGCAAATTAATCGAGAGACAGTGAGAATAAACTGCTTAATCTGCTTAATTCATAACCTCTAAGTCACTACTGTTTAATGAGTTCCTATCTTAAAGAATTAATACTATTATTCTAAAAGAAATATTCACATCTCTAAGACCAGTGGTAGAGTAGAAAAATACTCCACATCACACTCCTTAGCTGACACAAAATCGCATTAACACGCCTAAGACGTTGTTGATGTTGTTGTTGTTGTAAGTTGTTATTGTTTTTGCAGAAAAAGCAAGTTGGGAATTGCCGCTACTCTCACCTCACTCATTGCTTTCCACAGGTCTGAGACCTTTGCATTAGCAAACTGATGTTTTCGTAAGTAAATCTGTATCGCATGAAGGAAAGAAAGACGTTATTTGCCATTTGATCAGAAAGTCTGAAGGAAAAAATTCTCATTGCGTAAAGAACCTTCTGCGAAACCTACCTCGATCCCCTTCCTAAGGGTTTCATCTCCAAGAAAGCTTTGCATCATTCTTATTAGCGCAGAGCTCTGTGAAAACAAATAAATTTTAGGAAGTATCAAATCACTAAAAAGCTGATACTTTCATTTGTTGCTTCTATAATAAATAACGATATATTTTGATGAAACTTCTAGAGATAAGAACTCAGATTGCTTTCGATCAGCACGCTGTACCTATCCCAAACATGTATTATCCCGAATGAAAGCGGCGTCCAACGACCTAATTGTCTTTGTAGGTCTCCTAACATGTACATAAAGACTGCACATAAAGGCAATTTTCAAATACGTCTTTATCAGCAGCAATAGTGATACAGTATCAATAATTTTGAGGCTCCGAAATCAGGGTTTGCTTGGTATGGAGGAGGATTACAGTGGTTTGGTTTGTTCAGAACGTTAATCCACAAAATGCATCCGTTAGTCTCGTTCTGTTCCACTTAAATGTTAAAAACCTCATCTTACCTTGTGGTAGGTTATCTTGTCCACAATTTCGTTTATTTGTGCTGGATTTTGAACTTCTACCGACACCGGGTGGGTGTAAAGTGAAATGTCAAAATTAAGAGCTTCTCTCAGGCTGTCCAACATAAACTCATCCGCCTACAAAGAAATAATAAGGTACCACATGAACAATACATGAACTAGAGTCATTGTAAATGAGCTGATTTCTTTTACGCTCCTGGTGTTATGCCTCAGAATGCTTTTTTTAGCATGCTTGACCTTGTTCTAACTTCTGTCCTCAAGAACTCGTCAACTCTAGGCTTCAACGCTTTGGCCGACTGGAACTGATCTGAAGAGCCAAACCTTCCGTGGTGGACCTATTTGCATATAGGGGATTTCTAGAAATCAGCGTGAGGCAAAGAAACAGTGCGTTGCGTTTTGCGTAAGTGGAACGTTTTTTGACATCGGAACTCCGGACACTACAATTGACAACTAAGTACATAAGGTAAAGCAGAGTACCTCTCACAAAAAGTGATCAATGTTAGTTGAGAAAATGTTGTTTGGTTCTTATTTCGATGAGTGTCTACAAGGGAAGTCTTATTTCCATCGACTGGATGGGCGAGTGTATCATTTCATAGTCGTCTTCAGCTTTGAAAGGAAAACCTTATCGTTGTCATTTTGTGCTTTTTGTTACCTCAGTTTGTACTTGCTCTCACCCGTTTCCATTTATAGTTTAAGTCGTCAGTGGCAAGATATTCCAGGTAAACGGCAAATCCTTCGTTCAACCAGAGATCATTCCACCAGCTCATGGTCACTAAGTTACCAAACCACTGCAAAGAAACAATTCTTAAAAAAAGAAGACTGGTGGAAAAATATATCAACGAACCGGAGTCAGTAGAACATAAGGAAAATCCAACAACATCAAACCCGAGGATACAGGATATTCTCCAATGATTTAGTGTGGGTGAGAAAGTGTGTGGCTAAGACAGGAGTCATAAGGGCATTTCTTGTTCAGATAGTCTGTTTAATATATTAACTAACAGCTGCATTAATTTAGAAAAGATGGGAAGAATGCTTGGCTCTTGAATAATTTTTTCTTTGAACCTGGAATACAGTTGAAAAATTCTACCTGGTGCGCAACTTCATGGTTCACAATCATCGCCACCAACTTCTGGTCAGCAGCGCTTCCTGTTATCGGGTCAAAAAGCAAAGCGGACTCACGAAATGTTATAATGCCCCAGTTTTCCATAGCGCCGCCCATGTCAGGAATTGCAATCAGATCTGCAATAAAGGAAGAGCAATCTTTTTTAAGTTAATTGAACAAAGTGAAACAGAAGCTTTACCTTGGTCTAACAAACTAAAAAGCCTCGACAGTCAAAAAGTCCAAGAATAGCTGCTCTAAATCGAATGGTTTAGAATGTTGCAACTTTCATGCCATCTAAATGAGTTTTTATTCGGTCCGGTATATCTACCATTCATGATATCCAGCTCTAGAGGAACCTCCTAAGAACAATAAAACGCCGGCACCTCTGTTTGTGGTTTCTTAGGTTCAGCTGCTTGCAGCCTGCTGCAATCTTCTTCGGACGTTCGAAGTGTAGTCTGTGGAATTTACATCAAATACTCCACTTGTTTGCCAGTTAATCCACAATGGGTCAATCCTAGGACGTCATTTCTTAAGATTATTGATTAAAGATTATTGGAAAGAATAGCTTATGGATCAAATTGATAGGAATAGATATTAAAGTGGCTGGACTGGGAATGACACTGCTGTAAAAATGAAACACGAAACAAAGAGTGACGTATTGCACATGTTTAAAGTCCTTTTCCTAGTCCTTTTCTCACCCATTTTTGGCAGTGGATAGGAAATGTTGAAAAATTCCTCATAATACTCCAAGGCGTGTTCGGCAGCATTGAGAGCAAACTCTGTACTGTTGACAGCGTCAGGTTTGGACCACACTCTTATCTGTCGATAAAAGAGAGAAAATTGTTGCTGGAGGTGAAGAGGCAGGACGTAGTGTGGCCGAGCGGTAAGAGCGCTGGACTTGTAATTCGGATGCCCGAGCTCAAGTTCCGCCTTTATCACTTGCTGGATTTGTTTTCCGTAGTTCTGAGTTCAAATCCTTGGCCCCATTTGCGAAGTACTGGTTCGTCCCTTACGTTGTTAAAAGTTCCTTTTGAAACGCCCCATAACAGTAGGGGATAATTAAGTTAGGTATTAACAGGAGTCCAGTATTTATTTATTTTATTATTATTATTATTATTAAATTGAAGAAGTGAAGTTGTATAATTTTTTAACATGATTTTTGGATAACAACTGTAAATGGGTTTAACAATGAAAACATCAATAAAATCCACTTGCTTAAACTGATTCTACGTCATTAATTCAATAATATCTAATTAACAGTTACTATCATCGAAAAAGTTATCAAGGTTTCACGTCATGAAATATGCATTTCGCTAACAAGAGTGCACTACAGATGTACAGTGGAATTGACTGATTAGAAACCTAACTATGTTACCGTCTTTCCACTTTTGGTGCTTGCTTCCTTGTGCTCAAAGTCACATACAATAAACGTCACCAGATATGTTGGCATGGGAGCACTTGCACGGAAATGACTTTCCAGAAGCCCATCGTACCTCCTGTCACGTGATTCTAAAGGCATGTTTGACAGTGCCCTATAACTGTCATCGTGCACTATGGTGATGCGAAAGATGGCCTTGAACGCAGGCTCGTCGAAACAAGGAAAGGCCGAACGCGCATTTGTCGCTTCAAATTGAGTTGTTGCGAGATATCTGAAAACGCACGAACAAAATATAAAGGAGTTCGGCGTGATAGAGTTTTTCTGTGTAAGAATCAGATTGGGAAAGTAATTACTATAACAGTCATAGCCCTCTTTGACGAACTCCTAGACAAACTGACCTTTCATTTTCATTTATGAAACAGTCTGAGGAAGTAACCTGAAATATCTTTACCTGTGGAGATATATCGATCGCTCGATTGGACTGATATTTTACCCTGGTTTCAGATTGTGCAGGTTCCGTGATGACCGCCTTAAGTTTTAGTCCCACAGCATGTGGCGGCTTAGAGCTAACAACAAACGAACAAAGGTCAGCTGTAGAAAGACCTGATAATAATAAACAGAGCGCATAGTTTGGTCACTGCATTTCCGACATTTTTCCAAGCTTTAACGACAATAGAACGAAAGGAAAGGAGCATTGTTTGACAATTCTAACGTTAACGTACCTTACGTTTCCTCTCCTCGCTTTGTAACTGCTTTTATAAAAACCTTCCAGGCCATCCGATAAAGCTCCATTAAATGCAAGATAAAGCTCGTAAGTCGCCATTTCTTTGAGGTCCTCTTTCATTATTATCACATATTGCTGTTTTCTCCCGTGTCGCATTCCTCGTGAAATTCTCAGTCTCTTCTGTTTCGTATCCATAATCTTTATTTCGACGATCCGTAGATCATGTGCATGTAACATCACTTTTTTCGTCTGTCTGTAACACCGTAACTTGATTTTGCCTGAGAACTTGAAAGTTGTCAAATTCGGATGAATATAAATGTCGTAGGATATCGGACGGATGTACTTCGGAAGCCGGTACGAAGAGGTGGCTTCCTCGTTAGGCTTAGCGTTTTTCTTTAACGTTTGTCCTCTTCGTTTGATTTGATAAATCAAGTCCTCTCTGTAACCATTTATGAAAGTAAATACAGTCGAAATGGCGATGATTAAGGCTACACCAAAGGCTAATGCTAGAGGAAAAAGTCGTGAAACTGTCATGATGTTAGAATTTGCTTCATTAGTTTTGTTTTTAAATTTTGTCCGTGTCAGCGGTAAGCTAAGGAAACCTTAGGCAACGGGTGCCATTTGACAGGTCATTTCAGAGCAGAACGAGACGAAAAGTTTAAATCTAAAACTCCAAGCCAAGTTATGTTTTTAGTTACAGTTTTTGGTGTTAAAAGACAAAATCGTTTAAAGCCCAGAATGCTTATTTACATATTTTGCACGTCCAGTCATTCTAGTTCAAACAACAGAGTTTAATGTTTTGTTTCTAAGTGAGGAAAATTGCTGACCAAAGCCAATTTGGGCAATCTCCAGATATTTTGTGTCATTTTCTCCAAGACCTATCTTCTATTCCTAAGAAGTTGCTAACCAGTATACCACATCAAAGCAAATGCTCTACAAAAGCATCTCTCCTTGCTATCGTCCCCAGCGCTTCACGCATCAGTATTGATCAAAAGAATGGAGGCTGGGGAAAAAGTGTCACTCACTACGGTTATCCGTGCACAAGCCCGCGCTGTGATTGTTTAAAAGTGCACATGCGTACCAGGGTTATTGGCTTTGGCTGGTTCGGCTCCATCCGTGTCCCAGGTTAGTGGGGCGAAGCAAATTGATCAAAAGACCACCAGTTATTACCTGTTACTTCTGTCACTAGTGTGTCCTCGTAATTTGTGATAACTAATCAGCTCCTTTAAATTATCCCTCCCTCAAAAAACAAACAGACGAAAACAAATCAAACAGTTTTCGAGCTCCCTCTCTCTTTATTTTCAAAGGCAAGCTACTTCTTCACCACTTAATTTTTGCCCTGATTTGTGAGCCCTCGTCCTACAGCTGATGTTCTTATTGGTCGCCACCCTCCTTGCGTCACGAGAGATGTTTGAGAATCGCTGTTAATATTTTAAATCTATCTTGAAAATAACTGCATGATCTTATTAGTACAGAGATAATTTTGCTTCATTTTTCAAGCTTTAGGACAAAGGGCTGGGCTGTTTGAAGAAACCTACTGCAAAAAAAGCGGAAGACGACGGAGGTTAAGAGTGGCAATCAAAGGTTAACTTTCGACAGAAATGCATCGAGGATATAGAGCAGCCTCGACTGAGGAGGATGACAGCGATCGTTCATTTTCTCACTCGAGATCACGCGTCAGTTATCAAGGCAACATGATATGTAGCGGAAAACTGTGCGCGATATTTTTAACGTTATCCATCGCGTTTGGAGCTGTGGTTCTCTTCATTTTCTCGGCGTTTTTTCACGCCTCCGACAGCGAAATTGAGTTTTACAAACGGGCGATGGACTATATCACTGGAGATCGCTTCGCTCGCTCGGAAATGAATGACGACGAGAAATCATTTCCTCATAAGGAAATTCTCCTTCCAAAAGATCTAACTCCAGAGAGGTATCAAGTTTACCTACATCCGAATTTAACGACCTTCGACTTTCACGGAGGAGTAAAAATTGACATCATCTGCAAAAACCCGACTAGAAATATTCTCCTGCATATGAAGAAGTTAAACATCACCAGTTATGGAGTCCAGGACTCCAGTGGGAATCATCTTTCAGTGTTACGTGTCGCGCATAGCAAGAAATTGGAACAATACTTGGTTCAGATGAGGGATGAGCTGCAAAAAGGGGAGAAATACACTTTGAAGCTTGATTTTAACGGTCTCCTGTCCAACACAATGGCTGGATTTTACAAAAGTTCATACAAGACTAAGAGTGGAAAAATGAGGTACGCAGCCGTGATTTGACTTTCTTGGTTTTTAAACTTTACAAGTGTACTAGCTCATTAAAAAGGTAAACTTCCAGTTTTTTGCAAATCACTAAGTCCTTAAAAAAGCAATATTTATTGGACGTTTGCACTTTAGGGTTCATCTCAGACCCGTTATATTTAATGTCAAATCGTATTTCCTTGGCAAATGAGCCGTAATATTTCTCTCAAAGTAAATAATATCTAAGACAAACAGAAAAACTTTGCTAGATCTCAGCGAAAATTCACGTTTCAATCAACTTTAATTTCTGACAAACATACAAACATACACTGCCCAGTAACTTTTTAATCACCCTGGCAATGACAAGATATAAACCGAAGAAGAAAATTTACGGAGCCTCGCCTTTACTGAAGAGAATTGCCTCCTGACAAATCAACGGTCATAAATGGAAAATCTGCTAACAATTTGTTAAATGAGTTTGTTTCACGTTGACCATTATTTTCTTAAGAGATTCGTTTTGAGCTCTTTTAAAGATTAATCGCGAAACATTTTGGCTTGAAATCGTCAAATTCACTAGGCAGGTCACACCAGCTACCCTATTTAACCTTAACCGTGTTTTGTTGTTGAAACACGGACAGCCTGACTCAGTGCCGCGTAGCCCGCACTTATTGTGCAATGGTAATATTTGGTTCGACTAAAACATTATGAGCCACTGTCGAATATCAGTATCTTTCTAAAGATACGAAATAATAGTTATAAGCTTTCATAAACAGAGATTTTTCTGTCGTCAATTGGTCTTTGATCTCTGTTGCAGGTTCAGGTGCATAAAAGTCCCTTATATATTCTGACCAGGAGCCAATAACCCGAAGCGAGCAACTCCCATTCGCTCGTGTCACGGCGTTTTCACGGACCAGTTTATTTTTAGAATGGTTTTGGCGCGAATTTTGAATATCTTGCAAATTCCACAAACCAGTCAGCAAAACCAACAGACCTAAAAATGATATTTTTTGCCTTTTAATAACGTTTCGTTTTCCTTTTTGATATCTTATACTTCGAATGCGCTCATAAAAAAGACATGGGGGAGATTCTCTTTTAGAGCGAAAAAGTGACCTAAAATGTGTCTAAAAACGCCATGACATAGGCCTAATATGGTAGTTTCTCGCTCTGGCTTATGGGCTCCTGTTCTGACTCATCTTTTTGGTTTCTCAAGGCATATGGCGACAACACAGTTCGAGGCCACTGATGCTCGCGCCGCCTTTCCTTGTTTTGACGAACCTGAGTTCAAATCTCAGTTTATCGTAACCCTTGTGCACGAGAAGGATTACAAAGCCCTTTCTAACATGCCTGTTGCAAATACTATATCACGCAATGATGGCTTCTTGGAGAGCCGCTTTAAAGAAACTGTTAAAATGAGCACCTATTTACTGGCTTTCATTGTCTGCGATTTTGCTTACAAAGAATCTCATACTAAAAGAGGAAACAAGGTATGTAGAAATTGTCATTCTTTTTCTTTTTTTTCGACCTAAAGCGTCTACAAACGTCCACTAGAAAAAAAGAGAGTACCAAATTTACTTGATTAAACGCCGCTGTCAAATAAGTGCCGCAGATGGGAGCAAAACTACCACTAAACAACTCCCTCGAATAAACGCCGCACTCAATCAGAACATTCGTAGCCTGTTCCAGGCGTTCAGATAGTAGGGCGCGGGCGAACAATTGACGAGGGAAAAATAGAACGAGTCCTCCCTCGTTTTCCTTTTGCGCTCGCCGCGTACGATTTAACTCGCTCCCCCGCATCTGAATGCCTGGAATGGACTAGAGAAGGCGGCGATAATTCAAGGATTGATAAGAAAAAACATCTTTCTTTTTTTCATAATATTTACAAATGCTTTGTTGTAATTGTTAACAGTGATATCAGAGATGTGATTCTTTTTAACATATACGCCGTCCGTGAATAAAGGCAGCCCTTGAAAAAATGCAGCATCGGAAACGCTAAAAACTTAATAAACGCCGCGGTGCTTAATCGAATAAATGCGGTAAGTAATAAATCGCTGTTTTCATCTCTTTATTTCTACCGCAGATCCGAGTATGGTCAAGAAAAGACGCTATTGACAGTACAGCCCTGGCCCTGAGCGTGGCAGAAAATGTTTTGAATTATTACGAAAAATTCTTCAATATTCCATACCCCCTGCCAAAGATCGGTGAGATGAAACTCTTTTTGCGTAGTGTTATGGTGCTGATGGTAAAGTATTGTACTGGGTTGCACTAACAAATCCATGTATATCATGATAACGAACGCAAAACTTTGGGATTCTTATCTGAAGTGGTTTGGTTCTGGACTTGTTATAAGACCCACGTTTAGATAAAAAAAAACCAAAAACAACCAAAGAAACTTAAAATAACCGAGGCAAATTTGTTCTTAACAGAGAAGACCTATAAAGAAGAAACCCCATACAGCTTCTTTCAAAAGGGCGGGAAAGTTTGTTTTTTTGACTTCATCATAATTTGCCCTCTACGTCTCGTTTCAAGGGGAGAGTTCTTTTGAATTCTGAAGATGCTATTTAACATTAACATATATGTGTAAAAAAAACCCCTAATTTTACCACCATTTGGAATAAGGTGTTTTACTCAAGTGTGAATAAAAACGCGTCTATTGATTTTAAGGTAAAGGCTCAGCAATCAATACTTGATCTAATATCACGATTAAGACTAGCCGCAGACGATACGCAGTCATAAGAATTGCTGGGATAAAACTGGAGAGAGAATTGCAAACACTGCAAGAGGACCGAAAATATATAAACATGATTGTAAATAGAACGAAATGAAACCACTCGATCGTTGATTTTTTAGTAGTACAAATTCGATTTGAGTGCCCGGAGAAATCAGGAAATCGATGAGAATAGGCCATGGCACCATGGTGCTCTTTTACCACCAGAATCCTTTACGGTTTTGCTGTCATATTATTTGTAATCCCAGCGCACTAGTTTGCACAAGAAAGGAAAACCCTGACGTATTCTGGTCGTAGTAGTAAAATGAAGTGAAAATGGCCCATTCTTAAGAAGTGGCGCCAAAGAATAAAAAGATTTTGTATGTTCGCAGACCTTGTTGCTGTCCCTGATTTTGCTGCTGGCGCCATGGAAAACTGGGGCATACTCACTTTCAGAGAGACGTACCTGCTGAGTGACCCGGCCGTATCTAGTGCCGCTGACAAGCAGGGTGTTGCAATCGTGGTCTCTCACGAGCTTGCGCATCAGTGGTTTGGTAACCTGGTGACAATGAAATGGTGGAATGATTTGTGGCTAAACGAAGGCTTTGCTAATTACGTTGAGTACATGGGTACGGATCATTTCCGAAAAGACTGGAGAGTGGTAGGTATCTTTGTTTGAAAGCCTTAATTTTGGTTCGTTCCGTTCTTTTTCTAGAGCGAAGAGAATGCAGCTTATTTAATCTGCAGGCCGATGACAGGATTTATGTTTGGATAAAATTACGTACTTATTTGAGTCTGCCTTGTGAGTTACTTAATAGTAGTTGGTTAATTAGTTAATGAGTTACTGCTGAGCTCGAGTCACGAGGTAACCGACGACCTAACCTTCGTTATCATCATCATCATCATAATCATCATCATCATCATCATCATCATCATCATCATCAACATTATCATCATTCTCATCAAAATCATCATCATCATTCTCATCGTTATCATGATCTTTATCGTCATTACCATTAACAACACCGATCATCATCATCATTAACTAAATCATTATCATCATCGTAATCACCACCATTAGCATCATCGTCATCATCGTTGTCCCACCCTGTGCTGCATGGGAACCTCCAATGAAAAATTACCTCTACGGCCAAACGCAATTAATTTTTAACAACCATTTTTCAATCATGTTATCTTGCAGCTTGAGCAGTTTGTAGGGGACACATTACAGAGTGCTCTGTCCTCTGACAGTATGGAAAACACCCACCCCATATCAGTACCGGTCCACAACCCATCACAGATTACCGAGATTTTCGACAGCATCTCGTATGACAAGGTAAGAGGGACATGATATGGGTATGAGTATGTTATTAAATTAAGATTAAACTGGTGTTACTGGTCGGGTCGCAGGGGCGGATCTAGGGGGAGGGTGCAGGGGGTGTGCACCCCCCCCTGAGATGACCTGGGGTTTTCTAATACAACTGGAATTCTGGAAAAAAAAAACACTATGTGGTTTATTGGTGTTGAAGTAGAGCAAGAGACGAGTGCACCCTCTCCTAAAAAAAATCCTGGATCCGCCCCTGGGTCGTTCATAGTTATAAAAATCAGCACATCCGTGATTCGAAATAAAAAGACAATTTCCCTTTATATTACGACAGGTTTAAGGACTAGTTAATGAAAATTGTCCAGTCAGTCACTATATCGATTTTGTCTTATTATCTTTGTCTTTTTCACTTTCTACAGGGTTCTTCAGTAATCCGCATGCTTCGTAGTTTCATTGGAGATAAAAGGTTTCAAAAGGGATTAGAGGTATGCCACTTACTGATAACCAGTATGACGGATCTGTTAACTTATCACCCAGGCACATCAATTTTGAATTCTTAATTTTCACTTTTCCGTGCTTTTTGTGTTTCATTATCAGCTCTATTTGAATACTTACAAGTACGCGAACGCGGAGGCCGATGATTTGTGGAAGGCTTTGAGCAGTGTAAGTTCATAGTTATAGTTACAGTTTGTAGTTTAAATTTTTTGTCTTCTGTAAGTGCGAAATTTCTTTTTCCGAAGAGAACGTTTTATTGAGGAAGTATTTCAAAGTATTTTGAAACACGAATTATACGTTCCTCTCAAGAATGTCCAAAAAATGGTTTCATTGGTTTCAAATAGTTCATATCAGCCATTTAAATTGCTCTCTAACGTGATGAAAAAATATTAGCCTTCAATCTTTATTGTTCCCACAAATTCTTAGGGGCACCTTCCACTTGACTGAAGAAAGAAATGGAGCTACATCACACTCATGTATGTGACGTCTCTTTCAGGACCTCTTTCATCTTTGCTCTCGAGAAATATATAGAGGTCCTAAGAACGAGGCTGTCCATGCTCAAATTGAGGTTGGCTCCTCCTAAAATATTCTACAACTGGTACAGGATTTAATGGAGCTGAAAACACTTGTGGAATTGCACACATTTTAGGCATACTACTGGGCCCAGTTGTTCGAAGGCAGATTAGCGCTTAACCCGAGGTTAAAGTTAACCCGGGTTTCTTTTTCTTGTGTTAAAAAGCATTTTCTCGGATAATTTTCTCTGTCACTTTTAAAGCTTTCAATAACCAACAAAAAGAATTAAAACTGAACTGATTTTTAAACTTTCATATCTGAATTCATTTCGAGCAACAACAATTTGCTTTCCCTGACTCGTCCAAAGTCGTCTCTCTCTCTGCCTCTCCTTAGTGGCGCGAGGGGTGATGGGAAGAAAGAAAGCGTGGGAGAGAGAGTCTTCCCCTCTTTTCCCTTCTTCCCATCACCCCCTACTCCCGCGCGCGCGTTACGCGAAGACGACTGGGGACGAGTCAGCGTCTGTCCTCTTTGAATTGATGTTTGGTAATCTCTTCATTTACCTGAGTGTCAGGCGTTTTTAGTGGAAAGGGGAATGAGAGAAGCAAAAAAAAAAAGAAAGGAGGGCGGGGGACAGCAGAGGGTCCTCAGCTCTCTCTCCCCAAACCCTCTTCAACTCTTAAATCTCTTAGACTATCTTTTCATCCACCCAGGTGTGCAAGGATCTGGACGTAAAGGCCATCATGGATACGTGGATCAAACAGAAGGGATACCCTGTGGTATATATTGAAGAAAGCAATGCACAGTCCAGGGACGGCTCAATAAAGATGATTGCCAGTCAGAAACGATTTTTGAGAGATATTAAACAGGGAACCCAAAAATATCACGATGAGGCTAAGGGGTGGGTAACAAGATTTATGTTAAGGTTTATCGTAATTTCTTGTTTAGCCTTGAAATTGAATAACTGCCATTGTATTACCTGGTGGTCCTTCGTTTTCGATGAAGAAATTGTTTGAAGAGATAACTGATTTAGATCAAGCTCCTGGTGTAGACTCTAAGAGTCACATGTATGGTGCTAGCTAACTCGACTATTTCAATTTTTTTTTTCAGTTACAACTGGCAAATTCCACTGACATATGTGACGTCTCAAAACCCTCAAAAAACGCATACAGTGTGGATGAAAGACTCTCATGGTAAGAAGAAGTATTCGAATGCCAGTATGCCACTCGGCTCTAAGCTGGCGATGCTTGTAGAGTGGAATCAACCTCGTCTTCAGGTCTCGCTCCTCCCATTCCCTAAGGAAAAATCCCTGGGAATGAGGGAGCAGTGGAACCGCTGCTCCTAAAAGCAGACGCTTGAAACTGTCCCAACCGTATTGGCCATCTGTGAAGTGGCGAATGAGACTGGGTCAGATTGTTGTGTCGAATTGAATTATGGTACTGTTTTGGGTGAAAAATTTTGACTTAGTTTCCTGGGCATCCTTGTAATTTCGCATTCCGCAAACTATAAGGGGAATGGGTACAATCTTTCAGTGCAACGATTTCTTGGATCGTATGGGTGGACAAGCGTTAGTTATGATTGGTCGATGGTATTCAAGGCAACCATTAACCAATCATAATTGGTGGACAAGCGTTACTTATGATTGGTTAATGGTTGCCTTGAATACCATCGACCAATCGTAACTAACCCTTGTCCTCCGAAACGATCCCAGAAATCACTGCACCAAAAGGTTGTGCCCATTCTCCCTAGAGTTTCTGAAGTGGGTAATAGCCATCAAAAAAGGCCGAATGGCATCCCTAAAACAGGCCCACAGTGCAATTCGAGACTAAACTGACTTAGTTTCAAGGGCAATATCAAAAAATGGTCTTTTAAAAAACACTGTATTTTCAACTTTTCTAGGCCAAAAACGTTCTTTCAACTGGTCTAAAATGAGTACTCCTACGGAAATTTTCTTTGTATTTCGCTGTTCACTGAACTGTTTACTTTTATTGCTAAAAGACTGAGATAGAATACTGACCATTTAGACGAGAGAACTAATAATTCTGTTAAGAAATACAAGTGGATCTCAGTGCGGTGGGAAAGCCTCATAAAACTTATTGGCTGTCGTTCAACGTACTGCATTATTTCCACTCTTTCTAAGTCTTTCCAGCTGATTTGAATATGACGGCATTGTAGCGGCTCATTCTCCCAACAAGTCACATTATTTTGATGACTAATGATAACGCGCGAGACTTTCGACCAGATACCGTTGATGTAAATGATGAGAATCCTGGGATACCACTCCTGGGAATGAGATCGAAAAACGGAAGCCTGGAAGTAATGGCTGTTGTTAAAAGAGCCAGGATTAGTACCAGGGTCAGCGCAGTCCGTTTTTACGCCGCCCTTGACCTCTGTGCGAGGTGTTCCCAGCCCGATTCCCAGGCGTGACCTCAAATCCTTGTTAAAACTTCTTTATAAACGACCTTTAATATAAACAGAAAACTGCATGATGGAAAAAGGGGGTTAAAAATGAGCGCACTTTCGGCCTCAGGTCTGTCAGTTTAAGTACGAGAAATCGTTATTAAAATCGTTAATGCAAATTTAGTAAGACATGAAATTAAAAAAAGAAAGAAATAGTAAGTAGGTTGCGTTGTCAAGCAAGCAATTCCTAATCCATTTCAACAGCTACAGTCTCAACGGGCAAGAAAAAATACAGTTGGATCAAGGCGAACGTTGGTCAGACAGGACTTTATCGTGTGAACTACAACAAAAAGAACTGGGGAAAGCTTGTTAAGCAACTTAATCGCAACCACAAGGTATGCTAGCTTACGTTATTTTCCTATTCTTTCACGTGGGCCATTAGGGATCAGAAACCTCCTCGTTCTGGTCCACGTGACATGGTTACAACAGAATAGCCCACATTCGATATATTAAAATTCTAACATGGCTCCGAGATGATGATGATGATGATGATGATGATGATGATGATGATTATTATTCTATCATCTTTAGATTCTTTCATCTGTGGATAGAAGTGGATTGATTGACGACGCCTTCAACTTAGCGAGGTAGGATACCAGAATAACTAGTAAGCTTTTATCAGAATGGGAATACAAAATATGGAAGACTGGTTTTGCAGTCTATATTAGCGAATTGTTCTGCGTACTCATGGAAACCTGACGTCGATTTTTGTCTTAAAATTGTTTTGCCCGAGGAAGCAAAAGAATCGCTTATTTGACAGCGAAACTTTTTGTATAAAACGGCGACTCCCAACTCCTGCTGGTGTATCCAAGACACAAATATAAACATTAATAATAAAACAGCAAAGACTAAAGCGACTCTAGGTTTCCTGATATTTCGGACGGAGCCATATTATTTGAATTGTAACGACTTTCCGTTTCTTCATTTAATCCCCTGAAGAAGGAAGGCTTGTCCGTCCGAAATATTGGGAAACCTCAAGTCGCTTCTGCCTTTGCTGTTACGGTGGCCGCGACCTACCAAAGGCCTGGGAATAACTTAGGTGATGTCATGAATTCACGCCATTGATCGAATGACAAGCTACATCATGTGACATATGCTAAGCAATACTGTACACACGTACTCTTACTTTCACAGAGCTGGACAACTGGACATGTCCACCGCACTGAGTCTGACAGCTTACCTCGAGAAGGAAAGGGAGTATATCCCATGGTCTACTGCACTAGGTCACTTAGGATTCATTGGCTCCATGCTGAGCATGCGCTCATCTTATGGGGATTACGAGGTAAATTTTCTGGACAGAGGAAGAGCTAAGCAGAGAAGTCTACCTCGGTTTTACGTCTTTGGCCTTTTTTGTTTTGTTTGCCTGGATTTCACTTGCCGTGCAGTAGGTGGAACATGGGAAAAGATGTACACAATAATTAATCAACGTAACTATCTTTTCATTGTTCGCAGAGTGTTGAGATTCCTTTCGTTCTTTTCGCGCCCGAAAAATGGGAAATGGCACCGACACCAGTTTTGTTTTCAAGCACTTACAGTTTTGTTGGTAAACGTTCCAAAATTTTAGTAAACTAACAACGAATTGTAACATTTTGAATTTAGTTTTGGAAGCAGGGACCAACATTACAAAAAAGAAGAACCGGATACTAACAGGAAACCGTATCCTAATATATTGACAACGGAAGGAAACAAGGCTGATTCACTCTTGGGATTACAATTACTTTTTGCCAATATATTGGCTTTTCTTCTTCTTGTTAATATTTTGAACTTTTAACAGTGACAAAAACACCTTAACTTTGAAGTACTTTGACTAGACCTTGCAAATTTCTCTCCTTTGACCACGGTGAAGTAGAGAAGACTACTAAACCACAAGTCCATGTTATGGTATATCATCACCCAAATGTTTTCCCCAAATGAGTTCTTGATGTTGACATCGGGTTAGAGGAGGGGTAGGTGAGTAGTTGCCAAGAATGTTATACTGCAGACTGCCCACCTATCCCTCCCCTAACCCAAAATTTATTATGCCCTAAGTGAGACATTGGTGTCAATGTTAGGTTATGCTGATTCAAACCAATCCCGATCATAATGCTCTAGTAGAGGTGTTATTCATTAAGTCATCGGCAAGGAATAGTAAAAGCTTTTTGCACTGGTAACCTGTAATGAGAAATTTTGCTTCTTTTACATATGCGCAGAAATATATCGTGAAAAAAGTGAAGCCACTTGAAAAATACGTCGGATGGGGGAGTGAAGGAGACATCTTGAAAATGTGAGTGGCTGTGCTTTTCTTTATCTTGGGTACAACCTGTAGAACTGTTTTAATGTTGCACGTTTAATTTAAGGTCGCGTTCATGAATTGAGTGTCATGAAACCAAAACAGGACTGACCAATCAAAGAAGACTTAAAAACGAATAATCCAATCAGCGATCAAAGTGATATGTGAAGCGGCGCATAACGTGGGAAACTCATGCGAATACGTGTTAAAAGGCTTTGCACTGAACTCTGATTAGTTAAGACTAGAGGAACACGAGATAGCCAATCACAAACCACTACAATGGTAAACCAAAGCAATTCTACTACCTTCTTTGCTTCAGGTATCTTCGAAATAACGTGCTGTCGACTCTAGCCAGCCATGGGGATGAACACGCAGTAAACTACAGTTTGACTGGTTTCAGAATATGGATGCGCAATCAAAGGTTAATAACTAAATGTCAGACACTTTAACCCCTATTTTCCTCTTTTCCAGGTCTTTGCTTAAAAGGTCAAACCCTGGCCAATATATATCCTTATGCGTATCAACTCTGTTTTGAAAAAAGAGATTGCTTTAATTCAATCGATGAGAAGACATTCTTATCATTTTGTTGACAAAAAACTTTCTTGCTTTACGCCACTTGTTCTACGAGGACGAGTTGTGAATGGAACTTTTGCCGTGACTTCAGACGGAGCGTGTAGGTGTGTTCTGCAAATGGGAAAACCAAGTCCGACATACGTAGGTTCAAAGCCATAGCTACTTCCCCTTCAGCTAAGTCACCGTTTGTGATTTTCGTTAATACCATTTTTTTGGTAGCAGAGTGAACTGCGCATTACATGCGCAATTACCGCAAACTTATCAGTAATCGAGACTGTTTTTTTTTTTCTCATTACAGCCTTACGATTTCTCCTCACATACGGGGTATTGTATATAACACTGCCATCAAATATGGTGGACTAGAGGAGTGGGAGTTTCTGTGGAACAAGTATCTTAAGACTATTGACGCAACGGAGAAGTCCCGGATGCTTTATGCGCTTTCAGGCTCCAAAGAACCGTGGCTTTTAAGCAGGTTTGTTTTCTCTACAGTTTTCAATGTTTAATAATTCTGTTTCTTGTCTTCTAATAAAGACATAAGCTTGAGGAAAAAGCGTTCTTTTTGTATACTGTATTTACTAGTTAGCACCGTTGCGCTTATTTAAGTTTGCGCGTCTCAAATGCGACACTTATTCAAGGTTGCGCTTATTTGAGCGCGGCATTTATTTGAAAGTTGGCGCGACAAAGAATTGTCTTTACTTTATAGAAAGGTATTTCCGTGTTAAACTGACAGAATTAACGTCTTTTGATTTTCTATCGCGGATGTGGTGCTTAATCGGGGCGCTGCGTTTATTCTAGTTGATACGGTAAGTATTGGTTGTTAAGATTTAATAACAAGTTTATTTGTGATTACTTTTTGATGTTATCAGACTTTTAGAGTATTCACTTGATGACTCCAAGATTAGGACACAAGATATGCTTCACGCCATCTCAGGAGTTGGATCACATATCTACGGCCGTCTGCTCACCTGGGACTTCATAAGAAAGAACTTCGACAAGATCGTTAAAAAGTAAGCGAATTCTATTGTCAATGAGACATTAAACCTTTTAGTATTTATAAAAGAAAGCCAGTACGTGCAAAAGAAGTAGGTTTTTGGCGTTGCGGGTGGGTGCCAATCACTAAATGACGTCATACAAAAGAATGAAAAGACACTGAGCAATACTCACACCACAACACAAAAGCTAGCCTGCGTAGCAAGCGTTTCCGCGCCAGTTTGTCGAGAAAGTTGGGACGAGAGTAAAAGAAAGGAATGACGGGGGAGGGGGAGGGGAACGAAGGAAACGAGGTTTCCTCTTCTCCCATCCCCCCTCCCCCTTCCACCTTTTTTTGCTCTCGTTCTAACTTTCGTGCAATAACTCGATTGGAAACGCTTGCTATGCAGGCTACACAAAAGCGAACCAACAATGGTTTCCGCGACACCAAGAAACACCCAAATGAAGTTTATGTAACTGTTTGCATTCTTATCTAGAGTGGGCAAGGACGCCATGGAAATCAGTTACTTGGTAGGCATTGCCACCCGAGGATTCAACTCTGAGTTTCAACTTAAAGAGGTACGCTGGGGGATGGGGGAGAGTTGTCATAAACGAGATTGTGCGATGCAAAAAACAGGCCCCAGTTGTTCAAAAGGTGGTTAACGCTATCTACTGGATAAATCGCTATCCACCTGGATAGCGCAATTGTTTGTCCTAGTTCTTATCCGCTGGATAGTGATTTATCTGAGGGCCTCTTCCAGGCGTTCAGATAGTAGAGTGCGGGAGAGTTCAAATAGGAGAGCGCGGGCGAAATTAGCTCGCTCACCACCATCTGAACGCGGCTCTCTACTATCAGAACGCCTGGAACAGTCTATTTATACGGTGGATAGCGCTATCCATTGTTTGAACATCCGAGGCCAGGATAATACTTGTGTGACTAATCTATAATCTGGGTGCTATTGCCGTACAATTTCCGGCGGTGTTTTAATCTACCAAACAGGCATTACTTTTTCGCATTTTAAGGCAGGAAACCTCGAGGCGAGTGAGACACGCATGACTTGCCTCCAACCGCCTAAAAAACGCGGAAAAAAACAAACAAACAAACAAACAAACGAAAAAAACAAAAAAGAAAAAAAAACATCTGTTCTGCAGGCTAGCGCGCGTTTATGATCACCATTTAAACAGTACGTGTATCCTGCGTGGGATATATTTCAGCCCTAAATTGTTGCTTAGAATGAGCTAAAAATGCTTTCTCTGCGTCTGTATTCTAACCAAGCTCGTGATGCATAAACCCTTTGGTAAACCAGTGTGTCGTTGTCCAAGTTTGAGGTAAACAAAACTAAGTCTATTTTCTTTCGGAGCTAATAATTGCTATATAATAAGTGACTGCGTGGAAAAACATAACTGGCAATGGGCTAACCGCTACGAATTATATGTAGCTTTTAATTTTAAACTGGACATGCTGCACGAAACACCCTCGTGAGATACTTATACCAATCCATTATCAGTGTTCCTGATTTAGTAAAACTACTTGATTTCTTCTCGGTAGGTTAATAACTTCATTGACCAGCATAAAGACGTCTTAAGCCAGCTGCGCGCCACTAAGAAGGCCGTGGAATATATTCGAGGTTGCATCAACTGGATGACGGATCATGGCAAACAAGTGGAGGACTGGCTAAAAGCACAAGTGGCTGAAATAGAATCACTCAGCAGTAGATTAGAGGACCTTTAAACATGACTTCCAAGAATTCTCAAAATCAAATTATTATATCAACATTGTATGACAAGATACAAAAATATTCGTTCAAGAAGTTTTTATCTGAATCGGCACGGGACATTTGCAGTTAGTGAAGAATTGATATCGATCCGTTGATAGTTGTCTAAGTTGCCATCATGCAGAATGACATTTTTAACAGACAAATGCAATTTTGCGCGTCGGATATTGCTTTGTGTAGATGACACGTAGAAACTGATGGTACTGTTCTTCTAGTAAAATTATAAATAGTGTGACTCAATGACAGAATTACATTCCGAGTCTGCTTATTATGAAAACTAGGGCCTAAGCTTATTTTTAAACCCAAATCTTAGAATCATATTTCCTAACTTAAATTCAACTTCTCATCTGATATGATCTTTTTCTATTCTCGAATAGTTAGGTGTACAGAGCACTTATACTTAGCAATCTCTATTCGTGTGTTTTGACATTTATAATATCTATTAAGCAATCAAATCTTTTCTTCTATTTTATTTTTTGCCACTACTCCAGATAAACGTGATATATCTTCCCAAAGCGTGAAGATCTAGTGGTCAGCTAACTTACGCTTGAACCCCTGGGTGTCTCTTTCGAGCAGTGCTCCTAGTGGGTTCCCTTTCAAAGAGAATTTATTGCATGGAATTTATAAGTTACGATATATGCGGTTTCACGCTGTCACTAAAAGTCCCTTGTATAATCTGAGCATGAAGCGTAGTTACATTTTGAGCGACCAGTACACTGTTTTTTGCCGACTTTTCAGCACTCAAAACATGGTTCGAGGTATCGAGGGTAAAATTATCTCGAAATGATTTGAGGGGGAACAAAAATTACTTCGAGTTAGCGGAAGGTTCGAGCTAGTTATCGAGGGTTCGAGTTACCGAGGGTAAAATTACAGTAAATGTAGTAAGGAAATCCAGGGGAAATCGATTTTGGTTCGAGTTAGCGCGAGGTTCGATTCAGCGAGGGTTCGAGTTATCGGGAGTCAACTTCGGTTTAGTTGGAAATTTTTTTCCAATAGCGCACACTCTCATTGGTTACTTTGAGGTCACACGGCAACTAACAATGAAACTGATTCCCGCCAAAATCTCTGAGTGGGCAATCGTATTTGCTCCGTTTTCCTCAAAACAAAATTACATGATATATTTAATTTCACCCTGTGTTAATCAGTATGCAGGAGTCTTTCAAAAGTGGCGAGTGCCGCATAACATTAACCGAATCTTTTAGAGTTCTCGACCATTACGATCTCGTAACCTAGGATTCAAAGAATTTATGACCGTCTCATAATTCTCTATTTTTTTTTTGAAAAAATGTGGTTTCGAAATCTTTTGAAACAAAGTTATTACAGCAACTGAAGTTTGCGATTAATTTATTTCGTTTAGCAGCGATTAATTTGACCACGGAATATACCTATCGATTTGAAGATTTTAGTTTTGATTTTTTGAAAATTGTCATCGAAATTCACGGTCGTTCCGAGCATTTCATCTAATTCAAATCTTCTGTTCAGTGTCCGGCTCAAATTCTATTTAGTTTTGATCTCGGATTTTTTTCTCGCGGTCTCCGGTTACTTCGTCAGCAGCTCGTCCTCGCACTTACGTACTGATTTGATAGATTTAATAGACTACGAGTAGTCCCCATTTTTCCTCAGGGATAGTAGAGCGAGCGAAACTCGAGCGCTCGTTTAATCAACCCACGCGAGAAAGGCGAGACGCGGTGGGGAGACTCACCGCCGCGTCTCGCCTTTCTCGCGTGAGGTGATTTTCACGCGTGCTGTACTATCCCTAATCCATAGATTTGAGGAAAAATAAATCATACTGTTCCTTCTTTTCGTACTGATTTTAAGCTAAATGGGACTTTTAACTGATAAGGGTAATATTTCGATTAGTTCGACTCAGTAGTCTTTTGCAGGGCCAAGCTAGGGCTAGTACTATATTGCAGGATAAAAGTCATAAAAAAGGGCTCACAAATGTTAATTTAAATATAGATATATACGTTGTTAATGGTGTCTACTGATTTTATTATCAACACGGAAAGAGTTTCAATACATTTAAAAACCCTAACTGCTTCGAATTCCACCTCATTTTTTTAAGCAATGACATTTTATCAAGAAATTGCTCTCTAATAATTATATCCTTGACAATATCCGGTGTAACAAATGACTCTCCGCTATAAAAAGGAAAATTAAAAAACGTACAAATGTTTTGATAAAAGATCTGAAGCCCAGATAAAAATTCAATCATGATTTGGTCTTAATAGTTTTTAAACATTCGTATCCTGTTTGGAAAATTCTTGCTAACGCTTCATTATTAAATTGCTCTCGAATGTTCACTACGATATCGATTTAGCCCACTTAGATTTCACGTCCTTTAATGAGGTGATCAGGGGCCACTTTGTTTTGACAGTTCATAATTTACAAAATATTACTTTAGCGCTTGAGTGACAAATGCGCTTAGGCTGTAGAACAAAGGTCGTTCCAGCCTTTAAAGGTTCCTACGGAAAGGCCGTTGAAGAGCTATTGTGCGCAGAATCTTTCAGACCTTCTATTTCTGCTACCCTTCTGACGCTGTTGTGTTTCACGTTATACGCAAATGTCGAGTTAGTGCCCGTGCGAGTCTTGCGTCTTTTCGGCGTTTTCAGAGAAAATTTACACCGCAAAATGTCTTTAAATGACCTTCGAAACTGCGCGCTGTAAAAACAGTACAAAATAGGGTTAGCTGCGGAATTTCCAAATATTATCAACTGAGTCAGTCTCCATACTTCGTTTCCCTCGTAAACATAGAAGTAACGCAGTGCTCGTATAATGATAAAAGGGGACCAACAGCAAAAAAATACAAGAGTCACTACGGCTAACATCTTTGTCACTTTGTGCTGTTTTGATTCCACTGATCCCATACCAGCCGTGTTTCTAATATGCGTTTGCAAAACTCGCAAAATCTTCCAATGTGCCCAGATCATATACATCAAAGGACAGACAAAAATCAGCACAGCTTGAAGCATGTAGTACGTTTGTCTTCCACTGTCTCCCCACGTCGTATTCAGGCAGAGTTGCTTGCCATTTTCTTCTTTGGTCGCGTACCCGTAGAATAACGGAGCGCAAACAACTATGGCCACTATCCACAGAATTTTGATCACGATAGTTCGTTGCGCAACGCTCCGATTTCTCGCTAGACTGGTTGATCTGACCGAGCGAGATCTTTCATGACTAATGGCAACTAAGGTCAATATAGAAGCGGTGTAAGAAATCTCGATAAGCGTACCTTGTATTTTGCACAAACCATTGCCTCCGGGCCATTCCTTCAGGAAGAAGTAGGACACATCGATTGTTGAGAGAATGGCAAATAAAAGATCCGCGGCGGCTAAACTGGATATGTAGCAGAGGAGAATAGATCGCGACGAGCGATATTTCCTATAGCAAGTTAGAAGCGCCATTATGTTTCCAAAGAACGCGACAGTAAAAAACACTGCGTAGAGAATGACATATCCCACGATTAATGCTAAAGGATACTCGGTCGTTTCAGGAGTAGGACTGACCGTCGAATTCATCTTGGAGCTGCTAGTTGCAGCGTCAACGCCAGGCATCTTGGTGGTACAGACTACTGATGCGTGAGTTTATACACTAACAAATCAAATACAACTCGCTATAATGCGTCTAAAACGTTTGAAGCTGTTATCAAATTACGCCAATAATAAAGCCTGAGCTCAATCAATTAAAACTGTGGTTCCAGCCTGCTCGATTTCCATCTGGTAGAGACCATAGTACCTTTGATCTAAAGGAAAGCATTTATACGTGAGTCTTGTTTTGACTGTCTTATCACAATACAAAACAGAGAGAAATTTGCAACCACCCGACACGGTCTCTTGCATACCGCATTGTCATCGGTTTATATAGCTTTCACTACGAGTGCCACATCCTCCTTACACTTTATCCCCGGCTTATGTCACGTCCGTGGTTTAGGGATCGGACCATCAAATATAATTTCCTGTGTGCCTTTGTCACCCAAAACTTGCAAAAAAGGTTAAAAAACTTTCACACTCAGATGCCGCACCGTAGGGCGTTTCATCAAATAACCATGAAAATAGTAAGTCACACCAATAACTATGGTTACACAGTAAGATTTTTTAAATTAAAACATGTCAGAGCAGCATGCATAACAATAACAAAGCAGTTGCAAAGAAACAGATGTTTTTAGCTCGCTTTTTGAGTCTCAGGCGTTTAAGTTTGACATTTTTGGACACAGAGAATAAAGTCTTACAAAGGTATTCTCAAACTACGTAGTTCTTTGCAGAAAAGGTGTTTGTTTTTGTTCGGATATCCGTATGCTTGTGTGTGGGTTTCTCAACTGACGTCATACAATGTGAGTAATTAGATGTAAAAGACAATTGTCTCACCTTTTGTTTGCACTTTATATTGGAGGATAAATAAAAGATCTAATTTCTTCGTTTTGTCGATTTTGGGATTTAAAAGGTTTCCCACTTGAAAAGTGGAGATGCTGTGCGCACCTGTTTAAGCACCATACCACCGCGAGGTGTGAATTGTGACCATCAGACTTTTCTACTTTAAGGCCCCGGCGGTTCAACAGTTGGATAGCGCAATCCACCAGTTAAATACCCTGGCTCCAGAGGTGCGTTCTCGAAATACCTAATATGAAATAAACCGTGCTTACGGTTTGATAAGGCTCCCGAGACGGAGCGGTTATTTTTTTCTCTTGGGGCTGCGCGCCTCGTTGACGCGGCTTCGCCGCGAACGATCAGTATCGATGACAGAAAAAAAACTTCTGAAAACTTGGCTTACAATTTGCTTCACAAACGCAACTCATAAAGTATTATAAGAGGCCATTTCCGAGTTTCCCCGGACCTCTGTATCAAAACGAGGTTAATTGCTCAGCCTTTGATTTAGAAATGATTTTTCATTCTCATGCAAATAAAACTTATTTTTACAAGAAAGGGTGTGCCCTTGGCCTCATTTTGAAAGTGAGAATTTTTGGAACTCGGAATTAGAAGTGGCCTATTGCGCGTTTTAGCTGAATGCCAGATTAATCACGCAAACCTACAATAATTTGGCAATACAAATTGACACCCACGGTGCAGTACTCTTTTACCTATTAGGTACACTAGTATATTACTGTTGGCCTCAAAAAAACGTGCGCTTTAAATAATTCTCTTGGCCTTATTAATCGAAAAAATCTCTGCTAAAAGAAATTGATAGATAACTGATATGTCATCAGATTAGGTCTAAATATCAGCCTCAGTCAGGTAAGTAATCGGCTCCTGCCTCAATACAAAAATAAAAACTTAGAATAACAAAAGGGTTAAGCATTATAAGTGGGGTTAAATTCTGTATTAATAGTAGTTTTAAAGATAGCACTATCAATCAAAAAATTCTCAACTACGTTTTGCATATTCATTCTTAAAATGAAGAATCTTTCGTCAAGCAATCTTTTTAAATATCATTTCACGATTTACGCTGTAATGGTAAGAGTAACTTTCACTCTCATTTGATGAATATATCGGATATTTTAAGCTAGTACTCGACTTTTAAAATCATCTCTAAAGGAAACGGGTCTCCAAATGTAGTAGAACATCCTGGACACGACACGCTCACACCAGAAGTGCGAAAGACGCAATACCGGAACACCGGAACTGTTTGCGAGAGGAAGTGCCTGCCAAGAGCCTAGAGGCTGTTTACATGAAGGAAGGAAGATCCTAGCACCAGGTAGACCTTAGAAGTCGGAACAACTTTAAGTTTGGTTTACATGCAGAAATTTCGGTCCCGTGTGGTTATCAAGTAGAGGAGGAATTAAAGATGGCCGGGAAAATAACAAGCATCTAATCTGGGCCTACCCTGGGTACCAAAGGCATTTAATTTTACCTGCGATAACTCGAACCATTTTTTGAGCGCTTAAAAAGTCGGCAAAAAAAAACAGTGTACCGTCGTCCGAAACGTTAATTTTGAATCTCCCTTTGACGTGTTGTAGCCATTAGTTCACTAGTGGAAGCTGATGTTGTTTGTCACAAATCTAACGCGAAACAGCTTTACTACTCAAAACAGTAAAACGCATGCTGTATTTAGGCTATGTTTTTTAGTTACATTCTGATTAATAACCTAGAAGTATCTTTCAATTTCCACTTAACGTTTCTACAATTAAATGTGGTTAAAATATTCACTGTACAGTAAAAACTGGTTTTTCCCTTACTTCCGGCTATTTGCTTCCAGCTCCCGATAACTAGAACTTTTTCCTATTTCCCTTGAAGGTTCGAGTTATCGGGAGTCGACTGAATTTCAAGACCGAAAAGGATTGAAACTTATTAAAAGCTATTACGTAATCACTGGTCTTGGTTCTATGTAGAGGAGACATAACAGAGTTTTTCAAGCCTTTATGACTGACGTAATGACACTTAAACTTTGTCAGAAACTTACCGCCCAACCAATCAAATTGGATACAAAGACATTTGTTTTTTTAACACCTTAAGATCCAGTCCTGCAAGAAAAATATGTTTGTTTTTTCCAAATTATCCCTATATCGCTTTGTTCCGTTTGTTTACAAATCCCCGGAAAAATTGACGTTTCCCTAACTGTGCGTGAGAAAGCATTTTATTAAACTGCACACGGATAACTCTTCTATTTTTTTCTTATTGTCAAATTTTGATTTATTTAATATAACTGAGAGGAGAGAAAATCAGTGTCTTGCCATGATTTATAATTATGAACGGTTAAGTACATTTGGGGATAGCGACAGAATCAAAACAACTCGGACGGCAATTTTTTTTCTAAATCACCGATTTTTCTATCAAGACAAAGTCATACTACATCATAATAATTACCTGTTTTTTGATTACTTCGACAGACAAAAAAAAATGTTTGAAGAATTTAACTGACATAGAGGCTCAGTTGTAGTTTAAGTACCATACTTAGCGTTTTTTCCTAATACTAAACTAAATCCTTGTATAGAACTTATAAGTCTATGAATAAATGTTTACTATTAACAAAATGGACGCGGGCATCAGAAATAATTCTTTACTAATTTCAGCTGCCGGTTTCTTTTTATCATTTTTCATTTACTCAGCGGGAAAATAGCTATGTCAATGATTATTGTGTGGCGCAAACAAGCTTTTAAATTTCGCAGGTTTAAAATAAATACAAAAAGCAGTTCGAAATTTGTATTCAATATAATTTCCAACACCTCTCATTCGGCAGCTGTCTTTTAACAGTAAGTTCATTTGTTTGATCTCGATTATTTCGTTCAGAGACAAAATATCTTACTACATCAAAATTAAATAGCAATTCAATGGCTTTCGCAGTGGGAAGGATGTGAGAGAATTGAACGGGATCAGAAAGTCACACCAATGGTTGTTCGGTTGGTGTCTGTCCGGCTCTGTCAGCTCATGCTTGCATTTTTTGCACTGAATTCTAACGCCGTTTGATGACTGCCGGAGAAACATAACAAAATTTAGCTGTTAATAATGTACTTAAACGCAAATACCAGTCTCGGGTTGAATTTATCTGATACCAGTGAAAACACTGCTGTCCCAAACAGCATAAGTGTGGTCTCCTTCATAGGAATATTTATACTGTGTTTCTACATCATAGTGTATTCTACATCTACTGTGGGAAACTTTGTCGTTCTTTACATTTGCCACAGAAGTGGACGATCCGCGGCCTTTAAGCCAACGCGGACTGGATTTTTCAATCGTTACATTGCCAATCTTGCCATTGCAGATCTTCTTTTTACACAACTAACTGTTTTCGATGCAGTTTATGCGATTCTTGCCGACTGGGTGTTTGGTGCGGCGATGTGCAAGCTTCAAGGATTTCTGGTCGAGCTATGTTATTCCGCGGCAATTCTGACTTTGATTGCAATTAGCCGCGAAAGGCGAAAATCTATATCCGACTTGGAAATGAAATCACGAATCCAGCGAGTCAAGGAGAGAAAAATTTTCTCGATCATTGTATGGATCGTGGCCTTTGTGCTCTGTTCGCCTCTTTTGTATGCTTACAATGTTGTAAAAACTCAAACAGAAAATGGTATCAGCCGATGTAACAACATTGCTTGGTTACATATTGGAAGGCGGATTTATTACAGTATTACTATAGTAATACTGTTCGTTTTCCCGTTAACTATCATGATCTGGACACAGCTAAAGATCAAACGTGTTTTAAACGCGCAAGTAGTAGCAAACCAACAAATCGCAGCGTTAACGCGAGCGCGCCAAAAGAAAGCCAGTCGAATGCTTAGTTGTGTAACACTCGTTTTTTTCGTGTTGTGGTCGCCATTTATTTTGACTCGTACCCTTCGTTATTTCGCTTGGTACGAAGGGGAAATAATGTGGAAACTTAGCCAGCTTTTAACTCTTGCCTCGTCGGCAGCAAACCCATTTATTTACAGTTTTTACAGTCTCCATTATAGGATTTTTATCAAGAGGTTAATCACCTGCCAATGTCGACGCTTCATGGCTAAAAGTGAAAATGTACCTACTTCCACAGCTATTTCCCTATATTGAAATTACGTCAAAATAAGAAACATCCTAATGACTTTACTATTACGGACAGAAGATTGATAAGCCATTAGGGAATCAACGAAAGATCTTTCACAATCATGCCCAAAATTTAGTCGGGTCAAGTTATCTTATCAAGTAAGGGAAAGGTATAGTCATCTTTTCGATTTTTTTCTCACGTTTTAGTACGCAATCTTTTTTCAAAACAAACTTCCAGTCTCAAGTCTTTGCTGTGGGAGAGATAGGATCAGCCGAAAGTGAATATGAAGCTCAGTAACTAATTAGTGTGCGAGGTAAATGTGTTAATTATTGTTCCGTCCAGTCCATAACGAGGAAAGGTTAATAGCGGATGTATTGGTTTTTGATCGACTTTCGGAGACTAGCTCGCCCTTGGACAAGAAACGAAAATAAACTAAACTGAAAATCGTTTCCCTGAGTAAATAAGTAAACGGGATGTTGCTGTCTGGATTTGATCGATAGTACAAGATAGTTGAGGTATTGTGACGGATAGATAGGATTAAAATGACACCTGAAAATGACGTTTTCAAACAAACGTATAACGCCAATTTTAATGATGCTAAGCAGCTGTCGCCGCTCGCTCTGTCCTGGCTATGCAAACCTGACACGAATGTCATTTTTAGTCGTATAAAGTAGACCAGCGACATTACAGAGACCTTTCCTCGTTTTTTTTTTTTTTAGCTTTTAGTGACATGGATAAGTTAAGGAAAATCCCTCAATTTCGCTGGAAAGAGTGCCTTTAAATTAGTAAAATTTCCAAATTTGAAAGTGATTTGGGAAAAACTAAAAAACGAAGATATGGCTCCTTAAAGCGTGGCGAGACTTACAGACGTTTGTATAGCCTGCGTGGCAGGCGTTCGAAAGTGAAGGGGAAGGGAATTAGGGCACGAGATCGCGCGAGGGAGGAGGGAGGAAGGGAATTCCTTTCCTTTCTCCCTCGCCCGCCCAAAGAAGTAGTGGGGAGAAGTTGATAAAACATCCAACAAATTCATCTTGTGTGATCATGTCCGTAATTCTCATGACCGCTCTGTTTTACAAAGCATTGATATCATCACAAGGAGAAATTTGGTGCTGATCACTCTTAGGGCTTAAAGGATTAAGACATATGCCTTCAAACTTGACTTTAAGGTGCTCTTTCCAATGATGTCGACGGATTTTCCCTAACTGGTCTATGTCAAAAGTTGAAAAAACAGTAGAGGGGTCTATGATTGTAAAGCTTAGTTCTCAAATGCCACCTACCCGCCTGCGATACTGCCTGAGATACTTTTCCGACATATTAGAACAAAAGCCATCGCACCGCTTTTTACCTCCGGTATGGGGCTGGCACACAGTATACTAAACAAAAATTGAAAGTCAGTTTTATCAGGCATGCCGGCGATAAAGGCTGCGATGGCCTCTGTTACTGTGACTTCTACTCTCTCATCGGAACACTGGGTATCCTAAGGGGTATTGGTGGCCATTCAGTTCGTAGGTAGGTTTACGGCATGAGAGAACAGCAGACCGAACCAACCAAATGATTCTAGCTTAGGTTTTGTTTTATGATGCTGGTAATTGGTCAAATATTTTCTCCGAATAGCCCGTTCGGGAGAGTTAATAAAGATACAATACAATACATTCTATATTACCGTTTTTATTCGAATTAGCGCCCAACCTCGAATCAGCGCCCACCTCGAATAAGCGCCCATCCTAAAGGCAGAAAAAGTTAATAAGCGCCCAGCCTTGAATAAGTGCCCACCCCACCATACCCACTTGGGTGACAACGAGATTGAAATTGAATAAGTACTAATATAAAGAGACTTTCCCGAAGACGGAGTTTTCTTCAGAGTAGGGGTAGTTTACAGAAACCTTGCTTTGTTACATCTTCGCGTTTCGTTATTACCATTTTATTTGTTTTGTTGCAAAATAAACACACTACACTTGCTGAAAACGGTGGAAATTTAATAAGCGCCCACTCTCAAGGTCCAAGTGAAATTTAATAAGCGCCCAAGGCGGTTAATCGAATAAATACGGTACATGAGATAACTTAATTTGCTTCCGTCGTGGGCTTACCAAAAGAGACAAAATTGTACAGAGTAAAATTACCATTAGCTAGGAATTGCAATTTACCATGCTCTCCGAACTAAATCTGAATATCTGTTTTTCTCATGACTTGATTAAGGAAAAATATACTCGTCTATCTTGAGTGGACGTTTCATTTATTCCCTCATCGAAAAGTTCCTTTTCTCTTTAAGAAACGGAAGGTACAAGCAAAAATGCGATGCCCCCAGGTGACCCTCTTGAAGGTAAACTGAAGGCTTCTTACTTTACGTCGGTAGCTCGAAACTTTTCTCATCTGACTAACATACCTGAGGCCTACGTCCATTTTTGCCAACCTCTCTTCGGCGCTACGTCGCTTGACAGGTATTAATATACTGCTACTTTATAATATCAAAGCTTACACGTAAATGAAAGAAGTCGTAACAAGGATTTGAGATCACACTTGGGAATTGAACACGAGACCTTCCACAGAAGACTAATATGCGTTTGCAAAACTCGCAAAATCTTCCAATGTGCCCAGATGATATATATTAAAGTGCAGACAAAAATCAGCACAGCTTGAAGCATGTAGTACGTTTGTCTTCCGTTGTCTCCCCACTTCGTATTCGGGCAGAGTTAACTTGCCATTTTCTTCTTTGGTCGCGTACCCGTAGAATAACGGAGCGCAAACAACTATGGCCACTATCCACAGAATTTTGATCACGATAGTTCATTGTGCAACGCTCCGATTGCTCGCTAGACTGGTTGATCTGACCGAGCGAGATCTTTCATGACTGATTGCAACTAAGGTCAATAGCGGTGCAACAAATCTCGATAAGCGTACCTTGTATTTTGCACAAACTATTGCCTCCGGGCCAGTCCTCCAGGAAGAAGTAGGACACATCGACTGTTGAGAGAATGGCGAATAAAAGATCCGCGGCGGCTAAACTGGATATGTAGCAGAGGAGAATGGATCGCGACGAGCAATATTTCCTATAGCAAGTTAGAAGCGCCATTATGCAACTGCATTATGTTACCAAAGAACGCGACATGACAGTAAAAAGCACTGCGTAGAGAATGACATATCCCACGATAAATGCTAAAGGATACTTGGTCGTTTCAGGAGTAGGACTGACAGTACTATATCCCGACCCATGCTTACAGTAAAAGATAGGGCGAAAACCCGTACAAGGGTAAAAATGGTGAGTAAGACAAAGGTCGGGAGACAGGTGTGGGCGGGTGGGGCTGGAAAGATTAGGGTGTAACCCTAAACCGCACAGTCCCCGAAGGCTGTAAGTACGACTTCCAGCAGCCGGAGCGTTGAGTAAAAAGACGTAATCTCCAAGGGAGATAGTATCTTTCACAGTGTGCATGAGTCGAGACAGCACTATATCCCGAACCATGCTTACAGTAAAAGATCGGACGAAAACCCGTATAGCCGGTCCTTTGGATTCGCATTCTACCTAACTAGCCCCAGTATCAAAAATTCCAATCTCACTCCCACTCCAAAGCGTTTGCAGCGGTTGTGTGTCTGTCTAGTAAGTTCAAATGACACAAAATTACGTGCTCAATGTTTCGCATTTCTGGGTTGTATATCTAGCAAGGATGTTTAATGACATCAATTAGATTGCATGCTCCATGCTTCACTTTTCGGGGTGACTTGCGTAGCGTTGGAGAAGTCACACAGGATAGATTCGGAGGAAAGCAGGTTCGAAACCTTGAAGATGATTGAGTTCCTCGTAGCGGGAGGATGTGTCTGGTGAAGCCTGGGCCATTCGTGCCCCAACGCTATCAGGTAGGAGCGATTTGTGGAGCTGCAAGTAATGCCTAGCTATGCGATGAGATTTCCAGCCTACATGTTCCATGATGTCGTCCAAAGCACTTCCAGTAAGTGCCATGGTAATGCTCCACCACAGAGAAAACTGTAAAGGGGCTTGTTGGAGAGTCCGGCAGCTTCCAAGTCGCTCTTTAGCCGAGCTTCGGCAGCGTCTGTGGAGAAAACATGGAAAAGAACGGCGTTGCGGCGAGTGGCACGGAAGAGAGGGCCTCTGTGGACGGAGATCTTAATGGTGGTACGTATAGAATTATAATCGTCTAACGCCTGTACAGGGCAAATGGCGGAATTGAGATGCCTCGCCACGGCAAAGACCCGGGAATCCCCAGAGCAGAGTGTCTTCCCGAAAACATGAATAATATTGACTTCCTTTGTCGATCGGAAATCGTAAAATTTCAGTTGCCTTGATGTGTGCGAGGTTCGATGGTCGATCGCCAGAAAAGAAATGTAGCTTAAAGTAGGCCAGATCTCTAGCCTGAATGTAGAGATGGATGGGGTACGTAGTCGCCGTGTGCAGTTTATAGTTTATCATTTCACATAGGGCTACTAGGTCACCAATAAAAAGCCGCTTGGCTTGTCTCGGGGTGGCCCTAGCACTAAACTGTTCCTCTGTCATCGCTTTAAGGTAGCGCTTGACCGAGGGATGTGCAGCCGGATTGCGTGTTAAAATATCCGTAATTGTAATGCCTGTGGCTTTCAGATGATCACGTAGAATAGCTCGTAATTTACCAATTTACGAGTCAACCGTCTTAAAGGCCAGACGACGTGGGCAACCGCAGGAAAACAAGGTTTTTGAGCTACTCCCTTGATGTGTACAACTATTCTGGTGAACTTGGGGTTTGGAATCTTTGTCCTTCCAGATCAAAAAATAGATAATATCTCTCGGAGATACGTGGTCAAGAGACTTAGGAGGGGATGACCTTGCCAGAAAAAAAGTAAATTCAGTCTCCAAAGCACTGAGTTTTCGTCTGTACTCAGAAGATGCGAGATGGTTCTCTAATGCATCCCAGCGTGCTGCGAGAGGTTTTGAGTCAATAGGGGAATCCTTGTTGACAGGGATGTCTCGCTTACGTGGTGTGCCACATTGTTGACATTACAGAAAGTATAGGTCGTTCGGCGCGAAGCAGTGAGAACACTCCGTTTGAATGACAGGTTTCCAGATTGTATATTGCTGGGGAGCAGACTAGAAACAAAAAGGAGAGAGGAAAGAGGTAGTATTGTTTAAAATAGATCTCCTTCCAGTCGGAAAACCCATAGATCCCATGGCAAGGAGAGTTGGCGTGGCTCATGAAACCCGTGGCGTTTGGACGGCCAGAGAAGAACCTCGTGGTTCCCCTTTTTTGCTAATGAGTACCTTTCGTTTGCGCATCTGCGCAGCACACGGGCCACCAGTATAGTCTAGAGATGAGATCTGGACTATAACTGTTGCCTTCGCCTTGGTGGTTACACTGGACGAAAAAACGGATTTACTAATGTTTGCGAAAGGTGCAAATATGTGGTAAATTTGGAGCTCCAAATTTGCATTACATTTGCGCTGTCGGCTAAGGTGTGGGCAAATACATATATTTGCTAGATAGGTATTGATACGCAAAAGTGAAGTAAATGTAATGGTTTGATACAAATTTGATACATATTTGCAGCATGGACAAATCTTCAACATTTCTACCAGTTTACTCAAATTTACATCCTTGGCAAAAATGACAGTTTTCACTTTACTTCAAATGCAGGCAAAAATATTGCAAAACCCCTAATTTGCAGTGGTATTTGCTCTTGTTTTTCCAGGATACCAAAAGAACACTTTTGCATGTGGTTTACTCGTATTTGCCTTAAGAGCAAAAACAATAAATTTCTAGACATTTGGCTGTGTCATAAATTTGCACATTTGCATCATAATTATCCATATTTGCAAGGGGAGCAAATATAGTGAGCTGCATAACATTTGCTGACAGTCAAAGGTGATGTGCATGTGACATTTCCTATATGTTTGATCCGTTTTGTGACTAAAGTAAATTTCCAATCTCAACTGTAACATTACATTGTTACAATAAAATTTTGTACACGCTGTGAGACTCCGCCCAGAGGTCCAACCCCTTACATGCATCTTTCCTGTTAGCTGTTTTATGTGCACTGTCATTTTAATATAAAGGAATCAGTGACCAGTTAATTTTTTTTGACAATTTTACATTCACAAATTTCTTCTGTTAGTCTTTTTACAGAACGAAATGACAGATAGTCTACCCTGTCACATACTTTAACTCAGGAAATCCCTATCCTTTCATACCTGAAGCATGAAAAAGGTGTCCCTTTCTGACAGCGCCCCTGGCATAAACCTTTCCCGGGCTACTAATTTAAAGCAAATACACTAATTCAAATCCACTCGTTATTAAGGTCCAGTAGTCAGATCATTGATGCACTGTATTTCCTACAGTCAGGGCCATAGCCAGTATGAGGCAAACCGAGGCACTTGCCTCTGTCATTTAAGGTTTGATCTTGGCAGTGTTTGGTTTCAACGTAGCCATCATAAAGACCCTGAATAGCTAGGCGGGGAATTCAACCATGGATATTGCCTCAGTCCTTATTTTTTTCTGTCTACGGCCCTTGAACTTGGGATACAAGGAGGATCTACAGGAGCTACCGGTCGAATTGTCAAATCCTACCTGACAAAGCCCCAACCCCCCCCCAATAAACAATGAACAGACCTTTATTGGGTTACAGGATCACAGGAACTCTGAGTTGGCCTTAGATCATGAAAAGTCTAGAGCTATAAAAAAAAACTAAGGTGGTGAAACAAATTAACATGCAGCCTTTAAACTTCTGGACTGGGTTGCTCAAAGATGGGTTAAGATAACACAAGGTTAGGTCCAGTGGTCAGATCATTTACTGTATTTTTTGTACATCATACTAAAAATCAAATTTGGTCCGAAATAAAAAGTTTTGTGGATTTCAAACTCAGTGTTGTGATTATTCACTTGTACATAATTTCCTCATGGCCATTTAACCAACAAACTTAATTCAATTTAAAACCAACAATTTTAGTTTAACCAGTATTTGTTGTAGTTTTGACTGCCCACCTAGAGATGACCACATCTCGATGGCCGGCTTCCTAAAAATGACCACATTTTGAAAACCCAACAGCCAATACTACAACAAAATATGGTGAAACTGCTCACAATTTTATTTGAACATTAACTCAGCTGACAAATTTATGAGAGCCTAATTTTTCTTACTTTGTTGTTTGCAACCCTGAGTTTGAGTTTCACTGATTTTAATGTTGATTTTGAGTTTTACTGTTCATTAAGTACTACCTATTCAATCCAAAAAAGTCATAGCATTTTTGCTGGCTAGAATTCATTGAAGCCTAGTTATTTGCTTGGGATACAAGGAGGATCTACAGGAGCTACCGGTCGAATGGTCAAATCCTGCCTGAAAGCCTCCCCCCCTGCACAATAAACAATGCACAGATCTTTATTGGATTACAGGAGCTCTGATTTGGCATTGGATCATGAAAAGTCTAGAGCTATAAAGAAAAAACTAAGGTAGTGAAACAAATTAACATGCAGCATTTATCCTTCTGGACTGGGTTTGCTCAAAGATGGGTTAAGATAACACAATGTTGGGTCCAGTAGTCAGATCATTTACTGTATTTTCTGTACATCATACTAAAAAATCAAATTTGGTCCGAAATAAAAAGTTTTGTGGATTTCAAACTCAGTGTTGTGATTATTCACTTTTTTCATAATTTCCTCATGGCCATTTAACCAACAAACTTAATTCAATTTAAAACCAACAATTTTAGTTTAACCAGTATTTGTTGTAGTTTTGACTGCCCACCTAGAGATGACCACATCTCGATGGCCGGCTTCCTAAAAATGACCACATTTTGAAAACCCAACAGCCAATACTACAACAAAATATGGTGAAACTGCTCACAATTTTATTTGAACATTAACTCAGCTGACAAATTTATGAAAGGCTAATTTTTCTTACTTTGTTGTTTGCAACCCTGAGTTTGAGTCTCACTGTTCATTAAGTACTACCTATTCAATCCAAAAAAAGTCATAGCATTTTTGCTGGCTAAAATTCACCTGAATCCTGGTTATTTGATCTTGGGATACAAGGAGTGGGGTTGTGGCTTCCCCAAAAAATTCTGATGAAGAGAGGGTCTTCATATACAGGAGCTACCGGTCAAATCCCACCCAACAAAGCCCCCCACCACTCCTTAAAAAATGAACAGACCCCTACTGGGTTACAGGAGCTCTGAGTTGGCCTCGGATCATGAAAAGTTATAAGCTATAAAGAAAAAACTAAGGCGGTGAAACAAATTAACATGCAGCATTTATCCTTCCAGGCTGAGTTGTTTAAAGCTGGGTTAAGATAACCCAAGGTTAGTACAAAATATGAATTCAGATATGAAAGTTTTAAAAACAAATTCATTTGAATTCCTTTTGTCTACAATTTGGTGATTTGATACTTAAAAAAAAGGGAAAATTATCTAACAAAATGCTTTTGATTAAAAGGAAAAAGAAACGCAGGTTAAAATCTAACACTGGGTTAGTGCTAATCGGTCTTTGGAACAACTGGGCCCCGCTCTTTTTTTAGGTCCAATTCTAAATCACATAACCACTTCGAAGTGAGCCAATGGTACATAACCTGGGCATGTGTTACATTCCCCTTCTGTCATTTGATAATAGTAAAGCCTAGGGTCGCACAATGGGCAGGGATCTCCAATTACTAAAACTAAAAATTCAAAATGACACAGTAACTGTTGTATACAGTTACAGAGGGCCCACACTACCTCCCCTTTACATTAAGTAAATACGCTACAACAAATCTACTGGACAAAGGTCCAGTAGTCAGATCATTTACTGTATTTTTTCTACATCATAACATTATTATTAAAAAGCTAACAATAACAAGGCCACCCACAGTACCTTAAATTTGGTTAAAAAAAAAAAGGTTCTGTGCATTTCAAAGTCAGGGTGAGATTATTCACTTGTACACAATTTCCTCATGGCCATTTATTCAAGAAACTTCACATCAAAACTGACAATTTTGTTCTTACCGCTATTTGTTCTAGTTTTCACTGACTATACCTAGAGATGACCACATCTTGATGGTAAGCCTCCTAAAAATGACCACATTTTGAAAGCCCAACAGCCAATACTACAACAAATGGTGAAATTGCTTTGTATTTCATATCATTTGTGAATAGAAACTCAGCACAGACATGAATGAATAATTTCTTTGCTGCTCTTTACAACCCTGATTTTGAGTTCAATATGATTTGTCTTTTTAAACTGCTCAAACAGACTGGCGAGATTTATATCAGCCTTCACTCAACAACAATAACATCAGGTGCATTTCTTCACTTAAACCTAAACTTCTTAGACCAACGGGGTTTACACCATCAATATTATTATACTCTTTTACTAAATGAGCTGAATTTTAATAGATTTATTTAGAAAAGGAATTCACCCAGTAAGATGACTTTTTGATTTTCCTTTTTAAATAGGAATATGATTTTTTATAATTGCTGGACAAAAAAAAGGTTCCAGCTAAAAATTTGTTTTGAGCAGTGACAGTAAATCTCAACTTTGGATCTGTCTGAAGGCATTTTCTTTGCCCTTCCACAAAATCACTTTCTACTTTCACTTTGCCAGAAACTTTTGCCATGACTTAGTAACGCCAAGTGAAAACATAATATCTGAGGCATATTTCTTAAGCTATATGTCAGTGCTAGTGAGCAGTCATGGACTGCTGTTTTGAAGGGGCATCCGATAGCAAGATAGGCTTTCCAAAATCAATGAGCATTGGGTGGTACATATTGTTTACCTCTGTAAGAATAATGTTGTCACTCTTTATATCTCTGTGGGGAAACCTCTATGAGTGCAAATGTTCTATAGCTTCACACAATTTCAGTACATTATGTTCCCAAGAGAACACTGTGAAAGGGACATGGATTTCCTTAGCAGGGCACCGCACAAAGAACAAGAAAAATAATATTGTAAAGATGGTAAAAATATAACCCAAGGAAGTACATGTGAGGTTTCTGTTTTTGTGACATTTACCCCAAACAGATGGGGTATTGATGGATGGGAGCATTCAGTATATAAGCTTCAATTCTGTCATCTTGTGAAGAGGAAAAAATGATTACTGTAAATAAATTGAGACCCACTGGAATACCCCTGTAGCATTTCTTCATGCACAGACCACAAACAGCTTCCCCATGTTGAACCTGTATTTCATTGACCTCTTTATCTTTTGGAGAGTTCAGGTGATGCAACTCAATTTCAAGAACATTGGCAATAACTCCTGTACCACTCAAGGAAGAATCTGAAACAAATACACAAAAAAGTCACTAAACCCACTAAAAATAACTGTTAACTCTACCTTTATTGATAATATTGTGAAATTAAATGAATTATGTTACTTGTGTTGCCATTATCTTTATGAACATTATAAATACACATGTGGCACATTTTAGCATTTTTGACCTTTTGACTCAGCTTACATGTACAGCTGTATCATTATAAACTATTATAAACAAAACAACCTTGTATATGAAAACATGACAAAACAAAACAGAAAAAAATGACAGTAACGCATATAACATAAAGGCTCCACCCTACCCCTGTCAAAATCAATGGTACATGTACAGGTATTACGCTCAATATGTCAATATAGCGCCAGAGGTAGTGTAAATTACTCAAGCAATTAATCTTGAGCTACTTCTGCCAAATACCAATAAATTAGCATTTTAACATTGCATAACTACATATTTTGCTGACTTAACACCACTTAAATTTTTCAACAAGGCTTTTTTCAGCTGGATCACTACAATACGCACGCGACACGCGCGCTCATACATGCTACAAATGTAAATATGGATGCAAATGTAGTTTATTCCCGGTTATAACATAGATGTGGCAGTAGAAGCACGATATACAAAGCAAAATACATCGACTTTACCTTTTAAATTTCGAATATCCTTGAGAAGAAATCCAGCAACATAGGCAATCTCTTCCTCCCGCCAAATCGCCAAAAGACCGCGCGCCCGATTTCCCAAGCATTTGCGCCTCAGTGGTGCTGGTCAGCGACAGTCTGCATAACCGTTCGAAAACGAGGCACAACAATTGAAATTCGTCGACCGTTAACACGTTCCACTGCCATCGATTTGCCATCAGCTTTTACTTCGTACGTTTAACGCCATATTTATCAAGAGGTTTCGAATTTTCCTTCTTTGTGGGGTTGACTGTCGAGTATGGAGGAATCGGCCAGTCTTATTTGTTCGAATTTATCGAACGAATGTGTCCTCGAAGAACTTATAAAAATAATCGCTCGAACTCGAGGGAACTGCATACTTATAGATCCTTCGACGAAAATCCACCATGAAAGGCATCTAGATAGCTCCATCGGTGACGATCAAGTAGTAACGAGTGGATCCAAGAAAGCAGCCGTTAGTACTTAGTAAATAGACTTCGGTGAATCGATGCTGTTTTAATTAGCAGACATTGTAAAACTAAGAAGAGGCAGGAGAAATGTTGAGGACAAACAAATGCTGAGGGAGCAACTAATCGGGAGTAAAAGAAATGCTCAGTAAGTATAAGAAAGTTCGTTGTTACTGTTAAGCCATTAATGATGCTATTTGATAATACCTACTGGCTACATTTGCATTCCAATATTCAGTAATCAACAAGGACCACCCCTTCTCCTGAAACTTTATTTGTCCTGTTGTTGTAAAAAATACTGTAATCTTTTGTTTGGTTGTTCTCTTCAGATAAATGGTCTTGGAAAATTTAATAAGAATTGTAGCAAGTGTTAATTCCCCTCTATTAGGCCAAAATTAACCTTATCCTCTAGTGCCTACTTTCTCCAAAGGCTTTTCCAAAATTTAAAAGGGGAGTAAAGGTAGTGACTGCCATGGTGCTGAAAACATAGTGTAGCTAGAATTTAGATCATGGTACCCTGCTTTCACTGATTGTTTTTTATGATCACCCCATGTAAGGGATTCTGGAATCCGGGAAATTTTTGCTTATGGAATCTAGAATTCGGGCAATTTTTGTTGCGGAATCCTAAATTCTGAGCTTTGAAACCTGATATACAAGTCAAACGATTGGAATCCAGAAACCAAGCAATCCACTGAAAAAGGTTCCGGAATCCGCAGCGTGGAATCCAGAATCTAAAACTGTCTTGGATTCCCTCATATGAGGCAATTATAGTATAATTAAACTTTTGTTCCCAAGATACACTGTAAGTGATGACAATATTGCAGAAGAAGCAGGTTCATGAAGTTTTAAGTAATATGTCAATAATGTTGTTATGGTAGTGATGTAGTGGGACACTCACTATAAAATTAATACAATGATTTACCTGGAGTCAATTGTCTTGTTACAAAAGGGTTTCTCGCATTCATTTTTTCGTTTTGTTTTTGCTCAAAGAAGGTCTTAGTTTTAACAGGTACAGTGTAATCAGGATTATGATGACCGCTTGGGGTTAGATTTGAGACATGAAAGTTACGAGCCAGCAATTTGTTTAAACTAGTTAATTTTGATATCAGTTAACTTAGGAAATAAGTAAGTTTAGTCACCTAGTGTGACTGCAGCCAGTAATAATACATGTAATATCTAATAGCAACCTTTTTTGCTATAAAAGGTTAGAATATTTAGACAGAAAAGGACAATAGTATTTTTCATGACAAGCATCTACAGCTTTAGTTTCAATATTAATGGTCTAAATTATGTATAATTTCTGTTTGTTGCAGAAAAAGCTGAAGAGACAACCCTTTTCCAGTCAACCTCTATTTCGAAGAAGGATTGTTGTAAGTTCAAAGCTTGTATAATTGTGGAGTACATGTCTTCAGAGCAAGGCAATACAGACCAAGGAGATGACAAATCCGAGAAAAGTGCTTTGCAGGAGGCCTCTAGCATGGAGGAGTCAACAACTTAGCCTGTAAAAACCTCTTTGCCAAGCTGAACAGTAAAGCAAAATTAAAACAGTCACATGTAAGCTTGTCATTACTCAATGACAATAGAAAGGACTAATGGCTTCTCCTCAGAGCAGGAGGCACCAGATAATGCTCCTGAATTTGCTTTGTGATAAGGAAATATAAGTTAATCCAAGGCTCTTAAAGAAATTCCAGATTATTTATGACTGGTCATACTTACAGGTACATGTACATGTAGCTCTGCAAATACAGTAATCCTTTAATCACTCTCTGTTTATGACACTGTTTTTTAGAAAAAGATAAATCTGTGTAAACAGTGCAAATCCTGATGGTGTTGATTTGTCCTGAGAATTCTGGTGGCAGGTAGATCAAATTGGTTGATGTGATAAATTTTTCATTAGAATCCTTTGGCTATTGTTTGCAAGTAATGTACCAGTCAGCAGGTTAAAAAGGCCAATTAATGTACAAATGTTTCTTTTAAATCTGTTTGCTTAACTGCAGGCATTTGAGTTCTGCTGGCACCACTTCACAGTACATTTGTACCGATTACAGCAATTGCAACTGACCTGCTTGAACAAAAAAACAAAACAAATTTAGGTACACCCTGCTTTTTGTCATGATTTGTTACGGAATTTTGCAAAGGATTGCAACATGACTCAAGAAAAAGAGTAATGAGAGACAGCAGTGTAGTTATTTTGCAGGCTAGCCAGATCAACCTTTTGTACTTCACACACGTACATGTATACTGAGTTTAAAATAATTATTAGCTTCTTTCATTGGGACCAACTACAGTGACAATGGTAATGTTGACATGCTGTGGAATACTTATAGCTGGTCATTACTTTCATGACCCTCAATTTTCTTAGAACGGGGCAAGTACTAGAAGCTCCGGCTGGTACTTCCTCTAAGAGCATATCCAATACTATACAGGAACCATTAGCAACGAAAATGAAGTTAAAGAAGTCTGATCTGAATTTGAATAGCTGTATGTACCTAAACTATTTCTTAGTTTGCTAAATGCTATAACCCAGTTGTTATACCAGCAAAAATTGTAAATTGGTAGCAAGAATTAGGCCTTTCATTCTGATAGAGCCTAAAGAAAAAAATGCCACCAGAATCAAATTTTGTTTAATCTGTAAATAGCAATAAATACAAAAATACTAATTATTTATTAAAATGGTGTCTTGAGGGTTCCATCTAGTTGAAACAGGATTTGGTTCTTAGATACAAAAGTTTAAGTAAGAAATAGTCTTGTCATAAGTAAATTAATAATTGGTCCAAGGGTGAAAGGATTTTTAACCTGTTTCTGAGTTGCAAAAACCTAAAGAACTGAAACAGGTTTGAGGCAACTCTGAAACACCTACAGCTGTATGTAGAATATCTTACACATTTAGATGAAGAACACTTTTCTTATAATATTAATAGTTAATAATGATCTGATAGAGCATAGAGTGGAGACAAGTAAACATCAACGAACAGTAAAATTGGGAATTAATATGAAGAGCTGTATGTACAGCTTTATACTGTAGTTTGTAATGTCTGTAATAATGTGTAAGCCACTTTGGTTTATGGAATAAATCATTTAAACATTAATGGAAGGTCACTGCTAGAATTTCTTTCAGTAACTTTAATGTTTGATTAATTATGGCCACTTGTTAAGAACCTGAAGTGAGCCATATTATAATTAAAAATATTTTTAAAATTTTATCGCATTTGCTACAACCCAAGCAAACTCGTTTAAACCTTGGAATTTACATTTGCCACTGGAGAAAACGTGCTCAATTTTATGGGTTTGATGACATTTGCTACCTGAGCGAAAAATTGTACAATACTAACAGTTTGATCAGATTTGCCGCCCAAGCAACTTTGTTCAAAACTTGACTTTTGACCACATTTGCCGCTACAAGCAAAATTTTGTGTTTGATCAAATTTGCACACCCTAGAAAATTTGTTCAAAGTTTAGGTTTGCTAACATTTGCTTCGTGAGCAAACATGTTTAATACAAAGAGTTTGGTTACATTTGCCATGCAAAGCAATCTGGTTCAATTATGAAAATTTGATCACCCATGATAACCCAAGCAAACATTGTTCAAATTAGATACTTCGCTCACATTTGCAAAGCTGCGTAAACGTTCTGAAAATAACAGGTTTACATGCTTTTACATCTAAAGCAAAAGCTGTGCAAAACAGCAGATTTGCGCTATCATTTGCGTAATGTGCAAATATAGTTCAAAGAAACATATTTGCCTACACATTTGAACCATCTGCAAATGACCCTCAAATCCATGGCTGCCCTTATCTTTGCACCAAGATGTAAATGTTGTGCAAATGTGGCATTTACCGTCATTGCTACAGATAGCAAATCTAGTGCAATATCAGTCTTTGCTCTTGCGCAAAATTGTGCAAATGTGGTATTTGCTACACATTTGCTGTAATTTGGCTACCCTAGTAAATCCATTTTTTCGTCCAGTGTTAATAGGTGTTGAATTGCGGGGGCAATGAGGAATATAGGGGGAAAACAATAACCGTTTTCCTCCCGTAGCAATGTTGGAGAGACTGGTGAATGCCACATTATGATGCAACAGCTAATGCAAATACAATAGACGAATAGGTCTATTTGTTTTCCAGGCCTGATCTATTGTGATCGAACATGATTGCTATTTTTGTGTGTACAAATAAGACTATTAACTCGATGTAAAATTTGTTTCACTCTTGGACTGTCAAATTATTTTTCTCTAAAATCACTTAGCTTTTGTCTCAAAAGTCACATGAATGTGCCCTGATCTGTGGATTACAAGTTTATTGTTTGATTTAAATTATGAATTTATTAACGGGAGCTTCGCTTTTAGCCCTGGCTAAATCTATATATTAATAAGTTACTTACGGTCTGACGACTGTTCCTCCGGCCAATAAGATTTGAATTTCAAATACATTCGGTTGATGACAAATTGACAAGGGCCGTTTTAATTATTCGGCCACATCGAAATCGTCTCATCGTTTGTTAAAACGTTTTTCTTGCTCTAAAAGCTTTTCTTTCGCTTGAAGTGGCTAGTGGACCTTGTGCTTTACAAAATTTAGGTCATGAAATTCATTTAGATGAAAAATAGGACTATGTTTTAGCCTACGTGTAGCCGCACCCCCAGGCTAGACTATTTTCAATAAATGATTATAAAATTCAGAAAAAAAATCCTATATTTTGTGTGGTTTCTGTGGTTTCAAGATTTAGGCTGTGATTGGTCAGATCATAATGAGCACGTCAGACATAGTTTGATAGGGTGTTTTCTATTTTACTATTTGACGGTCATGAAAGATACCTTAGCTGTAATTAACTTCCGTGAAACATCAAGTGAGTGAATTATGCGGTGTTTTCCTGAAGTAGCAGTTCTCGTTTTGTTTATCTGTTTCTCTTCCACTGATGGCTGGAGAAGACGTCGCCGCCGCAGATGTGCTGTACGCAATTGTGCAGTTAGCTCTTGGTCTTCCTGGAGTTCATGTACTGCTAATCAATGTTTGCAAGGCGGATCACAAAGACGAACAAGATGGCAAGTAACTACTCCACTTTGTGGAGGATTAGAATGCCCCAGTATGGAGGAGACAAGGCAGTGCTATGGTACCCGATCAGTGAACTGTCAGCTAAGTTCCTGGTCTGAGTGGAGTTCCTGCTCAACTCCTTTGGGTGTTTCTGGAATTCAAACCAGCTCCCGTCACAGAATAATCACTGAACAGTGTGGTGGAACCTGCTCGACAACATTTCGAAAAACGCGAAGTTGTCCTGAGCAAAGCTGCCTTAATGGAGGGAGTTTACACTCCAATGGAACGTGTTTTTGTAATGAAGGCTTTTCTGGAGATTGTTGTCAGAAAAAACTGCAAGAAGGTAAACTTAAAACAGAAGAGTATTTGATACACACTTTATACTCATCACCAGATTACCATTAAATTCAGAACACAATCACATGTACAGTACGTCTAGCGTTTTCCCTCCGGGGCGAATATCTCATTGCGACATTCAAGGTTTTGAAAAACTTAAAAAGCTTTTCCTTCGGTTGATATTCTCGATTCAAAGCCTAATGCCATGCCTTTTTTTAGTTTAACACGCTTTGAACAAAGTGAGTGGACCTAAGATACAAATATCAAAAAACGAAATACAAAAAGCTGACGCAAGCAGTATCTTATCTGAATATTCAAATGTTAGAAACGGGGAATAAAGAGTGATAAAATGCCAGTAGCTTTATGGGATGTCGGCTATTCTGTTCTTTGAATCCTTTCTGACCATTTGGGGATTTTGCGCCAGACAAAAGAAACTTCTCTTGCATCTCTAAAAGCCTTTCGAGGAAGGTTCTGGGAAATCCGCACAACCTCGAAAGATATTGTAGGGTATTGTAGGTAAGTTCTTACTTCTCCATTTCTGAGAAACCTGAGAACCGAAGCTCCAAGTGTTAAAAACGTTACAAAAAAGCAACAAAAAGGAGGGTTCGATAGCTATAGTTTTGGGACTTACCCAAACAATTTACCTCATATAAGATCGTTTACTTCTTAATTTCTAAACATAGTTGTTTACCAAATATTTACAAAAATTAGCGCATAAAACGTAGGTTTGGCACGTAAACTCTTCAGACTAAGATAGCCAATTTGATTTTGCAGCAACGAGTTGACCAACGCTTAGTTGTTTTCTTGAATCTGTTGCAACCATCAGCCCATTTCACGTTTCAAAAAACGCCGTCGTTCACGATCATATAGCTGCTTACCTAACATCACTGCCGTGTATAGACTAGGCATCGTCGGTTTAATGAATTTATTTAGTCTTTGACTCCTTGATCGTTTTCCAGAATGTCGCATGTACTTTGCGTTCTCCGACAACCTTTCTCGAAATAGCTACGTAGGCGAGCAACCGAGTGGCTAGCCCACCTTCTCATATAAACACAATAAACGTTTTTTGAACCGAGCCAGCCTGGCTAAGCTCACTTCCTTCAAACACACCCTGAAAGTTCCTAGCGCAGTTTTCTTAATCTGAAGTTTAAAAACCCGGCTGAATTTGTTTGGGCGATGCCGCTTGTCTTACAGTTTCTAATGCGTACCGTGCTACTAAACTCAATTCCCCTCTAAACTTTTAGGTGAGAAAAACGATGAAAAAGGAAAGAGCGACGAAAGTTTAAACGGCAATGGAACATGTTTGTGTAAAGAGTTGGAGGGCTATTCTGGAGACTGCTGTAAGAAAGAACTGCAAGAAGGTAAACTTTAAACAGAAGAGTATTTGATACACTTTCGTCATCAAATTACCTTTTCATTCAGAACAAAATGCAAAAAGTGGAGGCAAGAAAATTCTGATCTGTTCATTGAACAGTTAGAGACGGTGAAATAATGAACGATAGAGTTAAATTGCTTTCGCTTTTTCAGGATTTCGTTAATCCGTTCTTTGACCAATTACCATGCACGTGCTTGTTATTACTTGAAAAGAAGAACTGACAAGTTTGATTGAAAGTATGTGATGCATCACTTCTTGAATACTCATATCTCTTTGCCCAACAGCTTTCATCATTAACTTCCTCAAAGTGCTTTTACCATTATTTTGATTCGAAGATTCACAAAGTATTAATGTAAAAGCCTCTTGCTTTAGGCAACTGCCCGTTCGTCTCCAAAGGCTTAGTGCATGGTTCTTGACCTGAAATACATAAGTTAAGTCCGCTGGCTGAATTAGTCTCTGGCGGCGTTTTACAACTTTTTGAAACTACTAAACAAATGTTTTTTCAACGTTAGGTGAAGGGAAAGGAAATAGCTCAACAATCCTCAGCGCTGGAATTATTACAGTAATTTGTCTTGGCTGCATCGTCGGCATTCCGATACTGATTTATGGTATCTACAAAATATTAAGGAAAATTTTCACGCGTCGAGTACATCCTCCGAATCCACGCGTTAATGATAATTGCAAATATTGTATCTGTTGCTACTGTTGTAATAATAATAATAATAATAATAATAATAATAATAACAATAATAACAATAATAATAATAATAATAATAATAATAATAATAATAATAATAATAATAGTCAGGTGCACCGAACGCCCAAAACCACTGTAACACATCATTGTTGAACGTATTTTAGTACATGATTTAAACGGTAGATATAGAGGATATTACACGGTGGCGCGAAGATATGAATTTTATTTTCGAGTGGCAAAACAATATTTTACTCACTCGCTGCGCTCGTTCGTAAAATATTGTTTTTGCCACGAAAAAATAAAATTCATATCTTCAAGCCGCCGTGTAATGTTCTTTTTATTATATAGACAAAAAGACATCGATAAAATAATAGAGGGAAATGACCGAAATTACGTCATCGATAAACTCACGTGTGAGATTATGGAAAATAAACCACTCGGGTCCCGGATGTAGTTTTTATGAATTTTACGAGTGGTATATTTTCCAGTAAAACACTCGTGTCCATATAATAAATAGGCATATTTTTATCTCCTAAAAATTTTGCATCTGTTCGGATTTCCTAGCTGAAAGTTTAGTGATCCGAACTTTATAAGGAGTTATGGGCTCCTGTCAAAACTTACCTTTTCGAAAATTGCAGCCAGAAAAAAGGCTCCCGAAAATTCTAGGTGACCTTTTTAGGGTAAAACTCCGATAAAAATGGGCAATTACACCATTTTTAGGGGGTTCGAAAATCCTAGGAGAGGCAGACAAGCAAGAAATTTAACAACAAATGTTCCGAAAATTCTAGATCTCAAATTGTCTTCCGAACAGATATTTTCCAAAAATTGTCGTTGGGTGCCCCTGAATAGAATAACAATGATTCATGAATTTACGATAGCGCCTTTTAGCATAATTAAATGATCAAAAACGCTTGACAGTTTAAAATTAGTAACTAGCTAGATACTTCATAACGTTCCCGGAAGAGGAACCTTGTCAGTGTAGACTGTAGTTAAACCAAGTGGACCATTTCGAGGTGTTTGGTAGGAGGCGATAGACAAAATAGTCCTTCATTGTATAGACTGCAAAACAGTCGGTTTTTTCCTCAAAATCAGTAAAGAAATCGGTAAAGCGTGGCGTAAGAGTCTTACGCGCGCGAAGCGTGTGAGGCGAGAGAAATTTTTAGTATTTTTAGCGTCTCTCCCCAGTCTCGCTCTCTGTTTTCAGTCTTGTTCGAGGCCTTTTGTTTGACTGCTCGCGCGTACTTGAATAGGAAAAAATACGGACTGTTTTGCAGTCTATTCATTGTACTAAAAGTAGCCTCTTAACAGGCCTTCTACCCAAAACTTTGCATAAGCACTGTTTTGAATTTTACTGATTGTAATATCCAAGAAAAAATGGAAACATTGGTTATGCTAAATTTTGGGAAACAAATCTTAAAACCGTATTAGAGCAATGCGAAAAAAGCTAAATACATTTTACTAATCTTGGCTGGAAAAATCTCATTTGAGATACTGGGGTTGTTATGTAACTGATATTAATGATAAACAATTTGTGGTTAACTTCCCTGAAATGAAAGCTTTGATTTGTAGTGCTTTTATTGGTTTTTGTCCCAACCATCTATGTCTAGGTTTCTATATCAAAAGCAATCTTTCCTACTGATTAAAAGAGATGAATCGTGTATCACCCGACCCGAATTTGAATAAATTTGGGTTGCAGTTGAAGTCCCACACCAGCACAACATTGTCTGTGGATTAATTTATAGACATCCAGGGACTAAATTAGACAAGACAGTTGCCGAGAAATTAAATAGCGAAGGTAAATACTATTTGTTGATGGGGGACTTTATTAACAAAGCACTGAACTGTGACTCTGAAACTGAGGTTTTTGTTAATACCTTAGGCTCTTATGCTTTTCATCCTCAGTTACTCAGACCCACTAGAATAACTAATCACCCTGCAACTTTGATAGATAACATTTTTTTCAATTACCTAGAACACCATGTTGTTAGCCGCGGCAACATTGGTTCAGTGGTATCACTAATCATTTGGTTAATTTTTTTATCATTAACAAGTTATCTACTCTTCCTACGAACTATAAATCGTTCAAAAGGGATTACTTCAAGGTTGATAGTGAGGCACTTATAGCTGAAGCTGAAAATGTGAATTGGCTGGAGGCTCTTAGGTAGTGAGTCTGGAGCTAATGAAATCCCTCAGAGTGATACTGATCCACAAGTTTTTCTTGGGCCTTCACAGGTGAATAGCTTTGTGCTACTCCCATTTTCAACAACTGAAATAGAAGAGGTGATTACTAGCCTAAATTCATCTAAAACGTCCGGTCCTTCTAGCATCCCTGTGTGTTTACTAACTTATAAAAACCTGCAATTTATAATCTTCCTTAAGAGGTGGTTGACTGTGTGCCAAACCAGTTTAAGTGGAGAGATTTTCCATGTATTCTTTATTTGTCTCGAATTTCATATCTAGCTTTAAATTAAAATATTCGCTTTGTTGTTTTAGCCGTAATTTACAATTAACTTGCATTGAGATGTTTTAGCTGCCAAAAGGGCTAGTACCATTTTAATGTCCTTTGTTTCCGTTGTTTTGTCTTCGCTTACGTAATAATCATAGAAATGCTAACAGTCAGCAGTTCCTTACAAACAAATTAATCGCTAGTTACTCTTTTCAACTGCTCACATTTTACTTTTACTTTCGTGATTTTACAACCGGACGACATCTATTCATAATAAAGCCTTTCGTACAGGTTCACCGTGTTTTAATTGCAATTTAGCTATATCTATTTTCGAAAAAATATTTCATTAAATTGTTATTTAAATAGAGGCAACAGGTGAATTTTAAATATGAAAGGTTTTGCTGTCTTGCAATTTTTACAATAGATCGGTTTTTGTATGTTCAAGGTGAAAACTTGCAATTAGACTCTGCCCTTCTTTTTGTTGAAACAGCCACTCGCTGAACTTGCATTTTCATTCATTTTGTAATACTTTGTACATAAATGCTGTTTTGTTGACCTGGCTTGTTCTTTGTTTCAGCACTTTTACTTTCTAAAGTAACAACAGTAACAAAAGATTTCAGGTTAAAAATAGAGTTTGTATTTAGTTTTCATTTAATTTCTGTTTATATTTCTATTGTATTCTTTTGTCTTCAATGGTTGTAGAATCATACATAATTAAGCTAGTTTATACTGTTTTTCGATTACATTGCGGATTTCAGAGCTGATTACATCGTCGTTTACATTGTCGCGGATGTCACAGCTCTAATTGTCGATTTTTTCTTCGTGCCCTGCCTGAGTTATTGCCAGTTGATCCGCTGAAGAATAAACGCTGCTGGAACCAAACTTTAGTCGTGTTTCATCTACTGCTGTACCAGTTAGTGCCGCTTCGATTCCGCTCCTACAGGGAAGTGACGACTCTTCCCCGCAAGCGACTTGCCATTTGAGTCTAGTTTCCCCAGTGTTATCGAGAGTTAAGCACCGAGTTCCCTTTGAACCTTAAATTCGTTTAACAGTGGAAAAATTGTCCGTCGCATAACCCAGCTAATGTTATTCCTATCCATAAGAAGTTCATCAGTGACTTCCATGAACAACTATCGACCAATTTCCTTGCCTTCAGTTTTTAACAAAATATTGGAAAAGCTTGTGATAGACTAATTAATTTGACTGATAAATACAAAATTTTGTATGTGAATCAGTTTGGCCTTAGAGAAAAACACTCCAAAATGCATGCAACTCTTCTAATTACAGATAACGTGCGGATAGCTAAAGAAGATGGCCAATTTTCTTGCGGGATCTTCCTTGATCTCTCAAAAGCCTTTGATACTGTAGACCGTAGTATATTAATTAGAAAACTAGGCCATTGTGGAATTTGTGGAATTGCGAATGACTGGTTTACCTCTAGCTTATGTGCATAATAGGAGGCAATACGTTACTATTGGTAGCTCTAAGTCGGATGAGCTTGTTGTTACTCATGGTGTCCCTCAGGTTTCTGTCCTAGGCCCTCTATTATTTCTATATTATATAAGCTTGGTGGAACAGTTCTGGAAATTAGAAACAAGTGAAATCTTGGGGGATAGTGGTCCACAGCTGTCCAAAAGAGGCAAGAAAGTGCTTGAGATTTGGAGACAGTCGATTCAGGTTTTGGATGGTCATTATCAGATCTTATCAGATGGACATTCCGTTCAAATCCAATGAGCCAAACTTACCAGATAATAACAGCGTGTCAGAGAAGAGGCTCCAGCTTTTAGAAAGCGTTTCTTAAAGAACCCGGAACTGCATGAGAGATACAAAGCTGGAATTGAAGAACTGCTTGAG